GCGGATGGCCAAGATGGATGAGAGAGTGCAGAGCGTGACTGAAGGTGCGCTCATCTTCTCTTGAGCTGAATTGTGGGGCCGAGACTGTCCGTCCAGCGGTTAAGGCACTGCGGATGATCAAGCTCTTCGGCTGGGAGTCGAGGATATCGCAGCGGATCAATGCTCAGGTGTGTATGTCTAGCTGGATGTATCATCCATTCTCCTCTCAATATCCGTCGTTCAGAGAGAGGCCGAACTGGGCTGGGTGAAGAGGCTGCGCATCCTTGCGGTTGGAAGTCAGTTGGCAAAGTGAGTTCGCGTCGCGGTTCGTTAGCTGGATATCTATATCAATGTCTTGCCAGTGCGACCATTCCGGTTAGTTCAGCTTCTCGCCGTCTCTCTCACGGGGTTTCAAGCAGTCATAGATGATCACGATGGTGCTTTCTTTCGGAACATAGTAAGTAAATTGCAGGTGGCTTCTTTCGACTCGTCTCACTGTCCTTACCTTAGCGTAATATGATCTTGCAGCAGCTGGTCAGCAGCACTGATGAGCTGATGGTTGCAGACTCTGATCATGAAACAACCTCTCAATGCGTCGAAAGTCTTTGCTAGCATCAATCTATTTGATCTCATTGGGTGCCTGCTTTCCTTTCATGATAGGGCCCTACTGATCGTTCCTGTGGTCGATTAGTTTTGCACTCTCTCAAGTGACTTACTACGCAGAGAGCGCAGTACAAGCTAAAGTGTCTTTGGACCGAATCGACACATTCTTGCATGAGGTCTGTGCTCTCTTTCTGATTCTTCATCTGGTCACCAATTATTCAGACGGATCTCTTGGACGACGGCGACGTAGACGAGCTTGAAGGGGACGAGATCGGTTTTCGGAATGTCGCTTATGCTTGGTCCGAGACAGCTACCTCGGATCTTGCTCGGCGCGAAAGACAATTCATCCTCCGCATTGAAGACGAGATTTTATTCAAGAGAGGGAAAATCAACGCCGTTGTGGGCCCCACGGGCTCCGGTGCGTTTTCTCTAACTGCTACGAAAAGGCGCGACCTAATTTCGCGCAGGCAAAACGTCACTCCTGATGGCTCTCCTCGGGGAGATGCACCAGCTTCCCTCGTCAGCCTCAGCCTGTTCCAGCCTCCCCCGAGCCGGCGGTGTGGCCTACGCTGCACAGGAATCATGGGTGCGCAACGACACAATCCGCGCGAACATCCTGTTCAACTCGAGCGAGATCGACGAGGAGCGATACAGGAAGGTTTTGTATGCGTGCGCCCTTGAGTCAGATTTGAAGATGTTCCGAGCGGGGGATGCGACTGAAGTTGGAGAGAATGGTTCGTCGAGGATGCCCTGATCGGATCACAGCTTGACTATTCACCGCGCAGGCCTCACGCTTTCGGGGGGCCAAAAAGCCAGGCTGACGCTGGCGAGAGCTATAGTGAAAAAATCATATTTATACTTGCAATCTCACTCAAGACGGCGAATAGTACTCGAACGCCGAGATTCTCCTGCTGGATGACATTCTTGCTGCCTTGGATGTTCATACGGCACAATGGATCTGCGACAAGTGTTTGCGAGGGAGCCTGATCGGTTCGTATCGAAATCAACCCTGGACAGATATACTGAAACTCTCTCGCAGAGAATCGGACTGTCATCCTCGTGGTTCGTTTCTAATGTTGGATGGCTAGTCAATTCATTGCACTGATACCGCCTGCCAGACGCACAATCTCCCTCTAGTGCGACCACTGGCATCTTATATCGTCTCCATTGGCGCCGACGGACGTGCCATCGGTGAAAATTGGAACCTAACTCCGTTAACGGTGGCCGAAATCACCGACGCCCCTGTCCCCAAAGAGGAAATCGTGGATGGATCAGATGATGCTATCAAAAGCGCCGATGGCAAGCTCATCGTCGCAGAGGAAGTCAGCGCCGGACATGTCGGCTGGTCGGCGTGCACGTCTTTTCTCATCTCTGCTCTCCATGTAATTTCTGACTTTCTGCTCCAGTGAAGATGTATCTGAGTGCGATCTCACCTCGCTGGTGCCACCCCGCATTCTTCGTCGCTGGTTATCTCGTTATTGCATTTTGGCAACAGATGCTAGCCGTCGGACGGATCTGGATGATGGGCCGGTGGGCTGCCGAGTACGAGCACAAGCCAGCCAAACAGGTCGATGTTGCCAGGCATGCAATATGCTTGTCTCCCCGGTGTTTGATTACTCATTAATCCACAGGAATCTGGTATATGTCTGTGCGTGATGCTATTTTATTTGCTCCACGGAAGCCGAACTTGTATGGCAGCTTCAATCGTGTCGATATCGACCCTGCTTTTCTTTCTTGCAACGCTCTACATTGTGAACGGGCAGCTACGAGCGTCGCGGGCAATCCACGAACGCCTGATGGGCTCTATACTTGCAGCCCCATTGAGGTATTGCTCGCCTATCATTCTTGGCCGTTCCTTGGTTGAACAATTATCGAGATGGCTTGATACTACCCCTACTTCTCGCATAATCGCTCGGGTGACGGGTGATATGTCGTCTGTGGACGATAAGATCGCAACACTCACTCCCCCCGCTTCGATAATTGGGATGGCTATTCTGGTACGTGATGATTATTGGTTTTACTACACAGACCTTAGGCTCCTTAGACCCAATTTGTTACGATCGTGCTGTACAGCCCGGTCTTCCTCCTGCCCGGGATCTTGGTCGCTGGAGCCGGAACGTGGGTCGCACAAATGTACATCCACAGTCAATTGCCGGTCAAGCGCATACTGTCGAATGCTCGGGCCCCAGTTTTGGCGAAGTGCGTCCCGTCTGGTCCTTATCTGGGTTACTCACAATCCGTAGCTTATCCGCGGCAATGGCCGGCTTGAGTGGGTCTACGCATATGTCAAGAGAAAGCAGACCGCTGATCTCGACTGTTAGTCTCGATACGCGCCTACTCTGCCCAAGCCAAGTTCATTTCCGAATCTCTCACTCGGATTGATCGCTATTCGCGCGCCAACAGGAACTTTTTCAACCTCAATCGGTTCGCGCAGATGACATCTCCGAAAACCCAGCTGACGCCAGCACATCAGATGGGTCTCGTTCCGGATCGATCTCCTCGGCGCAGTGTTTGCTGCAACGGTGACGACTTATCTAATCTATGTCAAGAGGAGCGAGGCCAGCGAAGCGGGTCTGCTCATCGGGCTTGCGGTCAGATCCACGAGCATCCTATTGGGTTTTGTTCGTCCGTTCCCTCGGGTTACGTTGCAGTGACTCAGTCAAGTCCCCTCAGATCCAGGTTTTCAACACCCTCGAAGTCGAAGCCAACTCGCTCGAACGAATCAAGGCATATCTCGATATCGAACACGAGAAGCCACCCACGGAAGCTGGCCGAGCGCCGGCCTACTGGCCGGCGAGTGGAGCGTTGCGGGTCGAGAACTTGTCAGCCAAGTATGACGTCGATGGACCGCTTGTTCTGAAGGATGTCTCGTTCGAAGTCAAGCCCGGCGAGAGGGTCGGTATCGTCGGCCGAACTGGCTCTGGAAAGGTGGGTTCGGTTCAAATCGGTGCAAGTTCAGTCTTGCTAATGATGAGCTCTCACATAGAGCTCTCTCACACTCTCGTTGTTGGGATGCATTCCGACCACCGGGACGATCAGCTACGACGGAATCGACACCTCTACTCTGAACCTCGAAGCGGTCCGATCGAGCATTGCAATCATCCCGCAAGTGGTGCGTGGGGCTGGGCTCTCACGGCATTTTTGAACGGACCGTTCTGACTTTTCGCAGCCGGAGCTTCTCACCGGTTCGCTCCGCTCGAACCTCGACCCTTTCAACCAATTCGGAGACCTGGAAATGAACCAGGCTCTGCGTGCGGCGGGCCTGGCTGCTTTGCAGGACTCCGAAGAGCACAAGATAACGCTGGACACCGACATCGCGGCGGGCGGCGCTAACCTCAGTGTCGGACAACGGCAGATTTTGGCGTTGGCTCGGGCGATGCTGCGTGACAGCAAGCTGTTGATTCTCGACGAGGCCACCTCTTCAATCGGTGAGTTGAACCGTTTAGCGTTTTCCGATCTAACGCTGTGTTCTAGACTACAAGACTGATGCGATTATCCAACACACTCTACGCGAAGAGCTTTCGGCCGATGTTAGTCTGCTTGTCGTGGCGCATAGGCTGCAAACAGTCATGGACTATGATAAAATTGTCTGTGTCTCACTTATCTCTTGACGCAACGTCCGTCTCACTTTGTTGCAGATGGTTCTCGATTCCGGTTGCATTGTTGAATTTGACGCTCCAGCTGTGCTCCTTCAAAATCCACACGGGAAGTTCAGAGCACTAGTGGATGAATCGGGCGACAGGGAGACATTATATCAGCTCGCTGGTGCTCCGCTTACCGCTTAAACCGCCTTAAATTTAGAACGCTCAAGGTGTTAGATTGTTGATGCACGTGACCACGGCATAATATAGACATAATGGGCAAGAACCTGGTGAATGGAAGAAACTAATAATTTGCGGCATCGGCTTCCAGCTATCTCACTAGTACCGAGTACATATGTACATAGCTGTTAGTAAAGAAGATAAGATACGAGTCACTGACAGCGGACATCGCCTTACTAAGATCCGTGGCTCGTACCCTCCCACGAAGCGTCTTCTGCATGGATGCGATCAGTGTTAACGGCATGAACACTGAGCGTTGAGGCCAGTAGACGGAAGGTGATCCGACGCGCACTGAGCCCTTGCCCGATGGACAAAAAGTACTGTGCGGTAGAACATCCAGATTACCTGGGCCGCCACTGCGCTGGAAGCTGAGAGGACCCACAAGTACCCCCAGTGCCGTTAGTTACCCCGGATGTGGGGCGCTGAGGGGCCGGCGGTACTCGGCTTTGGTCAGCGGTTCTGTGTCATCTTTACCGCTGCAGCTTACCGCATCTGGCGGTATCTGACGCGAGACTTCGGTAACGGCGGTAAAAGGTTCTCGCCGAGTCTACAAGAACTCTGGAACTGATAGGCTTGACACGCTCTCGCCATAGCCGCTGAGGATGAATGAAGATTAATTTGTACGCAAAGTTCTGGTGATAATACTAAGTACTGAGAAATGCCCTGGCGATGACACCAGGGGACTCGTATACTGTGCGATGGTGAGGCAAATCAAACATAATCTACGCCGGCTGGCTATCTGTTGGCGAGGTTCCAGTCGGTGATGTCTTCCTTCGCGGGGGCCGTGGCTTCTTGCGGATGTTCACAGGCACACCGTGGTTGCTGAGCGTCTGAATAAGTGTAATCATCAGTCTAAAAACAACATGAATTGGAGCCGGTAACTCACTTTGGTCAGCGGTGTCGACTCTTTCAGCGCCGGAGCTTCCTTTGTCGAGTACATTGTGAACGTGCCCCCGTAACATTCAGCTAAGACGCTGCTCTTTCCTACGCCCGGCGGTCCAGGAAAAAGATCGAAGAAGCGATAGCTGGGAGCGAAATGAACGAGTCTGGCGGCATATAATCTGGAGACCTACCGCAGACGAAAGAGGCCCTCCAACTTGACGCCCAGGTCCTGAGAACAGTGAGCAGCAGCAGTCTCATCGCAATGATCACTCACTGCGAACGTAAATGCGAGATACTTCCGGCCTGAATCAGACGTCGAAATCAGATATGGCTCGACAAATTTCGTGCCGAAGAGAAAGGACGTCCTGTTACTGTCCTCGGTGATAGCTGCATCGTCTGACACATCGTAAACGCGTGACGGCTGCGCGATGCGCGGCGACGTCAACTCGAGTGTCCCGGTCTGCCGTGGAACGAGCGGTTCCGAGGTGCTGGGTCCACCTCGTGCTTCGAAGAGCTCGGCCATACAAAGGAGCCCAGAGAGCGGGATGCTTCTGTGATGATGTGAGACTCAATACGGCATGGCCTACGCTTGATCAGACCTACTCGTAGCTGCGGACCTCCTCCGACCACTCGTAGCCTGGTCTCGGACGGAACACCTCGAAAAACCGGAGTTGAACCACTGTTGGCATGCTGAGATGGATTATCAAAGGCGGCCGAGTCGCTGACCTGGGGGGTCGTCCAGTGCACGTCTATCTACTGCCCCGAACCTGTCACCGTCAGCGGCCGCGAATACCCTCCAGAAGCACGCTCGGCCCACCTCCGCCCGAACTCGGGCCTCTGGATCTCAGTCAACTCGGCCCTGATGATGCGCCCTGCAAAGCGGCCATGCTCACAGTGCACCGGTCTGTTGATGGCAGCCGATGCGGATGTTTGAATGGCGGAGAGAGACGAAGATGAAGCAGAAGAGGATGACGACTCAGCCATTCCACATGTCTGGTCAACACATCCTCGCTCTCGGCCGACTTATAACTCGCGTTAGATCATCGATAATGCGTTGCAATGTGGTTGCGTGCAGACTGACGGAGGTGGTGTCCGGGGTCCCCTGCACATTTGCGGATGGCGATCGCAGTGGTGCGAAAAGTTCGTTCGGCATCGAAGATAACTGTCCCGGTGACAGGCACACATTTAGACACGCGTCGTGGATTACGGCTTGCGGACTATCAGATATGAGGGAATGGCACTCCGATCACAAAGTGTAGCCACTGGCTGCCAGGCGAGTTAATTTCTATATGTTGACGGTGAGCGACGCCGAAAGAAGGACGGATGAAACGGAACCTTGATGATCTCCGACACATCTAGATGCGTGGGGGCTATGCATATCAGGTGCCGGATGTCGCAGACACGACAAGGGGGGAGTACGATGGCCAAGATCGGGATAGCAACAACCCAGAATCTGAGAATGATCAATCGCCCAACAAGACGTCACGGCAGCCTAATTTACATCTTGTCACAGTGACTGTGTCTTATGCTCCACACGTCCACAAAGTTTGTTCCAAAGTACCCGATGTGCAGGGTTATAGGCAGGACTGTCACGGTCACGACCATTGGTCGGCGCCTGAGGTGGACAAGCGGGCTAAACCAGCAGGAGAACGCAAGAACATGGCGTCGTTCATTCGACATGGGGTCATCTATGAGTGGGTGAGCAATCTGAAGAGGGCAGGAGTATAACGTACATTGAATGCATACCCGACCGGGTTTCGCCTACACTGGCAAGAATATCGAAATGGCTGAGCAAGTATGCAACATGATCGTAGACATGAGCCTACAAACTGATGAGCGGAGACACCAGTTACTAGAACCAAGTCTACCTGCCAAGTGAATCTGACTGGCACAACTCATAAAACTAATGATCCTCTCGCTTGGATCTTCCTCGCTAATCAGCGCTACGCCCTGTCTCCATCTCATATATCCGCAGCTCATCGACGATCGTTTCGACGGGCGCAAGCGTCCATCGGTGGAGGACCAGGCTGACGTACAGGATGTGACGATTACACATAATGCCAATGGACGACTGCACCACGATGTTTCGTCCCCTAGTACCTGATCTTGTCTTGCTATGCATTCACGGCCCGGGACACTTTGTCGGCCACCAAGCACAACGGACTTTGAACCATAAAAGACGCATCAGCCGATGTTCGCGAGCTCGTTCTCGAATGGCATGAACGGCCGGTGATCGGCTCAGTTACAACGAGAGAAGAACTGGTGTGGATGGTGAAGACATCCTGCTTTCAGCCTCAGGAACGTGTAAATATCGAATCGAATGAGCGCACCGTCTAGGAGCAGGAAGATGAACATGAGAATCATATCACAAGAACACGGTCAGCTCCTTCGAGGACTTTGAGCCCAGCATCTTCCACGCGCTTCTCTCCACCGATGACGATTGCCGCGGCCAGTGCCGGCGAAGCTCCCTGCGACAAAGGAATGCGAGGTCGCCGGGGCTTCGATGTAGGCGAGATTGAAGCTTTTGCAGAACTTCCATCGACCAGTTTACGGCACAGACTGCGAAGGGATAGAGATGCCGAGTGAGTTAATTGGCTTTGGATCGTGCGCTCGGTCGCGAGTGGAGGATGTCTTCGATTGCGAGAGTGTACAGATCTGAAGTTTGATGAGTCTGCGCCAGACGATACGACGTGTCACTCACTGTGTCTGATAGCAAGAGCTTTCATTACATCCCAACACACTCCTCCAACGTTAATCCAACGGATCTTGACCATTGCTGAAGTTCTATGCTGTTAGCGGATGAGCCCTCAAAAAGCTTAGCATTCGACATCTTGTAAAACGTCCCGCGCGTACAAGCGAGTAGTCGACAATCTTGATCTCCCAGTCCTCGCAAATCCGCGCGAACTCAACGTCGGAGTCCCTTTGACGCGGATTGAAGCCTGGCTCGGCACCCACACCCAGGTGTAGATGGCCCATTCCGCGATTGACGAGGATGATCGTACGCGCACGCGCTGAAAGCACTGGAGCGTATGTCCGGGTACAGAACGGATTCTCCCTCCTCGTGGGCGGTAGCGGCTTGGATCGCATGACGTGCAGTGCGTTTTGAACGTGGAGAGATGGGCAGGCTGGAACGCGCAGGGGCAGAACGAGATTTTGAAAAAGGTGGGACCGTGATGAAGGCGTGGTTTTCGTCGTCGTGCTGGCTTGTGAGGGCCAGTTCGGGTGTCGGAGAGCGCCCGGCGGAGTAGCTGAAGCTCCTCTCGCGAGGCATGAACGAGTCGTGGGATGCAAGGGGGGAGGTGGAATCGAAGGACAATTGAACGCCTCGATAACGCTGGAAGATCGTTCCAGGGAGGGGTCCGGAGCGCACTGCCGCGCGCGTCGATGCGAACGAATCATCTAGCGCTGCATGGCAAGGATGGTGAGCGTAGTGCGCGCGTGCAAGGTCAACTATGCGCATCGACTCAAGGGCTGTCCGTATGCACGCCGACGAATGCTGACGAAACGGAGTGGACCTATTACTTCCAACGCAAATGATGAGTGGAGAGCGGTGAATGAGCTTTACAAGCATGAGGACCAAAAAGGGCAGTGACAGCATGGAGATCATCGAAGAATGATTGACATGGTCTCTGACAATGAGGATGAGACGGCTGCCCATGTCAGTGAGACCTGGGCCCTTACAAGAACAAATGCCAGTGCTTCTGATCGTTGAATTGGACAGGTCCGAGGGCTCTACAGGTAGCTAAAAACACCACATACACACCATGTCATGCAGCAGTTCCATATTTGGTCAAGGTGTTACACCTATGTGTCGGAAACACTACAAATGAACCTTCCCGTCACTTTGAGTGTTCCGGGTACAGTGTTTGGGGTCTTAAGAAGTTTCTCTAGGATCATATAAAGGCTAGGTGGGTCTCTGTACTTTTGGATCTGTTGTGCTTCACCTCCACTGCTCAAAATTTCCAGTCTGGGAATTCAAATTCATCACAGCCTGGACTTGCTGATCACTTTCTCATGGATTGTGATCTCCAAAGCCAGGCTATGGAGTTGGAAAACCGGATAGGATATTCACGGCTTTAGGATCTCAGACACAATCCGACTCTCAATTCTCATTTTTTTTTGTCACTCAACAGCTCCACTTGTAGGGCGCGCGCTGCGCATAATATATTACTGTGCTTATATACATGTATAGGAAACAGATGGCATCGAGTATGCAGCTCATTGAAGCGTTCAAAGTGGGGCCAACCGGACGATTGGACGTCCTCATTACATTCTCGACGTACTACCATTCGATACATCGAGTACGAGTACAAAGCGCACGTACAAAGCGCACGATCGTGATTGGTATGAGAAGCTGCGCAAAGCAAAATCACCACCCGTTCTGATGCTCGCGGACCCATGAGGCGTTGATTGACTGGTGCGGACCGCCGTGAGCCGTTTGGCATGCCGGTTCGTTATTCGTCATCGCGTACTGGAACGTCGTTCGACATCACCGAGTGGTGATCAGGCGTGAACGAAAAGCATCATGCTTGAGCGACGCAGAATCTCCTGGACGGCCGACAGCGCAGGAAAGTGATTTCCGGGGTTTCCCTGAGGTAATGACGGCCCGCTCGAGAGGGAGAGATGTCTTAGCGGATGGGAAAGTGCAGCTTAGAAACGACATTCTCGCTCCCACTGTTTAGGAGCCTGCGGGTCCAAGCTAATCCTCGTGAGCGGCTGCTGTACCAGCAATGTGGAACAGAGACTCACAAAGGTCATCTGAACAAACGCCACACGATAGTACCCCCGATTGATCGTTCTAGACGTCTTGAATTGAGGTCTGCACAGAGAGAAAGAACAAAAAATGGGGGCACGATCGCTCAGATAAGAGCCCTCATACGAATATTTCGATGGCAGAGTGCCAGTGGTCCCACTTCGTGGCTGGGAGAGATTCTCCACGCGACAAAAAGTCAATCAGGTTCCTGAGTCAGCGCGAGAGAGTGCGCACAACAGCCCCGCTCGGCCGTTGCATCGAGTGCGTTGTTGGCTGGAGTTGAGTTGGGACTGGAATGCCGGCGTGCCCATGCAAAATATCGAATACCTCCCGTGTTTGCTTGATCGGCCAGCAACCTGGAATTTGGCGTCAATAACGTTAGCGGGCACCGGGATCCTGACTTGCTCCTCCACTCTTGAAGATATCTTCGCCCGCTCATGCATCCACATAAGATACGCTACCTCTGAATGCACCAAGCCCCGGCACAACCCGACTCGGTCGCTGCACAGATGAAGCGGACCGACAAAATGATCCTGGCCATGAAAGTCGAATACGAGCCATGGACAGCAATTAGGAGGGGGGACGCCAGCATGGGGATGAAAGGGGAGTCAGGTGCGTCTACGTGCTTGAAGCAATAGTTGTCGAGGTCCAATTGTGCTGATGAACTTCTGCGAACAGGCTGGCCAGTCTTCAAGATTTTGACGGGAGGTACCAAGCCCATGGAAAACGGCAGGACACAGAATCCCCGTCTCTGGAAAACAGATGCACTCAGGCACCTGAAGTGGCCTCTTTACATTGACTGAACGATCGGCAGCCAAGGACAGGTTTCGCGTCGTACGCGTCGCCAGCAGCGAACGACTTCTCTTTACGAATCTTGATTTCCTCGGCGAGGGTCTCGGGGACGGCAATTTGGACTAGAGCATGCTCAGGAGGGATGAAAAACTGGCCAGGGTGAATCCGCTCCTTGCTCACGATGGCGCTGGCTGTAACCTGGATCTTCGTGCTGGTCTAACTGTTATCGCCACTCTTCCGGCCTGAATCCGACCGAGTCGCTTTCCCCAATCGAACGGGCATTACGCAGAACTTCCGGTCGATCCGAGCTACCCAAGTCCACCAACCCGCCATACGCGTGAGGCCCTGAAGCCGCAGGACTGCTGTGGGCAAAAAAGCACGTGACGATTTCGTCGTATCGGGCGAAGAGCAAAAGGTCGAGCGTGGGCCGATTACGAGGTCGCATTGAATAGCAGACGCAGGAACAAGATGTTCATTTCCGGATGGGACTGGGCGACTGATAGCGGGAGTGACTTCCGTGCCGTCAGGGACAAGAGGCGCGTTCCGTGACGCCACAATCTTCTGTGCGTGCATGACAGCCAACGGTTTCCTCTTCCATATACCGACAGAGGGAAAGAACACCATCCATCCTGTTGTAGTACAGGTGCGAGGATCGAGCAGATTTGCGGCGGTGACAGCAAGATCACAGCGAGAGCGTTCCCTGCTGGGCCAACTGCCAGCGCAAGCGACTCTCAGGCCGTTAAAACTTCGAGAACGATGCGGCTCCCCGGAGACTGCGACCTCTAGAAGAAGGATCCGGCCCATCGACGCGCCCAGCAGCTCAATTGTCGACATCATCACACTTGAGCTGAGGCACGACCCAGTGCGGATTGGCTTGCGGCAATGAGCGTTGCACCCAACGCCTCGTCCAATCCTGGCATTGATCCATAGTCGGGCTCCTCTTGGAAGCTAGTTCCTTCGACCGCCTGGGGTGGAATCGTGGATGTCGAAAGGTGTGGGATCCCAGAGCAGCGAGGCGGCCTGCAGTCGATTCTTCAGTCAGAGCACCCCTCTTCCGAACTCTGATCCCACCTCATCGTGATACGTTAGGCCACAAGCAAGATATACTGCTTGCTCGCTCGGAAGGATTGCAAGAAGGCGCAAGCGCCCGGAGGCAGAGAGTCGGCATACAGTCCATTCTGGGGTTTGATGCAGCAGCAAACAGAGAACACCGATTTCGAAGTCCGACAGGCCGTATCCGGGACTGGTTCCAAGGTGCAAAGGCTTTTCGTGACTTCGTCGACGTTTAGTACCCCACATTTCGCTCTCGGTCTCACACCTGGACTCGCGGGACTTCTCCTTCGGCAGGCTCTTTCGTGGTGACGGGCTCTCTCTTCAACGGGCCCAAGTAGTAGATCTATGACTTGCTCCCGCCGGTCTTGAAAGCTCGCGACTGCTCCCTCGCTGAACTTCCAGAGCTGTGATTCAGTATGGATACCACCGCGGATGTGAGCCTCGGCTTTCCATGTCTCGCATCTCTCTTGCCATGGATACATTCATCACTCAGTCGCCCTAAATCTTACTACAGCATGTCTTATTGCGACCTACACACATGTATCCGAATATCATCCGAATGGTCGTGTTCCACCCAGGAGTGTTTGTAGGACCGCTCCTCGCACCGAACAATTGAACGGCATACACCAGGACGATCTCCCCTCCGATCTATGTGACGATTATGTACCTTTCATTCCAAATCATTTGACTGCAACAAGACTGACGAATGCACAGACAAAAAACGAATGCCAAACGAAGCCAGCCAATTAGGATGTCAGGAACCAGGACGAGTTGGCCCGTAGGCCTCGGCGAGTGCACTCAAGTCGCTTTCGATCTGTTCGTGAGGCCAGAAGCAGGTCGTCACTCCCGACAGTGGATGGCTGGGCTCTTGCACGCTCAGGGCTCTTGTCACGATCTCGACAAGTGGAACAGACAGCATGAGCAATGTGCTGAAGAATCGGGCTCATATCAGCCCACTCCCAAATCGATCAAGCCCAGAAGACCCGTTCGAGATAAAGATGAAACACAGGCAATAGTCTGGTGAGGCCTTAACGGACTGCGTCCTCCCCTCGATGTTCATGAGCACCGTGTGGACTTCGATGACGACAGCGAGGCAGAAGATGCACCAGCGCATCCAAGGTTGCCGTTCCTGGTCCAGTCGTCCTCTACATCCGCCGGTCCCCGGTCATCGCTGCAATACTTGTCGTACCATGCCAGCTTTACTGAGCTTCTCTTCACTTGTCTGCAGCCGGTAACGAAGCACATCTACTAAGCTGCTTCGCTTGCCCTCGACATACCCGGATTTCATCCCAGCCGGGCTGGCAGTGCAGCAATTAACAACGTGACGGCCTTGACTCTGCGGATCGTCGCGCACGTGGCTGTGCAGGTATGTGTGCGCATCTCATTTACTACCCAGGACTGACGACGCCCCTGATGCTCAGCTTCATTTCGCACTTCCATCTGTGGCCTGATCAGACAAGAGGGATCTCTCGATCTTTTCAAGCTTGCCGTAGCGTTCTCACTCTGCTGGATCGTGCAGAGAGCGCCAAGGCCTCCGAATTACTCCATCTGTAAGTCCGATGCCTTGCCCATTATTCTTGAAGCCTAATTGTTCATGATCACAGCCAGGCGCGAGAAGTGTGTTTGACGGATGGGGGAACAGAGCTGGAAGAGTTGTCGAGCGTAGAGGCTTGCCACGCGGCAAAGCGATCTCTCATGAGAGAAGGCACCTCCGCGCGCTGAACGTCGTCTCTGAAGATCATTTGTCACGTCCCGTATATTGTGCAATACATGTCCTCGGTACCACACCTGAGTTGGTAACAAAATACAGTGCGTAAGTTAGGTTCGTAGACCGCCATGTTTCAAATTGTGAATCTATGGCTCCCCATTTACTTCTCTCTCTGCATACGACCACTGAGGGTCCAGGAATAGACACTGCACCCAAGCGCTGACCTTCCCAGCATTCCTCACGACCCCCCACGACCCCCCACGGATGTCCGCCGGACGGGGTCGTTCATTATGCTTCAAGAGGTCTGTGATATTTCAGGGGCCGGATCGGCAAGCTAGATGTGACGCTGTCTCAGAGTTTGAGTATCTTGACGGGACAGAAGGGGAATTGACGCACTGCAGTTGGGTCCAGGCTTTGCTGATGAGTTCTCCAAATCAGTCGACGATTCTGACGCTCGTGAGCTAAGCCAGGAGGCAAGATCAGGAACGGCAGGAACCGTAGGCCGCCCGTGGCATGTAAACGAAGATGTCAAATAGGTGCACGATGCATGAGGGGACGGATGGGTTACCCGGACCCAGGCATTGACTGATTGACTGGACAGACTCTCTCGCGGGCCGTTTCGCGTGCGAGCTCTTTATCTGCCATCGCTCGGTCAACTTCAGGCGTGCACAAAGAACACCGTTTTTGAGCGAGGCCGAATCTCCTGGATAGCGAGGAGTACGAGAAGCCGATTGTCGAGGATGTTTTTGCAGCCCGCGCGAAAGGGAAAGAGGTTTCTTAGCCGATGGGAAGTTACAACCTTACGGAGCCGTTCTCGTTGACACTGGCGAAGAGAGGGCGGGTCCAGTCTATTCCTCGTGAGCGGCTAACGCACCAGTAGTGTGGAACGGGAGACTCACATGGATCATCCGGACAAACGCCACACGACAAGACCCCGATTCATCATTCCAGAAGGCTCCGAATGAGGGCTGCACAGACAAAGGAGAAGGAATGAGGCGACGATTACTCAGATAAGAAGAGTACACATACGATACTCGGACGGCGGAGTGCCAGTGGTCCCACTCCGTGGCAGTAGAAAGCTACTTTGTGGCTGTAGAGAGGTTCTCCGCGCGAAGACAAAGCCATCATGTTTCCGAGTTATCGCGAGAGAGTGCCTGCCACGGTCCTGCCTGGTCCTTGCATCGACGGCGCTGCTGGCTTGAGTGAATCGATGCTGAAATGCCGGCGAGCCCATGTAAAATGATAGATCCCTTGCGTATCAGCATGATCGGCCAGCAACCTGGAACTTGGCGTCAATGACGTTAGCAAGCACCAGAATCTTGACTCGCCGCCCTCACTATACTCTCGGAAAAGTGGTCGCTCTGTCCATGAGTTCACAAAAGCAAAATGCGCGACCTCGGGATCTAGCCGTCCCCCTCCAGGGGACCGTTCCGAGATTTCACAAGTGATCAGTGTCAGGAAACTTTTGCTGACCGTGCAAGTTCAACACGAGTCGTACACAATAACTCGGGAGAGGGAGACGCTTCCACGGGAAGGAGAAGCTAGTGGGTACGTGTATGGTCTAGCACAAGAATTGCAGAAGCTTGAGAATGGTGCAGGTGATCCTCCGCGGACAGGCTGGATAGACTTCGGGATGTTCTGCTCAGGGCCGCCCCAGCCGCGGAGCATCGTGAAGACACAAACCCTGTTTCGGTGGTACACGCGTGCACATACGCTCTGGAACCGGCCTCTGTGCCCTCGAGTGGACCATTGGGACGCCGTGACGAGTTTCGCGGTGGACGCGTAGCCAGCCGCAGACGACTTCTCGTTTGGGCAGTCTCGATTTCCTCGGCAATGGTCTTGGATAAATCGCTTCGGAGAATGTCCCGCTCAGGGGACATGTCAATCGCTGTAGTGGATCCTCTCCTCGTTCACGATGACGCGAGCTGCATCTGGGATCTTGGTACATGTCCGACTGATATCGCCACTCTTCCGGCCTGTATCCGGAGCGCATCGGTTCGCCCTGTCAGCTGGACATTACGCAGGATCTCTAGTCGATTAAGCGTTCCGCACGATCCCCATTCTGTCAACCCTTGAGCCGCCGAACGACCACGGGCGAGTATTACATATGGCATGCCCGTCGCACGAGGCCAGGAGCACCAGGTTGGACGTTGTCCTGACTCCTAGGTTGCGTTGACGAGCGAATCCCAGGAACAGAAACTCCGTCATTTCGGAATGCGATTGGACAGCTGGTAGCGCGAGTGACTTCAGTGCCCTCGGGCACGAGAGGTGCGTTCCGTACGGCCACAAGTTCTGTGCTTTCATGATACTAATCAGCTTACCCTCCCGTAGACCAGCAGAATGAACCATCGTAATCCATCGGGCGCTGCTGCGTGTGTGGGATCCGGGGTAATTTGTGGCGGTGAGACCGAGATCACCGCCCGAGCGACCCTTGTGTAGCCGACCCCAGCCAGCGTATGAAACCCCCAGGGCGAAGAAACGTCTAGGAGGATGGATCAGCCCCATCGATGCCCTTAGTCGTCGACATCATCGGGCGCTCTGACTGGGCCGTAGTCAAGTGTGGATTGGCAGGCGGCAATGAGGGTTGCCCCTGCGCCTCGTACGATCCTGGGACCCATTCACATCGCTCTTGGAGGCCAGTTGCGAGAACTGTTTAGGACGAATGATGGAAGATGTGAGATCTCAGAGTAGCGGGATGGCCTACAGTCGATTTTTGGCTTGAGCGACGCCGCATCCGAACCATGATCCCCTTATTTGGGATCTTTCGGACCACCAGCCAAGGATGTCGACTGGTTGCCTGAAAGGATTGTGAGAGGGCGCAAGTACCTGGAGGCTGAGAGACAACATACAGTCCATTCCAGGGTTGGACGCAGCAGCAAACAGAAGGCACCGATTTCGAAGTCCGACAGGCTTTATCCGGGGTTTGTGCCAAGTGCAAGGTGTAAACCTTGTTCTCCGTAACTCAGCCGACTTCGCGTATTCCGCCTTTGCTCTCGCTCTCAGGTCTTGGCTCGCAGGACTTGCCTTCGACAACCTCTCTCGTGGTGGCAGATTATCTCTTCACAAGGCCCCAGTCGAACAGTCCACCTCGATACATCGCCTTTCACCCCTCGCTGAGTTCCTGTAGCAGCGATTTTAGTGCGGATAAAGTCCAGGTGGTGAGCGTCACCTTATCATCTCTCGTATATCTCTTCCCGTGCATACATTCACACTGGTCACTCAGGCTCTACATCCTGCGACAGTGCAGACCATTCGCAGGACCAGGGCCCTGCTTCCATTGCGCGAACGTCCTATCACGACGTGAACTCATGAATTCCGATATCATGCAAATCTCGATGATTTCTGCGCTGCAATCTCTCTTGTACCAAGTGCCTCGCGCTGATCAGGCATCAACACCGTGAAGGCGCGTCCATTGAAGTATGTGACGGCTGTGTACCGTTCATTGTACATCATCCGACCGGGTCAAGACTGACGAGTGAACAGCCGAGAAGCGAATGTCAAACGTCATCAGCAATTGAGATGATAGAGACAGGAACTGTCTGGCACGCAGGCCGAAGTCGTACTACTGGTGGTCTTGAAATGAGGCCGGATGAAGGTTGTCACCGCGACAGTAGAGGGCCGAAGATCAGCACACTCATGACTCCCGTCACGAGCTGAACAAGTGGGACAGAAGACCATGAGGGATGTGCTCGCTATTCCGTCACTCTCGAGTCGACTGCGCTCAGAAAATCCGTTCGAGATAGAGATGAGACAAAGGCGGCATACTGGTGAGACGCCAATCGACTACGTGCTCATAACGATGCTCATGCGAACAGTGTAGACTGCGATGAATGCAACGTGGCACGAGGATGTGCCAGACCGCGTAGATCCCCACTCCTGTCTTCCGTTAAGTATGAACTATGGCCCGAGCGAACCGTTGGTAGCGTCGTCGTCGGTCTTCGCTTCAGCATCCCAAGTGCTTCTACCAACGTCTTGGGATTACGCTCAACACGTCCGGAGCTCGGTTTATTGTGGAAATGCAGCAATCAACAACCGTGACGGCATTGACTCTCAGGGACTTCGCGGACTTTGCTATGTACACAAGTGTTCGTATCGAACTCACAATATGGCACCGACTGCCTGATCCTCAGCTTCCTTTTCACCGACTTCTGTGTCGTCTTTCTACGAGAGAGACTTGTTCAACAATCGAGTTCCAATGGGATGTCTCATGTTGCTGCATCGTGAACATACAAAGCGATTGAGCCGCTCTACCGGTATGTATGGTGCTTTCTCCTGCTATTGCTCAGTAACCTACACACTCAATATATGGGCCATTCATTAATTCTGAGGCTTATTCCTTTGTCACTCTGAATTGACCCGATGTGTCATTTCACGTGACCATTGTAGCAAATGGGGATGGTCTTGAGTAGGTCTAGAAAAGTGGGTTATGGGTCTCGTGACTTGCGCGTGGCCCCAATGCCTGTTGTGGACGATCACGTGTCATACCAAGTAAGGACAAGTTCAGCACAAAGCACAACTCGAAGGACTGGATTGGATTCCACCCAAAGCGCGCAATAAAATGTACATCGTCTGATACTACGATTACTTCTGTTTTTTTTTTTAATAATGTATATCATTCTGCCAGGGAAAGCGGAGATAAGCTCAGTACAAACCAGTCATTGGTTCATTCGAGAGTGCCGATTCTGGATCACTTTTGGAGGAAATGAGCGGATTTGGCCAGTCCAAAAGCTTTCGCACCCAGGCTGATAGAAAAAATCATACACTTGAATGCTTGGCAGTAATGCCGAATGAACCAGTAATAATTAGGCGATAAGGCAACCACAATCTGTCGAGTGACATGCGGTGTGACATGTGTGACTGGCCTTGCTAATTCATTATAATAACAATTCACCCGCTGGGGTGACCAGCGCTGGAGCGATTGTAACGGCACATTAATCAAGATAAACTATGATATCGAGTGGAACGATGAATTTGGGGCGGGTTGCGACGGAAGATAAATCACACACAGAGAACAGTGGATTGCGCAAGGAAGGTGCCACACTCATATACGTTTTGTCGACCCCCGTGATCATAATGCTAGAAAAGGTCGAAGATATCCCAGCGAGGGATTGGCGGGCCGGATGTGGCACCACCTCGCATTTCGAGCAACTTGGCAGGTTGGTTCCGGGAGTCGTTGACGCACTGCAGTCCGCTCCCCTTCTCGCGGGGAGCAGATCCGAGATCACTCTACAACTGGGACGCTCGTAAATGTTGCTGACGCGCCAGAAAGCAAGATGTAGAACGGCAGAAACCGAAAGGCCGCCGAGGCGTGTAGACAAAAGTATGGAATGAGCACACGATGCATGAGGGTTCGAGTGGATTACCTGGACTCAGGCATTGATTAACTGGAACGGACTTTGGCGGGCCTTTGCGCGTGCAAGCTCCTTATTTGCCGTCGCCCGGTGAAGATCGGGCACGAAGGGACCGTACTATTTTGAGCAATGTAGAATCCGACAGCCAATGGCATAAGAAAACAACGAGAGTGCCAAGGGTATTAATCGCGGCCCGAATAGAAGGGAAGGCTTCCCAGTAGTAAGTGCATGGGAAAACGCAACCTGAGAAAGCCATTAGTGCTGAGACTGGCAATGAGCTTGCGTGTCCAAGTTCCTCGTGAGCGGCTGCCACACGAGAAGCGTGGAGACTCACAGAGATCATCAGAATAAGCCCCACGCGACAAGACCCGATTCATCGTTCCCAAAGACTTCGATTCAGGGCTGGACATGGACAAAGGAAGGAGAATGAGGAGACGATTGCTCAGATAGGTGCACCATACGGATATTGCGGTGGTAGAGTGCCAGTGGTCCTGCTTCGTGGCCGAAGAGAGGTTCTCCGCGCGAGGAGCAGTCCATCATGTCTCCGAATCATCGCGAGAGAGCGCGTGGCACGGTCATGCTTGGCTCTTGCACAGAGGGCGCTGCCGGCTTGACTTGGTTCGATGCTGAAATGCCGGGAGCTCATGTAAAATGATAGATCCCTCCTGTGTCAGCATGATTGGCCAGCAACCTGGAATTCGGCGTCAATAACATTAGCGAGCACAGAGATCTTGACTTACCGCCCTCACTCGACCCTCAGAAATGTATTATCCCTGTTCATGCATTCGCAAAAGTGAGATGGGCGACCTCCTGAGTTCGGCCAGCGGCCTGCAGAACACATGTCAGTCGTTTCAGAAGCGGAGAGGAAGAATGGCTAACCATTCGAGCCCGATACGCGCCACGTTCATCAGTTCGGACGAGGGAAGAAGCTTTTGGGAGAGGGGCGGGCACTGGGGTACATGCATGGGTGCCAAGAAGCTCCAAATGTACTTGTGATCATTGGTGGACAGACCGGGTAGACTTCCGAATCTTCTGCTCAAGAATTTCCGGTCGCGGAAAATGGTAGGAACTCGGATTCTGTTCTTCTCATCCACAAGCATGTCCAGGACTCAGAAACGGCTTTGGCGCACTCGACCGGCATATCGGTATGCAAGGACAACTGCCATTGCGAGCGCCTCGCCAGCCGCAAAGGAGCCCCTTCGCAACCGCCTTGATTTGCTGGGCGAGGGTCACGAGGACCTTCCTCTGAGCCATGCCCTGTTCAAGAGATACCAAGACTGGTCGAGATGATTCCCCTACCCGTCCACGATAGAGCAAAGCTGCTTCGGGGATCTTTATACTTCTCCGACTGTTATCGCCACTCTTCCGGCTTGAATCCGGACCGCGTTGATTTGGGCGTCAAATGCGCATTACGCGGGATCTGTGGTCGCTTGGAACCGACGCATGGTCCCCGGTCCGCCGCACGCGCAAGCACTGGGAGCCGCCAGACCGCCACGTACAACGATCACATATGATATGCCCATCACAGGGGGTGAAATGCGTGGAGTTGAGCGGTGTGCTAGTTCAGAGGCTGCGTTAACTGGTGAATGCAGGCAACATTCTTCGTTATCGGAGGATGCAACCGGACGCCTTGAAGGGCGAATTCCGGTGCCATGAGGGACAAAAGGTGCGTTCCGTGTGCCACAATCTTCTATGGATGCACGACGCTCAGTCGTTTTCTCTCTCGTAGAACACCACAGCGTATGATCGTGATCCGTCCCATTTCGAAAGACTTGTAGGGGTTAAACCAGGATCGCAGCCCCAGCGATCCTTACTGGGCCAACGGCAAGCGCAAGGAATCCCTGTGGCGATGAAACGTCGAGGACAATGTATCTGGCCGAAGAATGCGCTCTGCAGGCTAGGTGTCAGCCTCATCGTGCAATCAGGCTGAGCGAAAACCGACCGAGTACTGATTGGCGGGTAGCAGGGGACGTAGTGTCCGGCACCTCTTTTGATCCAGCCTTGATCCCGACGATCCATCTCGTTGTTGGGGCCATTGTCGTCAATTGCTTGAAGCAATGATTGAAAAGCATCGGATCCCGGAGCAGCGCCTATAGTAGGCGGCTCTGAAGACTCAGAAGAGATTCAGCTCATACTACAACAGAGGATGGATGCGAGCCTACCTCAGAGCCTGCGGTGGTTTTTCAAAGTCGGAGGACGCCCATCCGGATCCCGATCCTCTGATTTTCGAAACTTCAGGCTGCAAGCAAGCTATGCCAACTGGTCGCTTGAGAAAATTGCATGAGGGTGCGACGCCTGAGGCTGAGCGCGGTATGCAAATCATTCTGGTGTTGATGCAGTAGCAAACAGAAATTGATTTCGAAGTCCGACCGGGGTTGGTGCAAAGGTGTAAACGTTGTCCGCTTGGTACCCTACCATTCGCTCTTGCTTCCAAGCCGTCCGTGGCTCGCAGACTCTTCGTTGGACAGGCTCTCTCGTTGTGATGGGCGTTTTCTCCACAGGCGGCCGAAATGAATCTGTTGCCGTCGCGGACCCATCTCGCCAGTTCCCCTCGCTCCTCGCCCCTCGCTGGATTCCCGGGGCTGTGATTCAGTACGGATAACACACAGAAGGTGAGCCTCTGCTTTCAATCTCTCGCATCTCTCTTGCCGTGCATACACTCATCCCTCGGTCGCCCAGGTTCTGCATCCTGCATCAGCACCACGAATGACCGGTTGCAACGTACACACATGTTCCGGGTATCATCTCAGCAGTCATGTTATATGTCGGAGTTTTTCCAGGGCCGAATCCCTCGCGCCGGACGATTGACCGACATCCACAAGGGCCCACCAATCTCGTTCAGATCAGCCTACCCCCGACCAATTCCAGAAGATCCGTTCGAGATGTAGATGAGGCACGGAGGCAGTATTCTGGTGAGATTCCGACGGACTGGGCGCTCACGTCGATTTCATGAGCATGGTATAGACTCCGATGACAGCAGACAGGCAAAAGATCCACCAGAACGCCCAAGATCCCCGCTCCTGTGTCTCGCGAAGTATCCGCCTCCACCCCGAGTGAGACATCTTCTCTGGACGCTGTCACGAGCGCACGGTCAAGTCTTCCATCCTGGGAGTGGCATTCCACCGATTCGCGGCAACACCCTGAGGGCGGCATTCCTCATTTCTCGTCTGCGTTCAGTATCATATACTGTACGATCCCGGTGGCATCGAGAGTAGGCTCTTGGAAGACTCGCCAGTCGCCGGTCCTTGCTGTAACTCCTGTCGTGTCATGCTGGTCTTCGCTGAGCTTCTCACCACTTGTCCGTGACAGAGCGCGGAGCACGTCCACCAAGCCCCCTCCCTTGAGCTCGACGTGCGGGATCTCATCGAAGCCGGGCTGGCAACGCGGACAATCATCAACGTGACGGCCTTGACTCTGCAGATCGACGCGTCCGTGGCTATGCAGGTATGTGTGCGCACTGCGCAGCTCATTCGTTACTGCCCAGAGCTGACCCCTGATGATCAGCTTCCTTTCGCACTTCTGTCTGTGTCTTCATCAAACAAGAGGGATATTCTTGATCTTGCCAAGATCTGCTAGAATGTCTTTTCGCTACTAGATTGTGGAGAGAGCCAAACTTTTGGATTATTCTTCCAGCGAGTACGCCGATTGTCCCGTACTACCGATTATTCACCTAACAAGTTCTTCAGAGGTCTCTTGATCTCATCCATTCTATGGATCTCAACGTGTAACCAAGTGTAATTCTATACAACAAATGCGACCTTGTCTATAGGGATGATCTACGACCGAGTCACGCGACCTGTAACGAACCTCTTTTGTCAATCGGCTAAAGTTTTGAGTGTTTTCCCTAAAAACCTAATCATCCGCGAGCAGGTAAGTACGAGAAGCCCACATTCGCAAACGAGTGCACAGCCCTGGACGAATTTCCAATAGAGCCGGATTGATCTCTGATGGCTTTGTACCTATTTACTCTTGATCCATATGAGGGAGAACCGCCTTCGCGTTTCGGCGGTTTTGCGAAAGCACACGACACACAAACCCCAAGATAGTAATTGATACACTGTGATCCCGGTGTGAACCAGATAACGGTCTCTTCAAAACCGTTGCTTATTGTTTATGCACGGTATCTGAGGATATTATGTGAAAGTGGTGCGCAGCTGACAAGTAGCATGCTCTTACAACGAAGAGGCCAATCCGTCATGTCGAATGATTGTTGACGATGCCGGATGAATCGGTATCATGGATGCGGAACCCGTATTTTATAGAGTGTGAAGTACACTAAGTGGCGCGACGACACCGTGTGAGATGTGTGGAATTGAATATGACAATTCACCCACTACAGCGACCAAACCAGAGCCATGGTAACTATACATTCATGAGGATCGAAGTACGATATCAGAATCGAAACGATAAGTCTCAGGCGACGTTGTGGGAATCACAGAGAGAACGATGATTTTGGAGGCTGTTTGCACAAGGAAGCTGCAACAATCATACGCCTCCTGCCGACCCCCGCAAACATTGGGCTTGGAGAGGTCGAGAAGTTTCCCAGCGGATAATCTCTATTCCATATGCAACGCTATCTCGCAGTGAGCATTTTGAGGGGAGGCAAGAGGAGCCGACGCACTGCAGTCGGCTCCAGGTTTGACTGATGAGGTCTACGGATTCTTCGACCACTCTGACGCTCGTGAATGGAGCCCGCAAGTCAGAGAGCAAGATCTGGAACGCAGAAACCGATTGGCCGCCCCCGGGCATCTAGATGAGAATGTCTGATGGGTGCGCATACGATGCATGGGGGCACCGCTGGGTCAGCCGGACCCATCCATTGAACAGACCGTCGCGGGCCATTGCGTGTGCGAGCTCCTTATTTAGCAGTCCACGGTGAAGATCGGGCGTGAAAGAACATCACTATTCTGAGTGACATGGAATCTCCTGGACAGCCCGCAGCGCGAGAAACCGACATGGATGCGAAGGGAAATGACGACCCACTCCAGAGATGGAGCTATCCCAATAGACATGGAAGCGCATCCTGAGAAAGTCGTTAGCGCCCGGGCTGGCAAAGAACATGTGTTTCCAAGCTATTCCTTGTGAGCGGCTGCACACGAGAGATGTAGAGAGGAGACTCACGTAGATCATCTGAATAAACTCCACACAGCAGGACCCCGATTCATCATTCCAGAAGGTTCTAATCGAGGTCTGAACATAGACAAAGGAGGGGGAATGAGGCCACGATGGGTCAGATAAGAGCACACATACGAATATCTCCAGCCCGGAGTGTCAGTGGTCCCACTTCGTGGCCGTAGAGAGGTTCTCCGCGCGATGAGCAACCCATCATGTTTGTGAGACATCGCGAGAAAGCGCCTGCCACGGTCATGCCAGTCTGTTGCACAGAGGGCGCTACTGGTTTGCCTTGCGTCGAAGGTGGAATAGCGACAAGCCGATGTAAAATGATAGATCCCTCCCGCGTCAGCATGATCGGCCAGCAACCTGGAATTTGGCGTCAATAACGTTAGCGAGCACTGAGATCTTGACTTGCCGCCTTCACTCGACTCTCGGAAATGTTTTCACCCTGTTCAAGCATTAACGAAAATCAGAGGCGCTACTTCCAAAATCCAGCCAGTGTCCTCCAGAACACAGCTAGGTCCTGGTAGAAGCGAAAAGGACCAAGAGAATTTTGTCGGCCATTTCAGCCAATACGAGCTGTGCTCGGTAATTCGGAAGAGACGAGATGCTTCCGCGGGGAGGGGGGGCTAGCGGGGTACGTGTATGGGTCCACAGAAGCTCCAAACGTGCCGGTGATCGTTGGCGGACAGGCTGGACAGACTTCGGGATGCGACCCTCAGGCATTCCTCAGTCACGGAAAATGTTAGAAACACAGGATCTATTCTTCCCATCGCACGTCGTCGACTCGTCAGGACACTCCTCGCAGGACATCCGGGCTCGGGAAGCGGCTTTTGCGCATGTGACTGGAGCCTCGGCATGTGAGGATGAGTCCCATGGCGGACGAGTCGTTAGCTGCAAACGACTCCCCCGCGCGGCCGCCTGGGTTTGCTGGACAGGGTCCTGGACAGGTTCCTTTGGGCGATGCCCCGCTCGGCGGACATGGAGGATGACCGGAATTCTCCCTCTCTTCGTTGACGACGGCTTGAACTCCATCTGGGATCTTCGTACTTGTCCGACTCCGACTGTCATCTCCATCTCCCAGCTTGAATCCGGAGCACGTTGGACTGCACCTCAGCTGGGCATTACACAGTATCTCTGGTCGCTCGGGGCCTACACGCAATCCCCGGGCTTCCATACGCCCAAGCCCTTGCAGCCGCCAGACCGTCACGAACAACGATTCTATGCGGCATGCCCGTCGCAGGAGGCGAAAAGCGAGAGATTGAGAGGTCGTGTGTACTGGCGGAGGGAGGAAAACGTTCTTCGTTATTGGAGGACTGCCACTCGACGACTGGAAGCGCCGGTTATCCCGGGACCGTCAAGGACAAAGGGTGTGTTCTGCGCCGCCAGAATCTTCTACGCATGCACGATACTCAGCATTTGCTTGTCCTGTAGGCCAGTACAGCACACAATCGTGATCCATTCCACCCCGCTTCATTTGTGGTGACTGGGACCAGGATCACAGTCCGATCGATCCTTGCTGGGCCGATGGCGAGCGCAAGGATCCACTATGGCGACGAGACTAGACAACTGGAAGGGCGCGTTATTGAACGGTCATCAAGGACGAAAGGTGCGTTCCGTGCCGCCACGATCGTCTATGCATGTATGATACTCAGCAATTGTCTGTCTTGTAGTCGAGCACAGCGCACGATCGTGAACCAGATCATTCCGATACATTTGCTGAGATGAGAGCAGGATCGCAGTCCGAGTGATCCTCGCTGGGCCGAATGCCGACGAGAAGAAGCCATGTGGCAATGAAATCTCGAGGACAGTGTATCTGGCCCAACAATGCGCTCTGCAGCCCATGCGTCAGCATCATCTTGCACTAAGGTCGAGTCGAATCTGAGCGCTGATTGACCAGCAGAGGGGGTACTGTGCCCTGGGCTTCTTCAGATCCAGGCGTTGCTCCCGACGATCCATGTCGTTCCATGTCGTGAATTGCGAGCCATTGTCGTGAATTGCTCGGAGCAATTATTCGAAATCAACAGATCCCAGAGCAGCGTCTATAGTAGGTGGCTTTGAAGACTTGAAAGAGACTCAGCTCATACTACAACAGAGAGAGGAAGCGAGCCGACCTCAGAGCTTAATATGTTTTTAAGGTCGGAGGACGCCCCATCCGCATCCTGATCCTCCGATTTTCGATATATCATGCCACGCCGCAAGCGAGGTGTGTCGACTGGTCTCTTGACAAATTGCGTGAAGGTACGACGCCTAAGGCCGGGCGACGGTGTCCAAATCATTCTGGTGTTGATGCAGTGGCAAACAGAGGAAATTGATTTCGAAGTCCGACTGGGTTCGGTGCACAGGTGTCAAGTTGTTCATTCAGTGCACCACCATTCGCGCTCGCTCCCAAGCTTTGGCTCCCAGGACTCCTTGTTGGATAGGTTCTCTCGTTGTGACAGGCTTCCACCTCACGGGCGCTCTTCATAGGGCGCAATGCGGCAGGAGGTGAGCCTCAGCTTCCAACGTCTCGTGTTGCTCCTGCTGTCCATGCATTCATCCCTTGGCCGTCTAGGTTCTGGTCGTTGCTACAGTATTACGAACACCTTTTTTGCGACGTACACACACGCATTCGAATACCATCCAAATGGTCCTATTCTACGCCGGTCTTTGCAGGACAGAGTCCTTCGCACCGTACAATCGCCCGACATGCACCAGCACGACCTCTCTAGGAATGTCCTGCCACACAACATAAACGACTGAGAAATCAGAAACAGGAGCGGACTGTCCCGCAGGCCTTGGGAAGTGCATTGAGGCTGCTTTCGATCCTGGCTTGCGTTCAGATGCAGGTTATCGTCGTCGACAGTGGAGAGCCGGAGATCGGCACGTTCCTCACTCGTGTCACGCGCTAAACAAGGGGGCCGGACAGTCTGTGCAATACGCTCACACATCCCGCTCAGATCAGCCCACTTCGCAGGATCGCCGCTCCTGCGTCCTATGAACTATACACCGTCATCCGAGCAAGTCTTCATCTCTGAACGCTGCCATAACCACATCGACAAGTCTTGCATGGCGGTAGCATCATTCGGCCGATTCGCGACAACACCCTGAGGGCGATGTTCCCCGTTGCTTGCATCGTCCCAGCTCTCTGCGCGTCGTGCTATGCCAGCCTCTACCGGGCTTCTCTCTACTATGATAGACAGCTACTGCCTTTCGACTTCGTTTCGCACTGTCATATGTACAGTATGTTCATTTGACAAAGGGCATTATTTTGATCTACTCGAGTTCTACTGGAGCAGTCTCGAGCTGCAGGATTGTGAAGACGGGGGGCCAAAGCGATTGAATTGTTCTACTAGCGAGTACGGTGCTTTCTTTGTCCGCTATTTCATCCACAGCGAGGTACGAGAAGCATCTGCTCGTAGAGGAGGACACAGAACCAGATGGAGTGTCCAGTCAACATGAGAGGAAAACGCCCCTTCTTGATTCGTGAACCGCCTGTTACCGCATCTTACGGAAGCCTGATATAGAAAGGAGAGATTGGTCTCTCTTCAACGATGAGATTTCTGGATTGATTTCAAGGATATCATGTGAGAGTGGTCCGGGGGAGATCCGTAAGGTCAATCAGTAATTTTGGGTGATCGGTCACAGCGCCGGAATCGAAGGAAGGAGGCAGCCGCAGGTGAAGCAGCCGCAATGTGTGACTTGTGTGACAGACAGGTTACGTCATCTGATCAAGTATTCCACCCACTGCAGTGACCGAGCTAAAGCCGCTGTCACACCGAGGGGTCATAAAGAATCAATTATATTCTATATATTAGGGCATAAAAAATTAAGGGATCTGATATGTGACATATTGGGCACTCGGATCATACCCGGCACCCGATATCTGTGGTATCAGGACGTTTTTGCGCTGATATGTAGCATATCGAGTAAGCTTATTTCACTGCGGGGGGACTTATTTTTTTTCCGTGGAAAATATGTGACAATCTAGTAGTCTGATTTTCACTGTTCTGTTTTCAGACAAAATATATATATTGAAAATAGACGTCGATTTACAGCTTGATTTTTACCACGAATAGACATCTATTCCTCCCGAAAACAGAACTGTGAATAGATCATCTTTTTTTTAATCGATTCTCACTGGGAATAGACGTCGATTTTCACTGAGAATAGAAACAAAGAAAAGATGATCTTTTTTCACTGAAAACAGATTAAAACCACTAGAAGAATCTGTTGATTCCGGCCCCAATTTGCATCCCTGGCCTTGCAAAAGGCTACGGAATGCTACTCACAACATGGTGGAATCATGCTGCAGGACTTGTGATGTGAATTGGGGCCGGAATCAACAGATTCTTCTAGTGGTTTTAATCTGTTTTCAGTGAAAAAAGATCATCTTTTCTTTGTTTCTATTCTCAGTGAAAATCGACGTCTATTCCCAGTGAGAATCGATTAAGAAAAAGATGATCTATTTACAGTTCTGTTTTCGGGAAGAATAGATGTCTATTCGTGGTAAAAATCAAGCTGTAAATCGACGTCTATTTTCAATATATATATTTTGTCTGAAAACAGAACAGTGAAAATCAGACTACTAGATTGTCACGCATTTTCCACGGAAAAAAAATAAGTCCCACTGCAGTGTTTCTTGGGTCACAATATGCGGAATATAATTTATTCTTTATGGGCCGTATTATGTGTGATCCCCCGGTGTGCGTATAAACCACACAGGCAAACGTATCGAAGTATGGTATCAAAGTTAAACCGATGGACTTGGGGTGAATATGTGGTAAATGAGAAAACATACGGGGAACGAAAATTTCGTAGGCTGTGTGCTCAAGGAAGCTGCCACCCTGACAGCCTTATCGCAGACCGCCCCCATCATTGTGCTTCAAGAACCTGAAAATATCTCGGGCGACAAATTGGTAGACCAGATAGGACGCTATCTCACAAATTGAGCAGCTTGACGGGTGCCAAGGGTAGTGAACGCACTGCGGCTGGCTCCTGGCATTGCTGATGTAGTCTCGAGATAAGTCGATGAGTGGGGAGCTCATGCTCATGAACGGACCCACTGCACTAGGGACCGAGATCAGGGGTAGAAGGAACCGATGGGCCCAGGGCATAGGGACTTGGGATCCAGTGACTAATGGGTGCACATTGCAGGAGGGGCATGGCTGATTGACGTCGGACGAGCGAGACCTCCCGGGGGCCCTTTCGCGTGCGAACTCATTATTTGCCACCGCTCAGTGAAGATCGGACGCGGATGAACAGCACTATTCTGGGCGATGCTGAGCCTCCTGGACAGCCCGCGGCTCGTGAAATCAATGTGAAAGGATGCCAGGAATGATGACACCCCGCGAGGTGGGGGCTGTAGGCAAATAGGAAAAGGGGGGCTCGGGATAGCATTGCTCGCCGAGTCTGGTCAAGAGCCTGAGTGTCCAGACTGTTCCTCTTGAGTGACTCCCGCACCAGAGATGTGGAACGGAGACTCACATTAAACATCTGAGGAAGCTTCACGCGACCAGGCCTCGATTCATCATTCCAGAAGGCTTCAATTGAGGGTTACACACAGACGGAGGACGAGAAATGAGGCCACGATTGCTCAGATAAGAGTACACAGACGATATTTCGGTGACAGAGTGCCAGCGGTCCTACTCCGTGGCTCTAGAGAGGTTCTCCGTGCGATGAGAAGGCCATCAGGTTTCTGAGTCATCACGGGAGGGAGTGGCTGCCAGTCGCCCTTGGCTGTTGTATCTGGTGGGCGGCTAGCTTGACTGGAGTGGGGACTGCAATGCCGACGGGCCTATGCAAAATGATAGATCCCTCCCTTGCCAGCGTGATCGGCCAGTAACCTGGAATTTGGCGTCAATAACGTTAGGGAGCACCTAGATCTTGACTTGCCGCCTTCACTCTACTCTTGGAAATGTGTTCACCGTTTTCATACATCCACAGAAGTGAAACACGCTACCTCCTGAGTCCAGCCAGCAGCCTCCGGAACACGGTTCAATGATTGTAGGAGCGAGGAGGACGAGGATATTCTGCTGGCCATTCCAGTCCAATACGCGTCATGCTCAGTAATTCGGAAGAGGGGAGAAGGTTCCACTTCCGCGGGTAGAGGCTAGTGGGGTACATGCATGGGTCTACAGAAGGCCCCAGTGTGCCGCTGATTTCTGGTGGACAGGCTGGATCGACTTCGGGATGTTTCGCTCGAGGATTCCCCAGTCGCGAAGAACGTTAGGAGCGCGGGACCTGCTCCTCTGAGCATAGGCACATTTGGGCACCAGAAACAGCTGTTGGACATTCGACCGCTGGCCCATCGGTGTACAAGGTCGAGCTTCGCGGACACTGCGTCGCCAGCCACACACCAAGTCTCTGTGAGGCCGCCCTGATTGGGAACGCATCGCCAGCCGCAAACGAGCCCCCGTATGAGCACCTTGATTTGCTGGAAAAGGGTCTCGGGGACGTTTCTTTGGGCGATGTCCGGCTCAGCGGACATGCAGAACGACCGGAATGGTCTTTCTATTCGTTGAAGATGGCGCGAGCAGCATCTGGGATATTGGCACTTGTCCGACTGTTATCGCCACTCTTCCGGCCTCAATCCGGAGCGCGTTGGACTGTGCATCAAATGGGCATTACGCAGGATCTCTGGTCGTTTGGAATCTAGGCGCGATCCCCGGTTTCCATATACGCAAGCCCTTGGAGCAGTCAGACCGCAATGAACAAGGATCACACGCGGCATGCCCGTCGTAGGAGGCGAAGAACGAGAGATCGATCAGTGTGCGGATTGAGAGGTCGCGTGTACTGGCGGAGGGAGGAAAACCGCTTCGTTATTGGAGGAATGCGACTCGACGACTGGAAACGCGAGTTACCCCAGGACCGTCGGGGACAAAGGGTGTGTTCCGCGCCGCCACCGTCTCATTTGCCTAGGCCAGCACAGTACACAATCGTGATCCATTCCACTCCGCTTCATTTGTGGTGACTAGGACCGGGATCACAGTCCGATCGATCCTTGCTGGGGCCGACTGCGAGCGCAAGGATCCCTTATGGCGACGAAACTGGACAACCGGAAGCGCGCGTTATGTCGGAGCCATCGAGGACAAACGGTGCGTTCCGTGCCGCCACAACCTTCTATGCATGTACGATACTCAGCAGTTGCCTGGCTTGTAGGCGAGCACAGCGCACGATCGTGAACCAGATCATTCCGATAAATTTGCTGAGACGAGGGCAGGATCGCAGTCCGAGCGATCCTCGGTGGGCCCACTGCCAGCGCTAGAAGCCCCTGTGGCGATGAGACCTCGAGGACAATGTATCTGGCCCAACAATGCGCTCTGCAGCCCATGCGTCGGCATCGCCGTGCACTAAGGCTGGGTCGAAGCCGAGTGCTGATTGACAAGCAGCGGGGTTTGTGCTCGGGACCTCTTCAGATTCCGGTGTCGATCCGAATGATCAATGTCGTCTTGTAGGCCGGTTTCGACAATTGCTTGGAGCAAGTATTTGAGAACGTCATTCTCAGAGTAGCGTCTATAGTAGGTGGCTCTGGATGCTTAAAAGAAACTCAGCTGAAACTACTATAAAGGATGGAAGCGTGGATGACCTACAGGAGGACGTACAGTGAGTTTTCAAAACCAAAGAGCGCCTCATCTGAGTCCATATCCTCTTATTCGGGATACTTCAGGTCGCAAGCGAGCCCTGTCGTTTGGTTTTTTGGGAGAATTTCAAGAGGACACAAGCACTTGGAGGTGAGGAGACGCATACAGTCTGTTCTCGGGTTGATGCAGCAGCAAACAGAGGGAACTGATTTCGAAGTCCGACAGGCCTTACCCGGGACTGGTGCGAAGATGTAAACATTAGTATCACCCCATTCGCTCTCGCTGTCAGGACTTTCTCCCAGGACTCTTCTTCAGATGGTCTCTCCCGTTGTAATGGGCTTTGACTCCCCATGCATCAAGGTGATCATTGCCAGTGGGGGCTCATCTCGAGACTCCGCGGCTCGCCACTCGCTGAACTCCCGGGACTGAGATTCAGTGAGGATGATACGGTACTACCTAGGAGGTGAGCCTCGGCTTTCAATCTCTCCCGTCTCTCTTGCCCTGCATACACTCATCCTTCATTCGCCCAGGTTCTACATCCTGTAACAGTACCATGAATGGCCTATTGCGACGCACACGCATATAGTCAGATATCATCTCAGCAGCCGCATTCTACGCCGTAGTCTTTGTCGGGCCGAGTCCCTCGCGCTGGAAGATTGGCCGACTTGCAACAGGGCTCGTCAATCTTGCTCAGATCAGCCGACTCTCCGACCCAGCCCAGAAGCCCAGTGCGAGATGAAGATGAGACACAGGCAGTGGTCTGGTGAGATCCTAGCGGACTACGTGCTCATGTCGATGTTCATAAGCCCGTCTTAGATCCCGATGAAGCCAGCTGGGGAGGAGATACATCAGACGGCCCAATATCCCCCTGCCCGTGTCCTGCGAGATATAGGCCGTTCACCGGGACGCGGCCACAAGCACACCGTCAACTCTTCCATCCCGGGGGCGTCGTTCTACGGAAAGGGGCTATCAAAAGGTCCATCTGCCGGTTCCAGTCCTTGCTGCAACTCGTGTTGTGACATGCCAGTCTTTACTGTCGTCTCTGTGCTTGGGCATGGCAGAGAGCGGAGCGCGTCCATCAAACTTCAGCTTGCGCTCAACGCACCTGAATCTCACCACAGCCAGGCCGATAATGCAGCGCTCAACGGCGTGACGACCTTCACTTTGCGGATTGTCGGGTGCACGGCCATGCAGCTACGTCTGCGCAGCTCATTTTTCGCCCAGGACCGACGCCCTGATGATCAGCTTCGTTTTGCATTTCCATCTGTATCTTGATCAGACAAGAGGAACTTTCGCTCTCATCAAGTTTCCCTGTATCGTCTTATCGCTACTGGATTGTGGAGAAGGCACCAAGGGGTCGGGACTGCTCAATCATGGAAACCGCGCGTCACACGTCGGCTGCCTTTTTACACAATGTATCGTATGACCAGCTCGATCGATGGGTCGTGGATGCGATTGAATGATATATAGTTGCACGGTGTTCTCTCTGCGGCGGTGTCTTCTGTCATATGTGGCCATTTCGTCGCGCAGCGCGCCTTCAAGCTGGGTGAAATCCATCCGGCTTCGTTATCTCCTGCAAATATAGGCTCTCGATGCTTGGATCTCTATAATTGTGGACAAAGCACCGCTTTTCTCGAGCATGAAGGTGCATGTAGGCACATTTAGAGACTCTGTGTTTTTATGTTGTAGTTTTACAAGTAGGTAGCTTTGGAGACGATGTCTTCATTCGCAAGCACAGCTCCCCGTGTATTTTCACCTCGTAGACAATCATTACAAGTGGAAATAGTCCATGAACGGACCCCTGATGGGCTAGCACCTGCTTACCCTTGATCAATGTAAGCAGAAAACACGCCTCCACATTTGTAGTTGATCACAGAGAGCCTCTGAAAAAAAGCAGAACGTCCTGTTCAAAGTGACATTGCTACAGTACTTTTAAGGATATCGTTTGGTAGTGGTCCGAGGAGAAAAGTCCGCCAGTTCTGACAACCAGACGAGGTGACCAATCCGTAGAGTTGGATGATGGTGGAAATGCGGACGGGATGACTCGGTAGCGATTGGGGGAATGGGGCAGCCGCAATCTATGAAGTGTGATGTGTACGAATTGGCGCGATAACACGGTGTGACATTTGTGACACGCCGTGTCGATTGATTGTAGCTGTCCATCCAGTGCAGGGGCCGTGCTAGAGCCGCTGTAGCCGCACGGAGCTAGGCATCGGAGGATAATATCAAGGTTTGAACGATGAAATAGGGTCGACGTTGTTGTGAATGAGAAATCGTAGAGAGAACCATGATTTTGAAGGCTGTACATATTTGCTCGAGGAAGCTGCCACATTCATGCCCGTCTTGCCGACGACCCCGAAGATCATGGTGCTTCAAGAGGTTGACGATATTCCCAAGGGTAGATCGGCAGACCAGATGTGACGCTATCCAAGAATTTGACCATCTTGATGGAATACAAAAGGAGTTGGGGCACTGTAGTTAGCTCCCGGTCGACTGATGAGGTCTCGAGATCTGTCGATGACTCCATGACGCTCGTGAACGGAGCTCGCCGAGTGAGAGACCAAGATCAAGAATGACAGATACCGATTGGCCGCCCAGGGCATGTAGACGAAAGGTTCTAATGGTGCACGAGGGTCGGCCGGGCCCAGACATTGATATTCTGGTACGCACGCTCGCGGGCAGTCGCGCGTGCGAGCTCCTTATTTGCCATTGCTCGGTCAAGATTGCGTGGGAAGGGACAACATCATTTTGAGCGATACAGAATCACCTGGACAGCCTGGCAGCACAAGAAAATAGTTTTCGAGGATGCCATGGAAAATGGTAGCCGGCACGAGAGAAAGAGAGGCCTCTGAGCGCATGGGATAGTGCAGCTCAGTGCAGTCATCCTTGCTGCCCTTGGCCAAGAGTCTGCGGGTCCAACCTATTCCTTGTGAGCGGCTGCCGCCCCCGAGGATGTTCGACGGAGACGTACGTGGGTCATCTGAACAAGCTCCGCACGACAAGGCCTCGATTCATCATTCTAGAAGGCTCCAATTCAGGGCTGAGCGCTGAACAAAGACAAAGGACGAGAAATGAGGCCACGATTGCTCAGATAAGACTACACATACGATGTTTCCACGGCGGAGTGCCAGTGGTCCTGCTTCGTGGCTGTAGAGAGGGTCTCGGCGTGACGAGAAGTCGATTTGATTCCTGGGTCATCGCAAGAGGGTGCCTACCACCGTCTTGCCTGGCTCTTGCACCGAGTGCGCTGCTGGCTGAAGCTGAGTGAGGACTGGAATGCCGGCGAGCCCATATGCAATGATAGCTCCTTCCCGTGTCAGCTTGATCAGCCAGCAACCTGGAATTTGGCGTCAATAACGTTAGCGAGCACCAGAATCTTGACTCTCTGACTTCACTCTACTCTCTGGAATGTGCATGCCCTGTCCATACATCCACACAAGTGGAATAAGCCATCTCTGACTGCAGACCTCTGCTCGAAGACATAGCACAGACATTCCACATTCCACGAGCGGAGAGGATCAAGAAATCTCTGCTAGTCATCCAAATCCAATGCGCGTCATCCACACGGTAATTCGGAAGAGGACAGAAGCTTCCACGGAAAGGAGAGGAGAGCAGGGTGCGTGTATGGGCCTAGCACAATAGTTCCAGAAGCTCTAAGTGTCCCGTTGATCATTGGCCGACAGGCTGAACAGTCTTCGAGGCGTTTGCTCAAGTATTCCCTGGTCGCGCAAAACGGGATGAATCTACAAGCACATCCTGGCTCCCGAAGTGAATCCTGTGCATTCGACTGGACCATAGGCACGCACGGACGAGTTTCGCGTTGGACGCGTCGCCAGTCGCTGACGACTTCCTTGTGAAGGTCATCTTCATTCTTCAACCAAGGTCTCGGAGACACTGCTTTGGACTATGGCCTGCTCAGTAGACTTGCGAACTTGACCGGAAATGGACCGTCTCCTCGTTCAAGATGGCGCGAGCTGCATCGGGGAGCTTCGTGCTGGTCCGACTGTTATCGCCACTCTTCCGGCCTGAATCCGAGAGCATCGGTTCCTCGGTCGGATGGGGCTGACACGACATCTCCAGTCAATTGGGATGTTGCGCAGATTCCCCATTCCCCCGCACAAGCAAGCTTCTTGACCCGTCGGACTGCAATGGGCAACGACTGCACATGAAATGTCCGTCGTGTGAGGACCAACGGTGAAAGGTTGAGCGGCAAGTGTGCTGATTGCGAGGTTGCGTTGACAAGCAAATGCAGGCACAAGGACTCCTTTACTTCAGGACACGATTGGACGACTGGTAGTGAGGATGGTTTCCCGTGTTGTCAGCGGCAAGAGGTGCGTGCTGTAACGCCACAATCTTGTGTGCGTGCACGATGCTAAGGAGTTTCTTCATAGACCAACAGAGCGAAGGATCGTGATCCATCCTGTTTTGGTCGTGTGTGGGGTTGGGGCAGATTTGCGGCGGCTGACCAGGACCGCAGTCCGAGCGATCCCTGGGCAGCCAACTGCAAGCGTAAGGAACCTCTGGGGCGAAGAGACCGCTGGGCGATGAGAACTCCGGGACGGTGCGACCTCTGGGACGATGCGACCTCGAGGAAATGGATCCCACCTATCGATGCGCTCAGTAGCTCCATTGTCAGCATCATCGGGTGCTCAGGCTGAGCCCGGCCAAGTGCGGATTGGCCTGCGGCAATGAGCTTTGGCCCTCGCGCATCTTCCGATCCCGACATCGATTCATATCGCTCGCTCTCTGAAGACCAATTTCATCAACTGTTCGGAGCCAATGTTAAAAGGTGCAGGATCTCAGAGCAGCGGGACGGCATACAGTTGATTTCACAATCGGAGGAGTGCTCTTCCGAACCATGATCTCTCCTATTTGTGATATATCAGGCCCAAGCGGGCTATACCGATTGGTTGCTTGAGAGGATTGCAAGAGCATGTATGCGCCTGGAGGCGAGCAGTCGGCACACAGCCTATTCTGAGGGTCGATGCAGCAGCAAACAGAAGAAAGCGATTTCGAAGTCCGACAGGCTTCATCCGGGGTTGGTGTCAAGAATTAAACGTTGTTCTCGCACCTCGGCCGACTTCGTGTACCTCACCTTCGCTCTCACTCTCTAGCCTGGGCTCGCGGCATCTTTTCTCGGACATGCTCTCCCGCCCTTCTCTCCACAACACTCCAAGTGAATCTGTCACCGTCGCAGGCACGTCCTTAGACTTCGCCCATCGCCACTCTTCGAGTTCCCGGAGCCGCAATTTCAGCGTGGATAACTTCCATGAGGTGAGCATAGGCTTCTAACATATCGCAATTATCCCGTCATCCATGCGTTCATGCATGGGCCGCCCCAGTTCTAGATCCTCTTACAGCACACATCATTCACGGGACTATTGTCCCACCTCCATTCTACGGACGACCTATTGCAACGTACACACACATGTATTCGAATTCCATCCAAATGGACATGTTCTGCCATTGAGGCTCCGCTGGACCGAGTTCTTCACGCTGAACCATTGAACGTCAGACAACAGGCCGGCGACTCTACTGTCGCATTCGACGACCTCCTATGGTTCATTCCACATTGTTCGACTCAGACAATGACGACCCATCTACACTCAAGAAGCGAGTGTCAGACGGCATCACCCGTTGAGCTAACGGACTCTCAGACCACGAACAGTCGAGCAATCCGAGTCCTTCCTCACCGAAGCGGTTGCAATCAACACACCCCAACGTCGACCCAGATGAACGAGCCGCTGGTCGGGATGTCCATAACCAGTCCTTATCTTTGCTCAAACCCGCGTTCCATCCTGCGTAGACTCGGCCAGAATGAACGTCGCAGCATTACTCTCGTGGAATGTCAGATGACCCAGTGCTTCCACCGCAGTGCGCTCGAAAACATCAAGAAGCAGAAGTCGACTCAGCATGCAGCGACAACCAGGAGGCGGCTGTTCATGGGAGGCGTCTCGTGCGTATAGGAGTCATAGGACAAGCAATCGACACAGCTATTACATCAAGTCTGGTAGAGCCAGCCAGAAACCAGACAGTGAAAGACGATGAGAGAGAGCACTGGACGGTCTCGGCGGGGAGAAGTTCCTTCCTTCTGCTGGGATAGCACATTACAAGACCTGATCCACACTCCAGCGTCATGTGATGTCAGCCTTATCAGCAAGGAAGCAGCATCGAGTTGGCACGCACTGACATTCTCGAGCGGATATTTTTCTTGATGCGCCTCATCGCGCGACGGATCTTCTTAACTCAGCGTCAACGGACCACGCCCGAAATCAACGGCCGGGGGAGCTGTCGCGCTGGAACGAGCCAGTGACCCTGCTCTGTCGCATTTCGGCCTGCAATCCCAACAGGTCTTTCGTTGAGCATAGCATCCGCATGCATATATATCCGATCGAAATCATCTACTGGGCGCGGAGAACAAGGCCGGAACCTCGATCTATCCTGGAAGGGCGAGGCCATGAAAGCGGCCGAGTTGTCCGTTTCCGCGCACCATTTATCTTGGTGCGCACTTGAATTCGTGATCCTGACTCGGAGGACTCATGGAAGGCCACAGCCACGAAGCACTGGTCCACCAATCGAACCGTTTTTTCGAGCCACTGCACGCCTTCCTAGAGCCCTTTTCATTGCGGAGCTGTGAAAATGCGCATACAATGAACAGTTTCGTGCGCGTGTGCGTCGCGACCGCGCACACGGCTTCGAGCTTTCTCTCAAAATTGCCGTTCAGAAGGCACGGAACTGCTCCGTCGTCCGTTACCCAACGACGTGTTCGAAGTCTTGGAGGCTGCGACGCGCGCTTACCACTTAGCTAGACGATGAGATCCGGGCGACCTTATCTGGTACAAGGGAGCACCAGGATGAGCTTTGCCTTCACGCGCCCTGGATCATTCGTCTCAAACTCGACGAGAGCTTGTCATGTCGTTCCCTGCATGCGCGTTGACCGAGGCGCTGGAAGACCGCAAGAACCACAAACTTACGAGTCGCGTGCCCTCGCTGAAGGAGTAGATCCTTCCAACCTCTTCGATCTCCTTGCATGTACAGCCAAACTTCGTGCGTCGAACCTGCGACTTTCTGCATTCGATGATGCCCTCGGGTCTCTTCTCCCGATCTCCGTGAAGAACGAGCTGGATTGTCTCGACACAGTCAATCTCGTGACGCGATTCCACACCTAGATCCACGACCTCGAACCCGATACCTCCCGAGTCGACCAATCTTCTCAATGCTACGCATGGACGGGCATATATGCAGCATTCGTCGACGGGGATTCTCCAACACCTCGCCCAACTGCGTGTGCTGCTCACCTGGTTACTGAAGGAAGAGCGGTTTAGCATGTTTCGTGTCGGCGGATAGGTCTAAAGGGTATTCCCGTCACTGTGGTTGCATACACTCCCGGTACGGCAGCTCGGGCTCGAAGTGCTTTGAGCCTCGACTCAGTTTCCTCACGACAATCACCTCGAAGACGCTCTCCTTGGCCGAGGTGCAGATGGATGCCTGGCAACCGATCTATGTCGCTTTCATCCTTACGGCGACTGAAAGCGGTCATGGCGATCAACAGATCCACCGGGCCCAGGTGCCGACACGGAAAGCTCATTTTGTATTCCTCTCAGCTGCCGAGTTCACGATGGAGAGAGCGTTCTGGTTACTCTTGCCGCTTTCTGCATTCCAGCCCACCCGCTCACGCGAGATCTGCCTGACATTGCCCACAATGAAGAATCCTCGAGCGCCGGACTTGGAGCTCGCACTGTCTGTCTAATTTCGTCTATTGTTTCAAACGTTATCTCGCAGTAGGTCTATGTGGATGTGTCCACGGCTATCCCGTGATATTCGACGTTATCAAGGCTGAGCTAGATTCGAATCGAGTTGTTTTATATCCTATTCGTGGTCTACCACGACTGGGACTGTCGCCATGGGGGGCTTTTCAGACCGGTCGGAACATCGTCAAAGGACGGCTTATCTTCAGAATGCTGGTGTTCTTGCATGGGACTCAAGTCCAACTCAATATCAGCCTTTGATGTTTCGCATATGATCCTCGTCCTCGACTTGCTCGTGATAAGCGATTAGAAATAGCTTGGAAGCCAGAATTTAACATGTGTAGAATAGCGGAATCATGTGGGATAATACGGTCTATATCCATCTCCTCGTCGATGCAATCAATCACACACATACTTGTGCGAGGATCAGTATGATTTGGTGATACGTCGCAGAAGAGCGCCCTCCGCTGCAACACCTGGTCCGAATGCTATACTGACGACCTCCTCCCGGCCTGGATGACGTCTCAAGGCATCGAGCACGCACAAAACTGTGACTGAGCTCATATTCCCGTGCTGTTCGTAGATCTCCCAGCTCGCCTTCAAGTGCTCCCTCCCAACGCCCATCGTTTCCTGGACCGCAGTGAGAATGGCTGCTCCGCCCGGATGGACCGCCCAGTCGAATTCGCGCGGTCGTAAATCAGACCGTGGAGTGGCAAGTGTCGCGGAGGCGTCTGCGGCAGCGGCGTTCGATGAGAGTAGAGTGCTGAATATCTGGGGCACACATTTGCTAGTGAGAGCGGGGACGCGATGGGACAATGTCGGCGTGAAACCTGCAACTCGTTAGGAATCGAGGAGTCACTTGCACACGAGGGCCACACACCAGTACCCTCGGGATCGAACCGCAAGTCACCCAGCGTATCAGCCACCATCATATGCGTCCAGTTGACGAGCTCGTATATGCCGTTCGCAGACGGACGATCCAGCGAGAGAACCAGAGCAGCAGCACCATCTCCAAACAACGTGATCCCGATGCGCACCTGCTGTTCGGCGGCGATGCGCCTCAGCTCGTCTCTGCCCATGGTCGTAGTGATCTCACACGCAACGACCAAGACGTGCGCGGGCTCGCCTCTCCAAGCCGCCGCCTGGCAGAGACTAGCCGCGAGCCTGAGCGCTGCCAGACCTCCTGCGCACCCAACACCGCCCAGCAAGACCCGCTCGATCGTCGGCCGGAGGTTCAATTCTTTGGATAGAACACAGTCGAAGCCAGGATGAGAGGCACTCGTGCAGGTTGTGGCGACAAGGTGGGTGACATCGGCCGCGGACAAGGCTGCTTCGGCGAGCGCGGCCTGGGCGGCGGATTTGGCCAACGGGATGCCCTCGCGATTGAATATCTCGGATGATTCGCGAACCGAAGATGGGCAGGGAAGATCGACAAGTGGGCAGACGACTGAACGGGCCTTAATCCCTGTGCGACGATTAATGGCAAGCACTTTGTCGAGCCTGCGATTGATAACTCCTTAGCTAATCCAAGCATATAAGAAGAGAACATACGCACGCTGGAGACGAAGGAAACCACTTGTGCGCAAGCTTATCGAGGTCCTCCGTCGCAGTCAGATGCGGCGGGTAGCTGACTCCAAAGCCGGTAATCAAGAGCGAAGAGGCGGTCATGCCAAAGATTTCTCTGCATCGTGCTTGAATTTTTCCTTATATATTCCTTCTGGAGTTTCGCGTGTGCAAGAGATCTATGTATGTTGCGATATCGTCTCCGGTGGTATTGAAACTACGCTTGCTCGGTTATTCCCGTTTCTTGGCGGAACGGATCGCTCTTCAGCGTGTTTCAGCTTGAAGTTTCCGTTGGAGGAGATGGTCATCATTGAGTATGTAAAGATCTCAGTGCAGGAGGATGGGGAGAAAGGAAGGATTATCAAAATGACGTCTGAGGGGCAAGGCCATTATGTCTGCGTCACCGTGACGGTTACCAAGCTTCGTGGTAGTCGCGAGCCGTCACATCAGGTGACGACTGGCTCTTGCTCACGCCACGTGAACAAGTGCAACCCCTCATAGCTCATTGGCCCAGTTCAGTGTGCCGGCAAAAAAAGCTTTGAGTTCTCAGCAGTCAATTTGACTCAAACATCGGTGAAACCACGTATTCACGGATAAGATTTGAAGCTTGTCAAGATCACATGTGCGCGTTCATCACGTGTAGCACCACGTGACAAGAAACACTAATCCAAGTTTTCTCCCGTCCTTTCACAAGCGCGAAACCTCTTTTCTGTGCGGTCTTACATCTGATTGTACCATGGCTCATCCAGTACAATTCAGCAAGTAAGCTAGGAGCGCGGCAAGCTCCGGGGTGCAATGCTATTCCGATGATCTTTCGACAATCATCTCGGCAAGCAGTGCCCGATTCGTCAGCACACAGTCACCGACGTTCCTCCTTCCCCCATGTCGTCTCCGGCATCGAGCGCCCCGCCCGAAATCATTGACCTCATCCTAGACTTTCTGCACGCCGATCACCGGACACTCTTCTCCGCGAGCCTCGTCGCGCGCAAATGGGTCCCCAGCGCCCGTTTCCACGCCTTCCACCGCATCGCGCTGCACCACTTGCCCCATCCGCGCCAGAGCCTGCTCGTCGACAACGTGCAGGAGTTTATCGACATCTGCGCCTCGCCGCTGTGCACGATCGTCCCTGCGGTGCACGAGGTGCTGCTCGACATCCAGGTGCACTTCAATTTCACGCCGAATCTGCTCCGCGATGTCGTGGATGCGCTGCATCAGGCACCCGTGCGCAAGCTCGTGTTTGTGGATCACACACCGGCCGTGCTCCGGAAGCCGTTCAAGATAGGCTGGATCGCGCTCAAGTTCCCGGCGTTGAACGAGCTGGTGTACCATGCCCTGGACCAAGTCGCTGAGGATCTGCTGCAGCTCGCCGTGGATCTACCCGAGCTGCGCGCGCTGTCGATCTACTCGTCGTCCAAGGAGCCTGCAGCCAGCGCGTTGACCCGGATGAAGCCATTCCCCGTGCTGGAAACGGGGACGTTCGCCAAGCTGAGAACGCTGCGCTATCGACTGTACGCAAAGGAAGGGGAAGAATTTCTCGGATGGTTAGGCTCGTTGCCTTCCCTCGAGACGCTCGATGTGTGGGTGTTTCAGGCCAAACACACGGGGTGGGGACCGGTGGACAACTTGAACAACTTTCTGGCCCACGACGGCGCGCACATCCAGAACATGACGCTGGCAATGGTGTACGAGGATCACGCGCCAATCTTGTCCGCGGATTGGCTCTTTCAGCCCAGTGGTGGCACTCGTTCGTGCTCTTTTGGCATACATCTCCAACACGCTTACTGACAGGCATCTACGCATATAGTCGACCTCAGCCCTCTGACAAACCTCTGCACGCTGAAACTCGAATCACACGACGCCATGTCTCTCTGCACGACTCTTGCGTCGCTCCCCGCTGGCCCACGCCAAACGATCATCACCTCCTTCCCTCGCTGGCCGCACCGCACCGACTTCAGCTGTCCCTGCGACTTTGCGACCAATCTGTCGGTGTTCTCGACGACGATGATCATGCCCCAGTTCCAGCGGCTGGCGAGATTCGATATCCTCGTCCCGGCGGTCTTCGCCGACGAAGGCCGGGAGATGCTGGCCCAGTTCTTTCCGCGGCAGATGACCCAGGGCGTCCTCCGGGTGTGGTACTGTGATGGGGAGGAGGGACAGGAGGGGAAGTGGCCGCCCGATTCCTGGGAAGAGCTGTGTCGGGTCACGTTTGGTGTCGTTCAAGAGTCCCCAGCCGATTGAAGATGATGATGGCCTGGGACATACCAGATGGGCCTGCAGTCCATGATACTCCGAAAAGGATCAAAGCAGAAATATAGCCGCGTCTCTTCGGGTACGACTTCCCATCTCCGAGGAGATTGGTCATTGCGGCTCTGGTTTGTACCGCAAGTTGATGTGGTCCTCGGGCTCGAATTCAAGTTGGCCCCTAGACTTTCTGGCCACTGCGCCCAGTTTCGGCCTGGGAACAGCAGACTCCGGTGGACAGTGACCATACTGTACCATGAATCGCAGAGCAACTCGTCATTGGTCGAATCTACGTTCTTCTCAGCTTCGCCCCCAGGCCCAGCCTAGGCGACATAAGGCAGGCTCCACAAAGGATACTCTTGGGCTTCTCATCATCAATCCAGAGTCGATGGAAAGACCACAAGTAAGTCTGGGTAGCAAAAGAAGACGCGCCGATGCTTCGAATGGAATGGGAAGCGAGGCTGCGGGGACCAAGTCGGGGTCGGGGGTCTTGCGTGATCTTACATCAGTCGTATTATGTGCTTGCAAGACACACGGTGCAATGCAAAGCAATCTGCAAGCAAGATAAGCGCATCCGGCGGACGAGAGCCGCACTCCGCGGCACTCGCAGTGCGCCACGCGCGATCGCGCCCCGGAGACAAGGGGCCGGCCCAAAAGGAGACGGGAAGCCACGGTCCAACAGCGGTGGGATTTCTTGGAGGATACGAGCTGCGTCCGTCAGACGCCTATGTACATTTGTTTCAAAAAGACGTGTGGGAGACACACGCCTGAGTTGGACAAGTGTGGAATCTGGGCTGTTAATAATCCACCTCGCACGAGCGAGCGCCTGCAGCGAGCCGGTTTCCTATATTTCCAATAGTGCTTTGTGCTTACTGAGGACAGGGGCGCTCGCTCCATCAAGCGATCGCTGCCATGTAAATATGTATATTAGTTGGTAGGGAGAAATGCCAATCGCCCTGACGAACACACATAGAGTGGGGCTCAGGCATGTGTTTCTACGCGAGCTGTCTGCGGAGTTAAAAGCTGGTGGTGACTGACAGCGAGAAAGGAAACACGAGAGGGGATGTGTCCGATGGGGAAGCTGGCCGGTGAGAGAGAGAGAGGGCCAAGACAAAATGAATCTGTTCCGGAAGTCATGCGCTTTTGAAGTTCTGGATATGCACGTGGGATTTGCATTCAGAGAAGGCTCGCAGACGAGACCAGCAGGACGCCCGTGCTGTTCAACTCAACCCAAAAAATCTGCACAGGTCCTTGCTGCAAATGTAGCGGTGCCGATCAATGCCTAATTGGGAGACGTGTCGTCACTTTTTGAAATTCGTACTTGCCATGAGAGTACATAGCTGCAGGTAAATTACGGCACAGGCAGGCGGAAAGTCTTCGCCGCCAATCAGCGTTTCCCGGTTGTGATGATGTACCTGTCATATTTTGTTAGTACGAACTGCGGGGATCCCGAAGATGTCGACGACGTCCGGACGGGTTCTTGGACGCCCTCTCGAGCCCAACCGTGCCTTGCATGGATGTCAATTTCTGAGCCGCCTACAGCTCCAGCAGGGGGTGAAGGATCTGTCGAGTGCGCCCGGCTGTTCTCTGCGCCGAGGTGGAGGAGGCCAGGCCAGAAACTCTGGCATCCCGGGAGGATACCCCCGGAAAGGCTTGGCTGCATTCCGAATCCCATTTCCGAGCCTGATCCGGCGAACGAGACGCATTGGCGGTTGACAAGCGTGGCGGTGCACGGCCGAAGCCTGTGCCAAAAACTAGCCGACGATCGAGCGTTAGCAGGCGTTAGCCGACGTACCCGAGCTCTGCCCATCAGTAGTTCCCTTGTGGTGGTCACATGCCCCATCAGATCTGCTCTAAGGCCAAGATGCAGCCTGAGATAGAATCCCTGATGCGATGTGGGTGACACTGATACTGTCTTGAAAACCGTGGTCGCCCCGCAAAGAACCGCTTGAAAAGGCTCCAGACGCTTAGCTATGGGGATTCTGAGGAACTCCCCTGATCCTGCACACACGCGCGCTCTCCTCTTATCTGCTCAAGATGGCACGACTCGCACTCACTCTGCGCTCTGTGCGCACTCAATACAGCAAGTTCTGGCTTCATTCTACGAGCAAGCTGCCGCTGACTCGTCTTTGCCGTCGCAGAGATCGCCCTCTATCTGGATGCTGTCTATCTCGTTTGCGTTCTTTGTCGGGGAGTGTGGTACGGGCTGGCTGGAGTCGGTGACGTCGGGTCCCCTGTACCGCATATATCCTCCATTGACGCGTCGCTCGTCTGATCTCCAGAGCTCTTCGAAGGAGCGGCCGCTGCGACTGCCTGTCTGACTGTGGTCATGCTCTGGCGAATGTCGGTTTTCTTTCTTTTGTGGAGGATGTTCCGATACAGTGCTCACGCTCAGCGCCAGGCTCCCGCACACCGTCGAGTCGATCCCCTCGTCGTCCCTCTCCCGGGTGGGCGTGCAGTTCTCGCTCGCCGGGATGTTGACGGGATTCTGGCTCTTCCCTGGTGAGCCCTCGCATTCCGTGTTTCTGACCCTGCCATAAATCAACGTCTCCCTCCAGCCTTCAAGACCGTCCTGCTCGTCTTATCCGAGTCTGAGCCTGATTCGGCCGTGCCGTCGTGTATCGCCCACCCGCTAGATACCCTCGTCTGCACGCCCTGGGCGGTCTACCGCTTCCTCCCGCTCCCGATCCTGTTTTGCGGTGCGTCAGCCCGGTCCACATGCCTTGGAAATATCGTCTGACGTGCACAACCAGTCGCATTCTCGTCCTATCTTACCTATCACCACGCGATCGCCATCTACGGCACCGACGACCTCATGCTGCTCCCCGACGGACCCGTGCAGGCGCCGCTCCTCAAAAATCGGCCGGGGACGATGATCGCGTCGTGGACCATGGCGCAGATCGCTGATACGGAGGGCAGATTCGAGAGCGGGAGCGGGGGAGACGCGGCGGTTGTGTAGATTGCCATTCGTACAGGACGGGCGCTTATTGTGGGGGCTGTCAGACTATCAGCGGGATTGCAGGGTCTTCCTGCATTCCGCTCGTCTGCGCGGTATGATCAAGTCGTCGATTGACGTCCTTCCGAGGAGTCACACGGAACATAAAGCAATAGATGGTAGTGCAACGCAAAGAGATGAATTTGGAGACGCAATGTCCGAGGGCAGACTGGGAGAATTTAAGCAGGCCGCCGCGCATCAGAATCTGCCGTGCAAGACTCGACACGATCGCAATCGACATCGGCCGAAGAGGAAACGGACATTCATCCCTCTCCACCTGTCCTGTCGTGGTAGGGACTGGACTGGATTCACCTTGCTTGTGCCGTTCGCGCATGATCATTGTGTGATAAGCTCATTACCAGTGTTATTTATAGACGGGCGCTCCCGCACGGCCTCGACTATTCCGACCAAAGCTTGAGCGCCGAGCAAGACAATCTCCCACGACACCCTCTCGATCTCCCTCCCTTCATGATATACCTGGCAGCCTTGCGCTCTTTCCGAGTCCGAACCCAATATCGCAAGTCGTCCTGAGGTTGCAGACAACACAACTCATTCTCCCGGTAGAGATCTCTGCGTGGCTAGCCCTCGTGTACCTGCTCTCCGTCTTCTTGCGCGTGCTGTCGTATGGGGTGGCGGAATGTGGTGAGACGACTACCTCCTCGCTCGCTTATGCACACTCACACACGGGTCGGCCTGTCTAGGTTTCGCCGAGGCAGCGGGCGCTGTGATCGCAGCCGCGACACTCGTGTGGCTCGCCCGAATGTTAGTCGTCTGTCCGCCGCGGTTCTTGTCTGCTCGAGCTCGTGACTTCCAGGCTGCCTTACACCGTGAGAGCGGACCCCTCCTCGTCCTGGTCACGAGCGGAAAGGCACTTTTTGTCGATTGCGCTGGTAATGGTCCTGTGGTTCTTTCCCGGTGAGTGAGTGAGTGAGTGCGCAAGGATAAGGTCATCTCATGGCCTGGTGTGACAGCTGTATACGTCATCCTCAGCTTGGATAAATACGGGACCGACTCGGGCGCACTGTCCTGCACAATATACTCGGGTCTCGCCTGGTCCGCTACCTGCATCCCATTCGTGGGGTATGTCTTCCTCCCCGTGCTGATCATCGCCTCCCGTACGTTATCCTATTTCTTGGCTTATGCGGTCTCAGTCTTGGAGCAGTCTTCTTTGCGTGCATTCTCGTGGTGAACCATGCGAATGCCGTTTACGGTCTGGATACTATGATGCCGCTCCCACAACCGGAGAACGCCTCGTTTTCCAAGATCGAGCCCGGCCCGATGGTAGCGTCGTGGACCGTCGCCCAAATTGCGCACATGGAGGCTGCTCTACGCGATGAAGGGCTGGCGAAGGTACAGCCTCCAGCTTGAACGTAGCATAGCATATATGCGGTAGAAGACTGTTATTCAAACACAGAGGTTGCTTTCGGCTCAAGGCTTGCGGTGGAGGCCCTATGTGAAATCGCGAGCAAGTGAGAGATACTGAGCGGCCAGCGTGCGATGCATGCATGGGGCCGGAAGACAGCCTATCGTGAGCAGATCTTGCGCATGAGAAAGAGGCACGCAAGACGCCTCCGAGCCATGGTCTGGCTGATTGGCTGCACCGTCATGATTATTTTCAGTGGTCGCAAGAATGAGAGAGAGAAAGATCGGGTCGCCGGCATCCATCTGCATGTCGCGAGGAAACTTTCTCGAGGCGCGGAGCACCACAAGTCCGAACTGGCGTCCTGGAGGATATACAACTGCAGTCACGGGAAACGCCCTTTCGACTCATTCTTCAGTTTCCAGAGGAGCGGCATAGGCAGCTGCGCGTGGCATCAACTTCCCGCCTATGAATCGTGCAGACAAGCCGAGCATTCATGGCATTCAGAAGATTCGATGAGGCGACCAGAACCCCGGACTTGGCCGGGACAGTTCAAGGAGAAAGAATTCAGAGTCCGGATGCGTGATGGCTCCTTGCTGCACGAGGTCAATCGTATCGTAGCGTTCCAGCCCTTTTTCCACGGAGATTGGTAAAAGAGCAACTGCGAGGGGACAGCATTCCCGGATGGGAGGAGGCTGCAGGCTTGGCCCGGTTCAGAATTCGACGAAAGATGCCGAGATGGTCGATGAAAGGCGCCGAGATGGTCTACGCCGTAAGAGATGGCATGGCACATGTGCCGAAGAACACCCCCCACACCATATGTCTCCGGTTCGGGATGGTGAGTTCCAGCCTTCTTTGACCGACCCGGAAACGGGCAAGCGGCAAATGGGTGCCGGCTAGACCGCCAGCCCTGGTGATCCGTTTCGCAGATTTGTCCGAGGACGAAAGCTCCCGTCCACGCGCGAGGGAAGGTCGAGTTACATCGGCGAGCGTCGTGATCTCGAAGCATCATACTTGTGAAAGTCGTGCGGGATCAGAGGCCCAGCGGCATGGTCTTCGAGAGACACCGCTTCACTTTCGCGGTCGCAATGCGGACACACATGAGCCTACTCAGTGTGCATGCGGCTCCAAAGCTCGACCGAGCCAGGTGCTCCAGGAAGATGTAGTATATCTCAGCGATACGGCAGAGCTGTTTGGGTGGTTCTCGGCTTTGGTCACCCATGACCTGAGTCAGACTCCAAGTTGACGAAACGCGTCCAAGTGCGTGCTCCGATGGTTGCTGTGTGGACACAGATGTATCGGGCCGCTATCACGGAATTGACGAGTATTTCGAGTGGCCGCCGTGTTCAGAGCGACGCTCAAGCCCATAAACGCAAAACCGGATCCGGCCAGTCGTGGTAACGTGATGAAGACTGAGCAAGGCAGGAACGCGATCACGTGTCATTCAGGACTAGAGGAACACAGGGATCAATTCGAGAAGAGATGGAAGCGACGGTTTTTCCATGTGACGCGCGGGCAGGTGTGGTTTGAGCAGGAATGATCATGAGCAGCTATGTAGCGGCGAGAGCCATGAGCGTCACGAAGTGACAGCCTGACACACAATCACTGATGCAATCAGGGATAACTGCCAGTGTAAACTAGACAGGCAGCTGAGAAATATCTCCTCAGCTCAGAAATATCCACTCAGCTGCTCACGGCGCACTTGGTATACCGAAATAGCTTGGACTCAGGAAGCAGGTTACGCCTACCAAATCCCCCGAACTCTCATCAGTCGTGCTGCGGCAGGTCGACCACTCTCGCGTGTGATCTGCTTATAACTTGAACGTGGATCGACACACCGCAACCTGGATATATGCGCGAATTTCTGTCCTGCTGTTTTGCCCAGTAGATGATTTTTACTGGAAATGATCGTCCGCACGCTATGATCAGCGGAGAGTCATGGGGCACTAGTCGCTCCTGGTGTCACGGTGACGGCTGTCTCGGCCGTGAATTTAGCGTGCGGTCCTTTGTAGCTGAGTTGGATCGTTTCGTCGGGTGCTGAACCGGTCCAAAATCGTGAGTGTCAACTCAACACTGCTTTTGGAGCGAACCTTATCATTATGGCCGAGTTCCTCATCGTCATACTGTGCATCATCCGACTCCCTTTGCCAGATAGGTCCGCCGTTCCAGTTGAATCGCTTGAATGGACGTGTATGCTCCTTCTTTGGCCTGGATTCTCCGATCCCAGGGTGGGAAGATGACTTGCTCTCCAAAAGGTAGATGGCAAACTGCTGAAATTCAGCACTTTCAGATCGACCCAAGTCACGCCGTCTACTGCAATCCTCGCTCATTGTCTTCCTCGGCCGGTACATAGCGCTTATGTGCATCGACGTGAGCGAAAAGTTCGTAGGAGTCTCGCTGAAAGACTGCCTGTATCTCTCGAACCAGTTTTCTGTACTTGGAATCAGCCCATCCACAAGTCGACCAGTCACCGAGTCCAGCCGGGTTGTGGAGCAAGGATAGCCTGACTGCACCCGCTGTGGTGTGGCCTGGGTCAATCTACTCCTGAGTCGTCGACTTCGATTGCTGACATCGTTCGGCGCTCAATTCTGGGGCGTGTATGCGTCACCCTTTCCGCGGCTGCATGGGATAGAATCGGCGATATACAGGATGTCATTGGCGCTCTTCCAGGCGCGCGGACGAGACGGTGCATGAAGCCTCTAAATACGGCACGATCAGCACTGCTACCAGCGGATGTAAAGTCGTTGGATACTGCGCTAGGAGTGTCACTCCGTTGTCCATCGTTCAATGCTCAGTGCGAGGCACCAAGTCGTATTGTAGAATATGACCATTTGGATGATATTCAAAGATATATGTCTACTCGCGACAGGTCTTCCGTAGAATGAGAGTGAGGCTCTGCTATTGGTCCTGTGAGTGATGTGAGCCGTGGGAGAGTCTGGAGCTCAGGCGACGGCCGGGGGATGGATGCATGAATGGCGAGGGAAATGCGAAAGAGTGGAAGCTGACGCTCACTTTCTAGACGTTATCCTCACCAATATCACAGCCCTGGAAGCTCGCGAGTGTCGGGTCGTGATTGCTGGTGTCGAATACTGCGATCACACCAAGATCAGACAAAGATCCACTGAGGGCTAGAAAAAAGAATGTCTCTCGTCATGAACGAACCTGTCCGAAGGAAAGCACCGCGTCCCCACGCTTGAGAGAGAGCAGGACGGAGCACTGGAAGTCGCCCAGAACGAAAGTTACGAGCGGACAGGGCTTGCGCCGGGGTGCATTGTCGGATATGGCCTGTCGGACTTCGAAATTGGTTTCTTCTGTTTGCCCTCACATCCACTCCAGAATGAATTGCATGCCGTCTCGTTGCTGTTGGGCGCCCTCTTACAATCTATCCAAGCAAGCAGCTGACGATGCTTGCTTGCCCCACGTTCAACAAGAGGGCGGATCCGGGTGCGGAATAGGCGTCCATCAACTTAAAAATCGACTGTAGGCCGCCCTGCTGCTCTGAGATCTTACTCCTCCCAGAACTCGCTCCAAGCAGTTGATGAATCTGGCCTGCAAGAGCGACATGGATCTTGTTGGGATCGGAAGAGACGCCCGGCCCGTTGCTCATGGTTGCAGGCCAATCCGCACTTGACAGAGATCAGCCTGACCGCGCGATGATGCCGACAACTGAGCACATCGATGGGCCTGATCTATCGTCCTAAAGGTTTCTTCGCCGGGGGATTGCTCACGCTGGGGCCGGCTACGCAGGAGTCGCTCGGGTGGTGATCCTGGTCTCACCGCCACAAACTTCCCCGCACCCCACACTCGCACCAGCCCCGGATCGATCACGATGCTTCCCCCTGTTGGCGAGCGGGAAAGAAAATGCTCAGGCTCGTCCATACAGGGAATCATGGGCGCACGGAACGCACCTCTCGTCGCCGACGGCTCGAAAGTGACTGCCACCACCAGTCGCCTAGTCGTATGCTGCCATATCGAAGTAATTGTTCCTTGCTTCGCGAATCAACACGACTTCAGAATCGGCACTCTGCGCAACCGTTTGCCGTGCGACGTCCATGTCATGTACGATCTTTGCCCGTGGCGGTGCGGCAGCTTGAGGGAATGACGCATATGACGGAATGGAGAATTTGCGTAGCCTCAATCGACTGGAAATTCTGCGTTGCGCCCATACGCCGACCTGATCCGGCAATCGACGTGCTCCAGTTTCAGGCCGCAAGAATGACGACGAAAGTTGCACCAGCGCCAAGATCCTCGATGCAGCATGCGCCATCACGAGCGAGGAGAGCATCCGCCTTGGTCATCTTCATGTTTACTGAGCGGATGATTGCTCAGAGCAGTGTCTCCGCGACGCTTGTCGAGGAAACCAAGAAGACCCGACGGAGAAGTCATTTGCGGCTGGCTACGCGTGCACCGCGGAACTCGTCCTGCCGTGCCAATCGTCCGGTCGAGTGCACAGAAAATGATTCCGGAGCGCGGATGCACCTGTGTATCAGAGGAACAGGTTCTGCGTTCCTACCACTTCTCGCGGCTGGGGCAAAGTTCATGAGCAAAGCATTCCGAAGACTATCCGGCCTGTCTGCCAAGGATCACTGGGACAATTCAGCTCTCTGCGACTATTGTGCTAGGCCCATACACGTACCCTGCTCGCCTCCCTTTCCCGTGGAAGTATCTCCTCTTCCGAATTACTATGCATGGCTCGTTACTGGACTTGCATTACCAGCAAATTGCCTTGGCCGTCTTCGACGATTGTGAAAAGCCCGAGCTTCGTCATGGGGTGGGTGGCCCGACTCAAGAGATAGTGTATCTCAATTTTGTGGATGCATGAACAGGGCGGAGACATTTCAAAGAGTATGGTGAAGACGGGAAGTCACGCTACCGGAGCCCCGCTAACGTTATTGACGCCAAACTACAGGTTGCTGGTCGATCAAGCTAGTGCAGACGGAATCTAATATTCCTACGGCCCCTCGCCGGCATCCCTGTCCATACTCGAGTCAAGCTAGCCGTCTAATCAGTACAGGAGCTAAGCAGGACTCTTGTGGATACTCTCTTGCGATGACTCAGTAATCTGATCGGCTTCTCGTCGCGCGGAGAACCTCTCTGCAGCCATCAACTAGGACCACTGGCACTCTGCCGTCGAAATATTCATGTGCGCTCTTATCTGGACCATCGTGGCCTCGTTTCTCGCCTTCTGCTCTGTCCAACCTCAATTGAGGGCTTCTGAAATGATGAACCGAGGCCTTGTCGTATGGCGTTGCTCAGATGACCCATGTACGTCTCCACTTCATATCGCTCTGGTGGTGCGGCAGCCGCTTACAAGGAATAGCTTGGACCCGGAGGCTTTCGGCCAGTCTCAGCGAGAATGAGCGGCCCAGATTGCACTTTCCCACCGGCTTAATGGTCGCTCCTCCTCTCGCGCGGACTGTAGTCACTCGAGGCGAAATTGGGAAGAAAAATATACTGCAGCCCATGTGTCATGTTCGGGATGATGGAGTTCTGGGTGGATTTCGAACGCCTCGAAAGCCACGCCTGCAGGAAATCAGCGCTGGGGACATGTGTAGCCCTCATCGAGTCTGCGGCGGATGATGCAGGGCGCGTTATCGTCAAAAGAAGAGAGTTATCTCCTCGCTGAATAAAGAAGGAAAGAAGGTCGGATCATCGCGACGGGTGTCTTTGTCTCCCAGTACCACGGCCAGGCAGAACCTGCTCGGGACAGTGACACATATCCCCCGGCAACAGAAGCAGCTGCAACCTGATCTTTGAGAGACGAGTTGGCAGCCGGTTTCGTGGTCGCGTCGCGCACGCGCACAAGAGGCTGTCCATCTTGCCGCCGTTTTCGAAACTACACTGGGCGGGCCATGTGATCCAGCGAGACGTGTTCGATTCGAGCCCAGGGACGTGGAGCACTCTACTCGCCCATAGCGCGCGTATCGACACACGGAAATGTATACTTGGCCTCTTCTATGGATTGGCCGGATATTCCGAAGTGGCAATCGTCTTGCAGTGCATACAAAGGAATCTCTGTGCACAGGGGAAAGAGGTCAAGTCCTCGTCCAGTCTCAAGTGGCCGTAGACTGGAGAGCGGAGTTCGGGGTGAGACTCTCGAGAGTCTGGCCCTTGTGAAACTGCGACGCGATCACGTGGCGAGCAAATACTATACACGAGGTCCTGAATTCTTCATTAAGACATGGATCCTGTCAACCTTTCCGTCTAACACATCAACCTCGCTGGAGGTACTGAGGGGATTCCAGATCCTGACACATTCTTCCAACGAATCTGCGCGGACCATACCCCAGGCCTTTCGAGCGTATCTTGCCTGGGAGACACGCAAGGGAAGAATCACTTTTACCATCGTTCGCTCGAACCACAAAGTCAACATCTTGTTGTTCAGTGGCGATTTCTACGGGGTCTTCGAGGACCCAGTGGCAACTCTCGTGGCGAGAGAGCGCCGGAAGTTGATTTTTGTGATTAAGGAGTAGTAGGTGAGTTTAGCTGCGATCACGCCCCATGCGACGATCAGTTGGAGCTCCTGGGACAGAACCAAGTCGATGATACGGATTTGAGGGCAGCTGTAGCCGTAGAAGACGATGCTTCTCAGACGAGCAAACGAGGGCAACACTTTCGACATGGTTCCCAGACAACCGTTTATCGTTCCGGAGCAATCCAAATTCAAACACAGACGCGCCTGACCTGGGAAGCATACCCAGCGTCTTCAGACTTGTCAAATTGAGTCAAGGAAGGAAACTGATGCTCGCCAGCGATTCGGCCAACATACATGGGATCCGAGTATTCCAGCCGAACATGGTGTCCGCACTGAAATGAATTCTCGAATCGGACATGCCAGGGATGGCAAAGAGAAGCTGAATCAGGGTGAAGAAACTATGTCTCACAAACGTCATGGGGATGCAAGAGTATTTTTTGGGGGTTTATACTGTATGAAAAGCGAGTACTGCAGGCTAAATAGTTCCAGGTCACCATCCTTCGCACACAACGTCGGATTTGGCCGCGCTCGTGGTGAACAGCGAGCTGCGCCGACTCCGCCTAGCCGCTGCCGGGACAACGGGTGCCGGTCCCTTGACAAAGAACGGCGCGCCGACGTGCTCGACGACGAGCGGCACATCCCGCACGAGGGTCGAAGGATCGACCGGAGTCGGTGCCTCAAACGAGAACCTCCTGCGGCGGGTGAAACGCGAAAGGGTGTTCTGGAAGCGAGGGGATTTGGGTGGAGAGGGTGGTTGTTTCACTGGATAGGGGGGCGTGGTGTCAGAATCGAGAAGAGGAGATTGACAATAGCTGAGACTCACAATCCTCCTCGGTCAGGATGACTTCCCTGCAGAAGCAGGCGCTGGTGGCAGCGCTGCTCGGTGACGCAGAGGACTCGATGTGCGAGGCAGCAATCAAGTCATTTGTGAGTGCGGCGGGAGGATTGTGGACTGGAGGGCAGTCAGCACAAGCAGAGGAAGACTCGTGCATACTACTCACGTTCATCTTCCGTCAGCACTACTTCGCGCTCGGAGAAGGTCCCGGTCACAGCTGAGCTCGACGGCGGGCTCTCGACCTCAGACGAGGACGAGGACGATGTGACATCCGAGTCCACAGATGAGGTGGACGCCTTCCAGGTAGCGGAAGCTTTCTTCGGGCGGGTGGTGGAGATGTGCTTCGGCAATAAGAACAGTGGGAAGGCCCTCGGGAGGGCCATCTCAGTCGAGGGCATGGTTGCGAGTGCAGAGAACATTGTGGTTGGAGTATGGGATTGGTATGGGCTTGACCATGGCTCAGGCCCGAAATTTATATCGATGAGCATGTCTCAGACACTGGGTGATCCGCGATCCCCTGTCCTTGCATCCGCGTCGATCTTCATCTGCTCCCATGGGATGACGTCGCTGTTTGAGACCACCACAACGTGACATTCTATTCCGCCGAGGTGGAAGCCAAGCGCAGTGCGTGGGACAGGCTGTACACGAAGGCGAAACAGCACAAGGCCAGCGATGGTCCTCTCTGGATTCTGAGCGGTTTCCTGTTGTCCTGTGAGATGCGCATTCAAAATCAGACGCAGACGGTCCGTCTTTTGAAACTTCTTGAGCGCAAGCGCCAAGTCTGGGAAGTCGCAATGCCTGTTATCGGACTGAGAAATGCATCAGCGAGCCCGTGTCTGGTAATCGCCCGGATGATCCTGCTCCAAGCACAAGAACAGTTCAGCCGATTCTTAGCTTTGTCTGCTCGAAGACTGTAGAAGGAGGGGGGTGAGAGATCTAGTCCCGTGAGACGGGGCTGCTTATTGACAGAGTAAGTTTGTTTCCGTAGAAGTGATGACGACCTCTTGAATGAGCCCAAGTCCCCTTGACGCGGTCACATGTGAATCAACGCCATGCATTGCGGATAAGTAAATCGACGGACTTTCAGCCTGAAACGTCGGCGCAAGTGCGGAAAACGGAGCTGTGAGCAGTGCCGCGAGAATTTCAGCGAGGACCAAGGTCGAAGTGTAGCAGCGCAAGCCACCGCAAATCGTGACTCTCAGTGAACACAAATGTACCATACGACATCAGACCCATCTATCGATAGTCTCAAGCAAAGAAATGCCGACAATCGCAGTCTCAAGGACAGGCAATACAGGCCTCCACCTCGATGTACGATCCGTAACGGAAAGCGGTCCAAAGCAATACGAAATGATCAGCCTCAGCGGGGGACCGGAACCGCAGATGCAAGTACGATTCCTCCGCTTTATCGACGTCAACCGACGACGGACGGACGAGTACGCTCCTGCCAAGTCCGCCAAGCATCATCTGCACCTGGCGCTGCGGGTCGGAGTCTAGATCAACCGGTCCAAAGTGCACGATGACATCTGGCTCCGAGGATGCAGAGTGCAATTCGCGCGCCTTGCCCTTCCCCTTCCGACTCAAGTGGATGTCGCCCGAGTGTTTGAACACCCGTTTCAGAACTTCGAGGATGTCAGCTACTGCCGGTCGAGCCGCCGCATCGACGTAGAAACACGACTCGACCAGATCCCACAGCGGCTCTGGCATCTCCACTCCTGACTTGTCGAGGGGTTTGTCAGGATATGGCGAGGTTTGGGAGGATTTAGAGTCCGACAAGGCCAGGATCAGCGCGCCATCCGAGAAGTGGGCGAAAGGGACCTGCCCCTCCGTCCAGATCTGTGTCGCCAGTCAGTCATTCAACCCGACCCGAGAAAGGGATCACTCTCACCTCACAGAACAAACAAGCAAGAGCCCAGACATCCGACGCTGTGGTCCGCTTGAACGACGCGTCTTCGCGGTAGACCGAGGGGTGGATCAGTTCCGGCGCCATCCAGCGCAGTGTTCCTCCGCGAGTGGATAGCACCGTCGACTCGCTCTCGCTGAATCCCGCCAGCCCAAAGTCGGTCACCATCGCCCTCCCTTTGTCGACGAGCACGTTCCGCTGCGATGCAGTTCAGTCTGGGGCGTGCGAGCAGTTTTGGTCGCAGGCTTACAGCGCAGAGATCTCCGTGGATGACATTGGATGAATGCAGATATGCCAGGCCTTCCGCAATGTTTGTAAGCTGTGCAACCCGTCAGCTCAATCACACGACGCGGAAGGTCACTTGCCAACGAGATCGCGTAGCCCGAAACAGGCGAGTTCTCCGCCATGTACTTGAGCACACTACCCTCGGGCATCCAGACAGAGACCATCGCAGGCCGGTTCGGGAACGTCGTCCCATCGACGCCGAGGAAGGGAACGATGTTCGGGTGGCGCAGGTAATGCCAGACCAGTGCCTCCTTGGCGAACTTCTTCAGCATGGCCCGGCGCTCGTCGTCCGACTGCGCCTCCGTGATTTTGAGCACTTTCAGCGCGACCTGCACCGGCGCGCCCGCCGCATCGAGGCATTCGCCCCGGTACACGAACGCAAACCCGCCAGCTGTGATGGGATGGTCGTGGAGCACGGTCATCCCGTGGACTGCGAGTTCCTCTGGGAGGATCCCGACGAAATCCGCCAGAATGCGGACCAGTCGCTGAGCACGACGATGGAAGACGATGGTCTCCTTGGTGTCTGCGCTCCCGTGTCCAGCGCTGGCGACCTGTATACGGTGTTACAGCAGCCGAGCCAGACAGTGTGAACGCTGCCCACCGAATGGACAAGGTTGAGCACGGCATATGCATCTGTCTCAGAGACGTCAGCTTTGAGCTTGAGCTTGTAGTCCGTGATGCCGAAGATCGCAGCCAAAGCAGGACGGAGACAAGCATTGTCCTCGCGGATAGATTCTTCGATGTTCCGGTCCGTGACAGACGGGAAGATCGCCAGAAGCTGCTCTCGTTTCGTGAGGAACGATCATCGACGTCGAAATGATCGTAGGAACCTTTGTCAACAGCTTGCGCCCCCGGTACACTCGCGATAAAGCGTCGTAGTTGGCCCCGAGAGAGTTGTCCCTGTCGACCACGGGAATCATGGATTGGGGGCTCACACAGAATGAACCCAGATCTTCCCATATCCTGGGAGCCGCGCATCAGTCAGAAGACGGATCTCGTTCCCGTCATGTTTCGAGACGCACTGCTGAGTGAGCAGATCATCCGCTCTCGGTGTGAATATCTCCTCTAATAGAACATTGAACAGGCCCTATTGTTGTATCAGCAATAAGGTAAAGACGATGCAGTAACGATCAACCTTGAGATACAACGGAGACACCGGTGGGTCTCCAGAGTACCGAACTTTGCCTGCATGAGAGACCGAAAGAAAGTACGCCATCGGAACGTGGACGTGATCGAATATCTCCTGGAACAGCCCAGGAGTGCCGAGAACGATGACATCGAGCATGTGGTCTCGGTTCGCAAAGATGACCCGGATGTTTTCGCAAAGTTCTGCACCCTGATCGACGTCGTTCATACCATGAATGACTACAACAGCACGTTGTGCACAGTCTCCGCTGCCCTCCCGTTGCCGTTTGTTCTTCCAGATCTCTTGCAATTGGTCCACAATCGATTGGTGGCCATCCTGCCTGGCCAGTCAGTGTGTTGACCCCCGTTATCGCACACAAAGAAAGACCGACGAAATCGTACTCGAGCTCGTCGACAAACTCGGGACCAGTGCATTCGCTCAGCCGATGCTCCAACGCAGCCGACACACCCATGGTCTTGCTCGCATCGATGCAGAGGACGGTGTGCACGGTTTCAATCTGATTCAGGATGTCCTGCAGCGCGGTCGCACAGAAACCGACGTCGTCGTTGCTGGGAGCCGTGACCCACAATGCGCGCCCCGTCTCCGGCAGCATGTTCAGGGTGCACCAGTGTCTCACCGAATCCCCGAATTCGTCAGGCAAACTCCATTGCGAACCAGGGAGGGCGGTCAGGGCCCGTTCGAGGTCGCTCGGAAGGCGAATCGGCCCAGCACGCATCTTGCGTACAAGTCGGGCGAACAGGTGAGGTTTGCTGACCCGGTACATCGGCCAGGTGTCGTGCTCGAGGTTCTGATCGAGTAAACGGATGACTGAAAACTCTCGTCAAGTACCGTAGTCTGAGATCAAGAATGGATCGCACCGGATACAAGACGAAAGTACTTGATCCGCAGAGGCGTGAAAACGATCGCAAGTAAACAGGCGACGTTATTGAAAACTAGGAATCTCTGCGACCAGGAATCAATGCTGGAGAGTGACGGCGTAGAAAATGACTCGGACCTGCACCCAGACTCTCGAGTGCGCATTGGCATCGACCCAGATGTTGGTTCCAAATGATGAATTGTCGGCTGAAGTTTGAAATTGCACCATTTCAACTACTCCGACACCCTCAGTCAAGCTTCAGTCAAGTTCAGTCAAGCTCGAGCCAAAAGGCCACAGAAACGCACCAGGTTCATGTAGTTCGAGAGCTGGGGAACGATCTCCGAAGCATCAGAGTAGGACAAGGAGGACATCATGAATGCCAGCGTTCGGAATACGATAATCATTACTACCGCTTTTCAGAATGACTCTTTGAAGAAACCACGGCGCAAGCCTTACAAATCGAGAGGATAGACACCATGCCGGCCCCATGATCGACGATCGACGTGACGAGCGCGTAGAGCGCGAACACCAGCAGCAAGACTGCCGAAATGAGGTGGCTGGTGGAATATAGAGGACCCCATTTCCCGACTTGCACACTGTCGGGGTCGAATTGGAGCACAGGTGTCGTTGCTCTGGTCAACCTTCAACACGATCGCATACATAGCCTTGCTGTCTGATACGCCTTGGGCGCCAAAGATGTGCCATCATGGAGGATGCTAAGGTATGCGCGAAACATCTTCGACAAACGTCATGTGATGCTTTGTGACTTCTGCCTTTTTAGGACGACCTTAGTGGGTAGGTCAGTTATACCGCTTTTAAGAGGTCTTTAGGTCATTCCCAAGGACCAATTTGTGCAATATTGTATTTCGAACGATTTTACAATACATCAAGATTTGAAGATGTAGTCCTAAGATTATTGACATGTACCATCATGATCATGCCTCCAACCTCGAAAACAAGGCAGATGCGAGCGGAGAAAACACAGCAGGGTGACGAGTGACGACGCCTCAAGCCAGTGTGACGATCAATTTGATCTACGGACTGGCTCATCCGGGCCGGATGCGCCGGAGCACATTGAACCTGTTTGGAAAAACGCACTTTTAAGCTTCTATGATTCAATCTCAAGAATGCATGCACAAGACGTAGCAAGTCTCTGCTCCCGGCTGACTCGCATCGCAGCTCCGTGACAAGCTACTGTAGCCGCATCCGATGCTGCGTGGGCCAAGGAGATCGATGTCTTGTCAGTCCCGCAATACACATAAGTAGTGTGTAAGTCAATTCAGCGCCATCGGGCTAAGTGTGGGCGCGGAGGAATCCTGCAGAAATCTCGGGGCCACATGTCGTTCCGTGTCCTAAACGCCAGTCCCACGACATCTGCGCGTGGCGCAGTTTCCCACACATAGAGTAGTGGTGGCACAAGTGGATCCGGCACGGCCGGAAATTCACTCACGCCCGCGCCTTGGCATTCCCAGGGAAATTTCTGACGCCAAAAAATATCGTTTTTGAGTGGTACCTAGTCGTAAAAATACATATGCGCGCCAACCAAACTAACCCAAAAACTAAAGACGTAGCCGCCGTGCAATTAGAGGAACGGAACCCAGAAGTCGTAAAGTGGGATATCATGAGATGACATTGAGTTGATTCGGCCTATCGTCAAATCAGACTTGGGAGGAGGTCGACACCTTCTCGTCCACCATCTTGTCGTCGATGTGCTGCTCGCCCGCCCCGATAATCTTGTCCTCCGCGCCGTCGAAGATCGCCGCGGTCTCCTCGAGGGTCCGGCTCTTGGTCTCGATGAGGTCTGTACGGGGTTCATGTCAGCTGCTGCGATAGAGTAGGCGCGGGGTATCGTCACGCACAGAAGTAGAGGAAGACGGCCTCGACGACCAACCACACGCAGTACACGATGTAGTACTTCCAGTCGATGCTGTCCATGGCGATCGGGTTGACATATTGGTTGAAGATCAGCGCGAGCGAAATCGTGAAGTTGAAGATGTTGTAGCCCTTGGCGCGGATGGGCGAGGGCAGAATCTCAAGCGTGTATGTGACAATGAGAGGCGTGAAGGCGATGCTGTGAGAGAGGGGGGCCCTGTCAGTAGCTTCCACGACGATAAGAGCCCAGACACGCACTCGTATGCGGCATAGTACAGGAAGATGAACGCAATCACCGCGTTTCCGGCGCCCTTGGTGTGCGCGATCTGGAAGCGAGCCGTGCAGATCGTCTGCAACGTGAAGAACAGCAGCATCCCGAGCACACTCGTCAAGAACATCAGCCGACGACCCAGCCGCTCCACCGCCCACGACGCCGACAATGCGCATCCCAAGTTCCAGATTTGCAGGACTCCGTTGATGAGCAGCTGGATCGTCGGGTCGGTGATGCCGACGGTGTCAAGCACCTTGGTGAGGTAGTACGAGACGAGACCGTTGCCGGACCATTGGGAGAAGAAGGCGATCGCGACGATGATCCGGACACGCTTACGGTTGCCGGGGCTCGCGAAGAACGACTTCCAGCCGATGTTCGCAGCGACCGTCCGATCGAACTCCAGTGCGGCCTTGATCTCTTCGAATTCGTACTTGACCAGAGGGTCTGCTCTGCGGGGATATCAGAGATCAGAGGACTCACGCGACAAGGCAGCAGACGCACTGATTGCCGTCAGCGTGGTAGTACGCGAGCGTGTCCAGAGCCTCCGCTTCGCGGCCCTTGCTCATCAACCAACGTGGGGACTCGGGTGCAAAGAGCACAAGTGCGACCTGGAGAACCGACGGCAGAGCCTGGAGCACGGAAGGGATTCGCCACGACCAGGTGCTGTGCGTCATCTTGAACGTTCCGAATGTTGACCACGCCGCAACGATCGCACCGGTGTACCAGAGCGAGTTGTACACCGATGTGAGCTGGGCGCGGTAAGGCGGGTAAGACAGCTCAGAAACCAGCAGCGGGGCCGAGTTGACCGCGATCGTAACTCCGAAGCCGATCATGAACCTTGCGTGAGGGATGAGTACTCAATTATGCCAGTTGAAGCTGTTGTTTGGAACTGACCGAGCTCCGATAAACATGCCGACCGACTGCGACGCAGTCTGGACCGCTGTCGCGATACACATGATGACCGCACCAATGAAGACCGTCCGGCGACGTCCGATGCCGTCAGTCAAGTACGGGGCGAACGGGTACGCAGCCAAAGAACCGATGTTCTGTCCATTGATCAGGACTGAAGTGGAGCAAAGGAACGTGCACAGGACACACTTGGATGGCGTTCAGCAAACCGAGCTTTCCCTTGGTCGGGTTGTTGAAGTAGTCTCTCCACTGGGGCAGCGTCTGGAGCCCGTTCATCATACTCCCATCGTATCCGTTGGTCGAGGATGTGATAAGGCTGAGATAGCAGCGATACGCGATCAGAACGCGACGCGACAAAGCGCGAAAAGAACGCACAGAAGGACGAGCCAGGCATTGAGGACGATGAGCCGGCGGTTGCTGCGCCACGTCCTGCTGGGGTCGATGAGATGAGCATACGCGTGGGCGCCAGTGGATGAAGTCGCAGCAGGTCCAACCATGTTGAGGGAAGGAACCGAGAGAACCTTGGGACTCCCATGACTAGTGGTGGCAGTTTATGTAGGCGCTACCGCGGACCGTGATTGGGATCGCGCCAGTTTCCTCATTGGGTTTTTCCAAAGGTACCCCGCCGGCTAAGTGCGCTACTTCAGGGTGCAAAAGTGATGCCCACGCAGGGCAGGTCAGCCGACGCGTGCCAATGCCATTCTGTTGCCATCCTGCTCTCCATCCAGCCTAGGCTTCGAATCCCCGTCCGGATCTTCCTGGTCTAAATCAGGAGAAACGCCGACAAAATGACTGGGGAACAAGAAGACTCTGTTTGTTCAGTTCCCCACTCTTTTCCCCGCATCGCCGAACCCGGGGAAATAAATGTAACAAATCTCCACCACCATCAGATGGGTCCATCGCCCACGTCCCAGAGTCACCGAAGTTCGCCCGTTGTCAATTCGTGTTTCTCCGAGTAGGTCCCCGGTGTTAATTGAGTCCGCCACACGAAAATTAAAACCGTTATGTACAAGATCTTGCGGAGAGCTTTTGTCGTTGCGGAACCTACCTAAATGTTCGGGAGAAGCTGCGTTCTTGCCAGCAGAGAAGCTGGTTGTCACAGGTTGTCACTATCTGACAAGGAAGCCGCCGCACCGTACCTGGATTCTCGTGTTTTAGCAACACCGGAGACCTGACGTGAGAACCGAATCCTAAAACAGCGGGACGGTAGACAGAATCCGTGTGTCGATGAGCTACATTCACATCCACAGTACATCCGAACGACCCGTGTCTACATCCTCAGATCTCCTCAAAATCTCTTCAACAGATCCGAAGCAGCACTCATGGGCTGTTGCTCCCCAGCGTCTTCCTCCGACTCCATCTTCTTCTTGCGGCCGAATGCCACGCCCCAGCTGTTCGCGAGATTCGCGAACGCGCTGTTGCTGCTCGACCGGACAGTCATCTCATGAGACGTGCTCGGCGCCAGCGGAGACGACCGCGGCACTTGATACGAGATCTTTCTGTGCCTAGGATCCCGCACGAGATTTGCGATCCCGTCCGTCACAGACTCGACAGGCGACGGGGTGGTAAACGCATTCGTATCTGCAGCATCCGGCGACGACGAGAGGACCTCCCCAGCCAGCGCGGTCGTCGGTGCAGCTTTGGCCGAGGATCCGACGATGCCAACAGAGAATCGAGACGCGTTCGATAGTCGAGATGCGGGTCGCAACGGCGAAGCACTGCTCTGTGCCTGGATGGTGGCCTTTGGATGGCTCCCCGGAAGACTTGGCGAAGAAGGTGGAGGCGGGGAGGTCTGTGGCGAACTGGGTCCATCTCCGGGTTCCACTGCATCAGGGGGCGAGGTTGACGAGGGGGGCGCCTGTGCCAGTAATCGCGACAGCGACGACGGCCTCACCGGTGGCGACGAGCTCGTCCGCGGAAACACGTGCGTCTGCGTGAACGTGTCCTCGACTTGGGCTTCTGGCGGTCCAGACGGAAGCCCAGTGAGTCGAGCCGGTGGCGATCCGTCCGAGGAGAGCAAGAGCGAGGTCGGCTGTCCCGCAGATTCCCGTCTGGAAGATCCTTTGCGCCTTTGGGGCTGCTGCTGTGTCCAGTCTTCGACCTCAAGCATGTAGTACTTGACCCCATCACCCAAGCCATAAGGGTTACTGGTTGGGTCCTAGATAGGACTATTCAACGAATGCATACCACCGCAGAACAAAAAAAACGCACATGATGATCGACCACTCGCTCCGTTATCGATGTGATCCTAGCCACGATCCATTCCCTGGTCTTGAGCTGATCTGAGAGATGCCCAGTAGCCTGCAGGAAGTAATGCGGAAATGACACTGGCGATCCAGCCGTCAACTTATGGAACTTCACGGGGTCATGAGGACGCACCGTTGAACGCCGCCCAGGGCTTCAGAACCGAGTTCCTGGTGGGCAAAAATAACGCCAAATCACCTTTCGCGAAGTTCCGGAATGAGATCTTGCCCTTTGCCCGTTCACGATACTCCTTGCATTGTTTCTGCCACTTGCGGATGACCCCACCCGTTTTGCTGACCGATTCCACGAAATGGTCGTGATCAAACGCCCGCAGCGCGTCTAAAGCGGCCGATGGGTCCGACGGATCGATTGGTGGCGGCTCGTCCAGCATTGGCTGAGTGGAAAACACGCTAATGGATTCGCCGAGACTGCTCCGTCCCGGGTGGCTCGCCATGAGGTGTGTCGCGTGCAGTGCTTTGAGATGGGAGTCTCGGAAGGCCAGAGCAACGTCGAGCATCTGAGCAACCAGCCGGCCACTGTCCTCTAGTCTCTGCTCGTAGTCCGACTGCGACGCCCGCCCGGCCCGCAGATCATCTCTCAGCATCCGTTCAGCGTGTTTGGCTTCTCGTGCTTCCCGTTCACTGAACTTAATCTCTTCGCGCGCTGCGTCGAGCTCTCGTTGCGTCCGTTCCTGCACAGCTTTGAGCTCATGGAATTGCCGCTCGAGGACCGCCCGGTCCCCATCCGCTTCAGCCAAATGGTCGCGGATAATCCTGTCGTGTTCTGTGGCCTGCGCACGCAGCAATCGGTCTTTCTCTCGGCCCGCCTCGCTCAGAGCCTGTTCAACCTTCTCCCTCTCAGCTTGGATCTGCCCCTCGAGGTCCTCCCCGCGAGATCGCGCTTCCTCGAGTGTTTGCAGGTTGGCAGCCTGTTCAGCCAGCAGAGCAGCCATTTTCTCCGAATTTCTCGCATCGAGAGCCTTGGCATCATCGAGATCGGCGCGAATCTTGCGAAGTCTGTCAGGGCTCCAGCTGCTCACAACACGAACACATACCGTGGACAACTCATGCCTTAGACTATCCGAAACTAGCCTCTCCTCGGTCAATTCACGTTCCAGACTTTCTCGTCCTTGGTGGAGCTGATGGATCTGACCCTGCAGACCTAGCCGTTCTTCTCGATGCACCGCTTCCTGGTGCATTCGGAACTCTTGGGCTTCTCGAATCTGCTGAGACATTTCCTGAAACGCTTGCTCATCTGCTTCGGTTGCTGCATGAATGATCAGGACACGATATAGGATTCATCCGGAAGAAACTCACATCGACGCCGCGATGAGGACAGCCGCGAAGCTGAAAGCAATGATCGCTCCGCAATCCGATCGAAGCCGGCCTCCAAACTGTCCATCTTCACCACTAGCTTGTGTAGCCCGGCCCGGCTTTCACGTACGGCAGCGAGTGCAACGGCATCGTCCGAACATGCATTCTCGATGTCGTCCAAGATATTAAACAAACCTGGATGGGAATATGAGTGCCGAGAGACTGGCGCTTGGAAAAGCAGACAGACCGTCAATGTCTTCTCGCTCTAAAGAATACGTGGCATCCAAGCTACCAGAAGGTGAAAAGTCGATCGTGGGAACCGGATCGTTCATTCCCTTGGTCTCGAACGGCAATTGACCATGCACTTCGCCACGATGCATCTGCCTCCGTTTTTTCTCTGTCGCAGAGAGTTTGGCCATGACCTCCAGTATGCTCTGTGCTCGCTGATAGAAGAACCGTGCTGCATCCCAGGTCAGCCCATGTGTCATCAACATGCAAGTCTAGTCACCAAACTCCTTCCTCCTTACGATCTCAATCACAGTCGCGCCGTAAGCATACAGCATGCTGTGCAATCGCTGGATATGCGAGAAGCTGTTCCTCCCCCGGAAACTTGTCTGTAGCGCGGCAAGCATGGGCGGTATCTGCACCATGTCGTTGTTCAGCATGCTTATTGTCCGCAGAGCACCTATGCAGTATTGAGTGTACGAGTTCTGCGCTGTGAATTGGAGCTGAGAAACAAGACACGGAAGGAGTTGCTGCGTACCTTGATGTTGGCCATATATTGCAGTTCCTGGCGGAGTGAAAAGTCATGTTGACGGAGCTCTACTCGTAGTGAGCAGCCCGTAGGTATTCGCACAAGCGAAAGCAGTACCTTGTAAAACACCATCCGGATCGGGAACGTGGCCTGGAACAAACTTCATTACACGGAGTGAGAAAGGTTCATTTGCATACCTTCCAGTGCGAGTGCGCCGCGGGAGATCTTTTCAACGAGATCTTGAGAGCGCTGAGCACATAACTCGGATTCGTCCAGAAGGCTGTGGATTCATGTGAGTTCACGTGAGGCCCAATCCGGAGAGGCATACATACCTGACAGCCATTACTAGAACACGCACACCATCGGCGCCTTTCCGCAGATGCGATACAGCCTGTTTCGTCTGGCGAAACATTTCCTGGAGATCCTCTGCATGGACGTCACCTGGGAACAGTCACCGAATCGAAGAGGACGTACCATGTGTTCTCAAGCAAGTGTTCCCGACCTGCCTCATCCTCTTATCCGACACGTAGTCACCCAAAGTCCTCGGCTTCTCCCCCGCCTCAATCGCCTTCCTCACAGCAAGGGAAACAAATTCCGTGTGAACTCGCACACGACCGATGATATCTAGATCAGCCTCCAGTCCGGCCAGCAGTACGGTCTGCTTGTCTAGCTCTACCTGGGCACTAGCGGAAACGCCTTCGGATGTTTCAGTGACGGCCAGAACGTGCATGTCGAGACTGGTGAGTGCGACCCGCAACGCATCGTGTTGGCAGTGCAGCGTGGCCAGTATGTGGGTGACATGGTTCATGTGTGTCGTCGCCGTTCGGTGGTAGGACGCTGCGACTTGTGAGGGCCTGAACGGCGGCGTAGCTGAGATGGCGTCTGAAATGGAAGAGTGAGCGGGCGACTAGCAGGCATACGGACCCGCACACCTTCAATGGGAGGTGCCATGGGGGCTTGGTAACGCAGTTCACGAAGCACTTCGTCCATATTCAAGTCAAGATAGTACTTGTTGAAGACAAAGATAGACTGTGGACGATAAGATTGCGCCCAGAGCAGGAAAGCTAAACAGACCTGGGTCTGCGACCCATTCAACTCCCGAAGATTGCTATTCGTCAGCCTCTTCCCGTCCGGAAGATACGCAATAACAGCATCCTGATCAATTCCCGTCTCCTGATGGATGAAAAGCTCGACACTGCCGATCCTGGGGAAGCCAATAAGTCTAATGTACTCAGGTGTGCCTAAGGCCGTCACACCTTTCAATGTCCCGGACCCCAGCATTGGTCTGGAGCAGTGTCAGTAAGCGACGGAAATAGAGAACAGTAGGTACCTGGATAATGCTTCCGTCCTCTGCCCTGCATATCTGCAGCATTATCTCGTAGCAGGCGGAGAACGCGTAATGCCCAAAACGGCGTGGCCGAGAACGATGGCTGTCACGGTCACAGGTCACGGTCCGCTTATTGACCGTTTTTGGCAAATTTAGAGCTAGCAGTAACAAGTTGGTGTAGTATGTGAATTGTACAGAAATCGAGAATAATTTACACATCAAAGAAAGCGGGAAGATGCATGACCGGTTTACCGGGGCATGGTTGCATTTGCTTCGGATCCAGGCCAGAAGAGCCACCTGAGAAAAGGTGTTCTTCCGCCTGTGCCAACATCTCGTTCAGAGTGTCAAATGCAAGACCTATCGTGATTGGTCTCAAGCTCCTTGCCAGACGGTCTCCCAGATGGCAAGCCCACCACGCCTTAGTCTAGCATCTACAGTGCTTGAGCCGAACCATCGAGCCACATCCGAACAGTTCCATGCACACTGAGGTTCATCCCTGTCGCGATGGACCGGAAGTCTGAGGGAGAAAAAGACACCAGAAACGACCTGGTAAGGTAGCTTGCATTTGAACATCGCGACGACCGAGCATAGCGAAGGTGGGGAAAGAGACATGCGTCGCCGAGCAGAATCATTCCTTGTCACGAAGAAAACGGCCGGGGGAACAAACGAGAACGTCTATAGGGCGCTTCTTTGGCATTGGCAGAGGCATGGAAGAACAGGACGAGGTAGATACGGTGTGCGGAACGGATCATCACGCGGACTCTGCGGCCTCTGCCTTGAGCTTCGCTGCGGCCTTCATGCGCCGGAGGTAGCTGTAACACCACGTCAGTCGGGATCTCCCCAGGATGGATAAGACGCACTCGTCGTATTGGCATCTGGAAGGCCAGCGGAGACGGTCGGGTCAATTATAGCGTCACAGACGAGGGCGCGGAGCACGCACTTTTCGTACGCGTGCCTCTCATGATCGCACTCCCACGGCATATAAAGCGTTTTCTTGCGGCAGATGTTCAGGGGAATGACGAGGCTAAGGTTCGTGCGTTCACGCAGGGGTTGAGTGCATTTGCGGTGTGAAAGTGATGGTGAGATGAGAACGGAAAGTCAGGCGTCGAAGAAAGTCATCTTGGGAGCATAAACGCACGCAGAGCACCCGTCCCGCCATTGCAGCGGTACCTTGTTGGCCTTGAGCTCCTCCTGGGAAGCAGTGGTCGACGACGACATGGGTCAATATGTGATGGATGACAAATCTGATCCCACGATACGCAACGACCATCCATCACGATAAACCCTCTCGATAACTCCCCCATCTCTTCCCCTCGAAGATTTTCCGGACCGAGATACCGTCTGAAACAAATACGATCACGAGCAAATTTCGACGCTCTCTCTCTCTATGGAAGTTCTGATTGGAGTGATTCATCTTCCCCTTCATTATGAATACGTGTGACGATGTGCTTGCTACATATTCCGAAAATCCATGAACATCTTCTAACGAACAGCATAAAAGCTTGTCAAGCAGGGATACATACTACGCCTGCGTGAAATACCAAGGGAATCGTGGATGGCTCGAACGCAAGAGTTCGTGTCAAACAATCGTCTTTGATGTTGTCTTCTTGGTCGCTCAGGCTATCGGCGCAAGCAACTAGTGTGGGTTCTATGGCTCGCGGAAGTCTCCGCATGTCCCGGGGGATCCTATAGCCTACAGCGTGTGTGCTCGCTGAGCTTCCTCGTCATTCAATTCTAGCTCGGAAACTAGCTCGTCAATGCAAAGATCCTATGCTTCGCTCGGGAGATCTGGCTCCTTCCACTCAGATTTGGCGTGCTTTTTTGATCTGGTGTCTTCCGATTGAATCTCTTTGCCGTCTAAGTCCACGCCCTTCTCGGTTCTCCGAACACCCTGCATACGGTTTGTCCGTCGCCGTGAACGAAACGAAAAGGGGGAGGCGATGCCGAGCCTACTGCTGTTCTTGGGTGCTTCTGCTCACGAATTGCCTCTCCCTAATTCACAAATCGCACGATGCTCAGGTAAGTTTCCAAGCCCAGACCGCCAGCCTGCTCAATGCATGTTCTCAGCGACCCGAAACTCATGCTGGATAGCATTCTCACAACCGGATACATAGTCCGGCCCGGGATTCTCGAGAAGTGCACGGACCTGGGGCAGGTCGTCCCACTTGTGACACAAGAGAACACTTCTGCAGGCCAACTTCATGCGTTATGGCAACTTTTGCGGGTCCGCACAACTCTTCCGAAGCTGGAAAACTGATTTCATTGGCAGGGAGGTGACTGGCTCTCCCACAACTCTTCACGCGCATCCTTTGGTCAGCGAGTGGATTATCCGGGAGCGGAGTGAAAGACAACATAACAGCAGTGAATGTTCTCCCAATCGCCTTCGAGACCTGTGATTGAAGGTAGAAGCTCAGAGACGAAGTAGTTGGAGCAGATGCACTCTCCGTTCTGAACATAGCGCACTCAGTGGGCCCTCGCTTTCTCAAACTTCGTACAGGCCATCGAGACAGTGTATCCACACAAAGCCTTCAACAAAGACTCCAGCTCTGACCGGTGCATACGTCGACCAGTCCGCATTCTTACCGGCCTCGTCGGGAGTCTCCCAAAGCAACGGGCAATTCACGAGATGAGGGCCGATCTCGATCCAATATCATCCCGCCACGGCTGGAGGCTTCGTGTTTGCATTCCAGGGCGAGTTCTGCAGTGGCCGGCTTCCGGCTTGCGGGTTTCATCGACAGCGAGTCGAAGAAGATACAACTCGATGAAGGACACCCCGATCGATGCACTGAAAGCGAGATATCCTCCGAAAACTGATCGAAGCCGATCACAGGGCTGGATGTGTGGTCTTTCTGGCTGCTTATTCTATAGCGTCAGTGCTTTTCTCTGGCTTGATCCCTTTGCGGCGTACTGAACAACAATTCAGATTGGGAAAAAGGGAAAGACTACATTCGTGGTAAAAGAGTGGCAATCTACTGCGCGTCCAGCCAGTATCCTCCAGTGCGCTTTCCTACGATGCGAGAGTCGACATAGCGTTTGGGAGTCGACGCGCTGCTCATGAGTTAGTCCCAGTTCTCGGGTCTGAAGGAGAGATCTCACCCCGCGGCAGCAGGAACAGCGGCGGCAGGAGCGGCAGCAGCAGGAACGGCGGCGGCGGGAGCGGCGGCGGCGGGAACAGCAGCAGCGGGTGCAGCAGCGGCAGGAACAGCAGCGGCGGGTGCAGCAGCGGCAGGAACAGCAGCGGCGGGTGCAGCAGCGGCAGGAACAGCAGCGGCGGGTGCAGCAGCAGCAGGAACAGCGGCGGCGGGAGCAGCAGCAGCGGCATTCGATGGACCAGTCACAGCAACACACGATCCGAAGGGACCTGAACACAAAAGTTGAGTCAAGGATGCTTCCAAGGGCCAGAAACTTAGCACGGACCTGCCGCTGCCGAATTGCGGCATCTGCGATGTATGAGTGAGTATGGAAGTCCCAGTGCCAACTCGAACAAGACTCACCGCATGATGCAGGCGTCACCGTTAGGTCCTCCAGTGCAGGCCATACCCCTGGAATGGTTGGTCGGCATCGTGGAATGGATGAGCGGACCGAAGCAGCGACTTACGCTGGCATCTGAGCCACGAGCGGGAAGTCCGTGGCGGTGGCCTTGGAGCGGCTGCGGGTACCGGGGACTTGGGTGGTCACTACCGCGGCCTGGAAGGTGTTTCCTCCGTCACCGGAGACGTCACAAGTGTACGGGCCAGCGCCGTCTCCGTTGACCTGCAAGCAGAAATGTCGGCTCAGAGATTGTCCTCTGCTGCATGAGCTCAAAACCGATGTACCTGGTGCAACGTCATGGTGACCGATCCATCGGCTGCCGCTGAGGGAAGCCCGGCCGAAGAGGCAGCTGGTCGACGGGATTCAGCATACAGGATACCGCAGACCCGGCTTGAGAGAACACACCTGCCAACTGAGCGGTGACGTCGTTGTTACCGCCAGCCTTGGTGCGGCCGCAGGCACCGGTCCTGCCGCTGTCGATTTCCTGGTTCCGAATGACACTGGTGTCCTGCTCGAAAGGATTGGGCCGCGAGCCATCCCGGGGCGTCGAGGCGATGATCCCTGCAAAGTTCTATCAGCAATGTTCCCCCGGCCGACGAAAGCCATGGACGGACCGAATCCAGCGCCGGCCACGCCGTTAGCGCCTTGAATCTTGGTGATCGTTCCGTGCGCCGACACGTTCAACGTGCAGGCATGGAGGAGAGTGACGAAAACGATGAGAGCGCGGGAGAACATGGCAAGTGTTGTTGATAAGTGGAAAGAGGATACGTTGAGCGGCTGGCCGATGTAGATCGCAAGAAGAAGGGTATTGAAGTGCTGAACAGGGCTAGCCTGATATGAGTTGAGTAGAGAACGAGTGGAGGAAGGAGCTGAGGATAGATGGGCTTTCGTGCTCTGCTTTTATACCGCGTTCATATTGATTGAAACTCCGTTTAGCAGCCCATAACGTTACCGTAGTTGCCAGATTGAACTCGTTCATGACATCCTGCTGGGCCCTCCATTGAGACAGTGCATTGTCGAGAAAGAGCCAAAGACGCAGGATCGTGACGTGCATTGATTGCAGTGATCGCATTGGGAAAGGGTCGATCTTCGGGAACATTCCAGCCGACTTGACAGGACAGTCGAAAGTTTCGAGGGGGGCAACTGTCCACAACTAGGTTGACACTCCGCAACGGAGCTTGCTGAACGAAGGGACGACATGGGGTCGATTAATCAAGGTGGCTTCAGTACCAGCTGTTGCCGAGCTGGGCGCGAATGATCTCATAACATATTTGCACTGACACACGAGTCCAGACAATTTCTCTGGAAGAAACGCTCAGACTGAGATTTCTTGGGAAGAAACACTTGTATGAGTGCGAAGCGACAGAGCACTTATCCTCACCCTAGATGTCCCTGTTGTTTGGATCGCCCTAAACAAGCAGGCCTATCGAGCAGCAGGAGCGGAGAGGCTTCGTACCTTGATTCTCGGCTCCGGTCATGCGTTAACGTTGAGGATCATCAACCCATTTTGCTATGGCCTTCTTTACGTTACGGACTAAACATCGAGGTGGAGGCCAGGATCGTGATATCCTTGAGACTATCTGGCATCCATTTCCCGTTCTCAGGATTTCTCGACCAGAGACAATGTATCAATCGGGTGTAACTCTTTCCGTGCCATATCGAAGTCGCGTCGCCACGACAGCAATTGACCAATAAGTTGTGGTGCGTCGCAGTCCTTGGGACCTTCGTCGCGTCGATGTTCCAGCCCTGCCTGCCGTTCCCTGAGTTATTGCTCTCTACCAATTTTCTTCCACGCTTTCATTAGCGTGTCAGGGTGCAGGAGATAGCCAACCAGAAAGTCATTGAATGACACGTGACCGCGTCAAGGGATCCGACCCGACAGCGGTTGCCGCCAAGACTGAGTGGCCCAGAGCCATTCCGCTTTCCAGTCTCGTTCGACCGCTCGTTAGCAACTTCATGAAGACACGCGCACGCTCTCTCATCAGGCAGTCCTGCTGGACACAGCAGCTGGGTGTCGCTACTCGAGTCAGCGACGACTTCTTTTTTCTTGCAGAGCACAAAGGACATGTGCGAAGAGAGCCTCATAAATGAGCTTTCATTCCGCAGCCAACGCATGGTACAGTCCTCGGCCTCTCGCCAGCCCTCCCTCTGAACAAGACATCCTTCGAGACCCATGGCTCATCGACAGCGAAGATGCTATGCCCTCATGCCCGCCTTCGTGCGCTTGTTATACATGCATGCACACGTCCGATTCCGGCCGCGTTCTCCGTGTCCGCAAGCCTTCGAGCAGATGACGCGCAGACCGACCTGGGTCATCCTTGGAAGACAGTACTCACGCGCGTCTGGACGACGAGACTGTTTCCATTGGGGCACTTCCCCTACATTCGTTCCGGGCTCATCGTCAATCGGACAAGCTTCTTATTCGGATGTGCACCAGGTATTAGTGAGAGTTGTACTCTTCGTGCATCGAGTGGGTGTTGATCTAACCTTCCTCCAGACCCCCCGCTCTACCGACTCTGTCTTCAATGTATGCCGCAGTCTTTTCGAATGTCGTTGCAATCTTTCCGCCCAGGCGCGCGCACACAACAAGATGTCAAGACACATGATCCACTTGGGGATTGGAACGCGCCCATTGCAGTTGACAGTATATAGGTCCCAAACATCGCTCTCACACATCCAACTCTTCCGCAGATAGAATCACCGACTAGGCCTTCCCCACATTCGTGTGAATCCCGCCCTGTGCACTTGCATTCAGCTGAAACATCGTCGGACGAGAATGTCACGTTCTGTTTGCCTAAAAAACGACGTCATCCCATGGGAGCAAACGGCGGATGCAAGGATAGGGCTCGCGGATCACCCAGTGTCTGAGACATGCTCTTCGACATAAATTTCGGGCCTGAGCCATGGTCAAGCCCATACCAATCTTACACTCTGACCACAATGTTCTCTGCACTTGCATCCATGCCTTCGACCGAGATGGCCCTCCCGAGGACCTTCCCGCTCTTCTTGTTGCCGAAGCACATCTCCACTACCCCTTCGAAGAAGGCTTCCGCCATCCGGAAGGCGTCCACCTCATCTGCGGACTCGAATATGACCTCTTCCTCGTCCTCATCCGAGGTCGAGACCCCGCCGTCGAGCCCAGCTGTGACCGGGACCTTCTTCGAGTGTGAAGTAGTGTTGACGGAGGATGAACGTGAGTAGTGTGCATGAGTCTTCCTCTGTTTGCACTGACTGCCCTCCAGTCGACAATCCTCCTACCGCACTCACAAATGACTTGATTGCTGCCTTGCACATCAAGTCCCCTGCGTCATCGAGCAGCGCTGCCACCAGCGTCTGCTTCTGCAGAGAAGTCATCCTGACCGAGGAGGATTGTGAGTCTCAGCCATTGTCAATCTCCTCTTCTTGATTCTGATACCACACCCCCCTCCTATCCAGTGAAACAATCACCCTCTCCACCCAAATCTCCTCGCTTCCGAAACATGCTTTCCCGTTTTGCCCGCCGTAGGCGGTCGTTGTGTTAGAGGCCGACCCTGGATGGTCCCTCGATCCTCGTCCGGGATGTGCCGCTCGTCGTCGAGGACGTCAGTGTGTTGCTCCTTGTCAAAGCACCGGCACTCGCTGTTCCCGTCAGCGGACGGAGTCGGCGTAGGTCACTGTTCATCACGAGCATGGCCAAATCCGACGCTGTGTGCAAAGGGTGGTGACTCGGAATTGCATAGCGCACTGCTTTTCTTTCAAGCATGTACATGAACCCCAAACACATACTATTTTATATATTCATGGCCCCTGTGAGATTTCGTTGTAAGTACGACATTAAGAGACATATTCTCTTTCACTCCTGTGGTGCAATGCACCTAGTCACCACCAAAAAGTGACAACCAAAACAGGGCCACCAGATTTTCTTCAAATCCTTATCCACTTAGTAGAAATGTAGCTATTAGTAGGTAGAAGAGATCCTCTAAACAGAATTTTAAAATTCCCAAAACTGAAGGAGTTATAAATTTCTCACGTCGGCATTCTGCCGTTGCTTATGTAATCACATAAAAAAACGGCCGGAAAAAATCAGGAAAAATCAGGAAAAAATCGGAATCTATGTTTCAAGTACAGGGAGATAAGAAAACAAAGAATTCAAGCATCCAAAGAGGCAGCCAGTTGCTTGGGAATCCGTTGATGAGACTTGTATTTGCGGCTCGAAAACTCCTTGACCTTGCGTTGAGCATCCTTTGCGCCAAGCCCCTCACTGTATGCTTCAATGAACCGCCATGCACAATGCTCCCATTTGGGAATCAACTCCACTGACACCGAGGCCATTGCCTTTGGAATATTCTCTTTGAGCGTTGCAAATGTATAATCACAATGCTCGCGAAGATACCACTTGACAGCGCCCCAGAAGTACTCAATAAAGTTGATCTCACAGTGATATATTGAGAGGAAGATGCAGATATGCCCTGTCAGAGACCAAATCAATCCTTGCGCGACCGGAAGTGGAACCAACACACCGGCGTTCTCGATGATCTCCTGCACAAGAGATTTTTGCTCAGCAAAGTCGGGCTGCAAATCCAAAATCCGCCAGGCACAGCAATCTGTCGCGTCAACATCACATTGGTTTGCACACTTCATGATGAGACCTTGGCGACACAGACCCCGCTCCTTCAAGACCTGCTGCATACCCTTTGGTTTGCCGCGCAGCTTGTGGTCAGAGTGATCAGCTGGAAAGCTCATCTTCTGTGCGACTCTCTGGCCATCTTTCATGAACCAACCATCGTGCATATGCAGCTGCTTGCCACCTGCATGAAAGTTCATCTGTGATGCTCGCAACACATCTGGCGGATATGCTGCATGGCCTTGTGAGTTATCGACCAGCACAACGGCAACAGCATCAGGATGACGGGCTTTGAAGGCAGGCAGAAACTTCGTCTTTATCTGGGAAGCAAGAGGACATCAGTGTGTGTCGGCATCACTGCAAGATTGCAACACACCTGTTCAACAAACTTCTCTCTATTCCACCATCCCTCGTGATTCTTCCCGTAGTCCATCCCTTCCCCAGCCTCGGGCATGTGTCCATCCACCAAATTTATCCACTTGCTCCGGTGGTGACCCTGCCCTGGACCTTTCTTGATTAATGGCTGCTCGCCATCCATGATCCAACTTGCTTTCTTTCCATCATGAGCTTGCGCTGGCATCTTGTTGTGTGCACAGAGGATGTGCGGCCTGATTCCGGCGGGTGGGTCGATTCGCTCAGTAACATTCCCAACTTGATATCGGACAAGCTTGTCGCGAATGGCAAGCATGGCGGGCAAGAAGCGCTCGTTCCGATCTGCAACAACATTGGGTCGCTCGTGCCCATCATAATACACCACCTTTTTGTGTTCCGTGAATGTGAAGCCCTCGCAAATGAGAACCTGTCGCATTGTGTCCAGCAAAAGACCCTTTCCTGTGCATTTGAGCTGAAGCCGGGGCAGAACAACCTCTTCAATATGTTTGAGGAGCCCACGTGGCATCTCATCGGTCATCAATTGCTCGTGATACTTCTTTGCCATCTCCGCGTCGAGTTCGCCGCACATGAAGCACTTGAGTTTGGCCGGATTCATTGACCATTTCTCCGACCGAATGTATGTTCGCATCACGTCAAGAACAAGCGGGTCGTCAAAGATTGTCTTCAGTTTTGAATGCCGACAACGTTTTGATTGTGGCATCGCACAATCTCTGACCCAGCTCTGCATCCATTTGCGGACAAGTTGCGAGCCCCATCCTGCGCGGAATCCATGAGCAAGAGCCGCCGTGCGTGATGCCGCCATCATTCCCATTCTCTCCTTCTCCAAGTCATCCACCATCAAGCGCAAGCACGATAAGACTGCGCGCAAACGAATCAAGAGCAGCCCATTGTGTCCTCCAGCCAGCTCCTGTGTCTGTTTTCATGAGTCCAGGATCTTTGACACCGCCTTCAACGCATCCTTTCGGGCCGTCTTCACCGCCTCACTCTTCTGTGTTCTCGAAACTCAAACAGGAACAAGAAGCCGACGACGTTTTGCTGGAGGTGGCTGGGACAACGGAGCGGGGGAGTTTGAATCAATGGGAGCGGGAGAGTTCAAAGCAGCAGGAGCGTCCGCCAAGGGAGAGTCTATTGCTTGATGTGTGCTTGCAGGTGCCCCGTTGAACAAGTTGTTGTTGTACCACATGTCCACGTTCTCATCGTCAGAGAACAGGTCTTCCGTGTCTTCTGCAAGATCCGATGCATAGCCATCGAAATCCTTGTCCAACACATCGCCGACACTTGAAGGGGAGGCCGTCGACCACATCTGGACCGGCAACAATGATGTGGGACCAGCGTCCGCGAGCTGTTTGGGACGAGGTTTCCCCGTCAGGCGGATCCAGTCCGCAGCAGACAGCGGTTTCCATTCAGTTTGGGAAGTGGGAATGGCAGGGGAGGGCGCAGGTGGGGTCTCAGAGGTTGGGATGGAGGTATTGGGATCCATCATAGGTGCCGAGGTGGCTTTTGGCTTGAAGAATGCCACGAAGTTCTTTGCTTGCAGGCTGTGGACAACATGAGATGTGTTTTGTTGTGCAATTGAGTGCAGTGCGTACGTTTTGCTTATCTCCAATGCCTCCTTATCCTTCTTTGCCTTCTTCTGACGTTGTTTGCAAAGTGTGCGGGGTGCATGCCCTGTGTTCACGCCCATTCTCTGTTGCTCTGGCCCGCCAGGCTTTTTCCATTCCTTTGCCGACATCTGCACTGCGGAGATCTGCCCGTACAACGAGTTCGTGCAGACGCGCACAATGTGTGTCACCTCTTGCTCCACCTTATCCTCCAGACTTCGCAAGAGCTCCTCGCCTGTGAGCTCCTCAATCTCAGAGTCCGAGTCCAAGTCCGAGTCCATCTCCCACTCATCTACTGGCGCCGCCGTGGTTGACTCACCCGCTATGGGGCTGTCGGGATCGTCCGACTCGAGCTCCACATCAAAGACTTCGCTGATTGTGTCGGAAGTGTTGATCGGCATAGGTCCCTGTAGGTCCTGATCACTTTCCGAGCCGTCGCTTGGACTCAATAACCGCATTGCGTTGTTTTTTCCGGCATGGGCGCGCGCTGCAGCATCTCGTTTGGCCTTGCTGGCTCTGGCCATTTAGACTGGGTAGATGTTGACCGACCCTCGACCCGTCCCTGATTCTGCCGCTTACATAATATGATTATATAATGTCACACTTTGGTGGTGACTAGGTGCATTGCACCATAGGTACACTGGATATATCTGAGAAGTCACCATAGTCTTTTCTCCATGCCTTGTGACGTAATGATCGATAAAGGCTGTTCCTTGACCAATAAGGGCAACACGTGTGTTCTTATCAGCGGTCTGAGCAACAATGGGATCTGAGAGCTTCTCATATCCGACCAGATCACTAATCTCCAATGTCACATGGAGAGATGCACCAGAATCGAGAAGCCATAGAGGCCCTAATTCATGATGATGATGATCTTTCCCCTTACACTTAGAGCAGGCAGCAAAATCGGAGTGCACACAGAATAGATTGGTACAAAAATCATGCGAACAAATCATCAACGAATTAAGTACAGAACCCGGGGCAGCAGGGATTACGCGCTCTGGCTGTGAGCAACAATCAGAATTGTGCATATGCCCAAGAAGGCAGGGTACTTGCCTTTCAGCGGAAGGAGCGTCCATCTCCTCCAGAAGGGTGTTGAAGTCGACGACCTCATCCCAGTTGACTGGTTCAGCCTGGGCAAACTCGCTATCTCCAAACAGAAGACCAAGATCTTTCTGTTGGCCGGTGGCCATCTCGATGTTGGGGATCTCCTTGATACGACTGCATTTAGCAGGAGGACCACCATCCAGAGTGTGATTTGAGCCGCAAGCAACCGGAGATGGAGAACGCATGATTGCGTCCTCACGGAGCATTCCTTTCTCATTGACGATCTTGTCGAGAGTCCGGAAGCGTTCTGCGGTCTCCGTCACGTCCATCTTCTTGGCAAGCTCGAAGACCTTGCGAGTAGGCTTCTGGAACTCGGTGTCAATAATCCCATTGTTGTTAACAGGAGACTTCTCTTGAACCGTGCAGATTTTAGGTCCATCGCGAGAGATGTGCGTGACATGCAAGATCATCGGCGCAGGGATAGATGGAGTGAGCAAGGCAATCAAACCGATAGTGAGGGAGCCAGTGATCTCGGAGACTCCATGGACATGACCATGATTGGCCTTGCCCTTGCCCTTGTTGTCCTTGTTCTTCCCACTGTGCTTGCCTCGACGGTTCTTCTTCTTTCCATCAGTCTTATCACCCTTATCAGGTGCAGAGCCAGAGCCCTGTTGCTGATTGGTGAACAAAGGGTCGTTGCGCTTGCGCTTGGTATTGAACTTGGCCACATGATTCTGGCTTTGAGACTGCTTCTGAGCGAAATGCGTCAAGAGAGCGTCGCAAACCACCGAAACCTTGATCTCGTCCTTCTCGTAAGTTTGCAGAACAGTCTTTGTGACAGAGGGAATCCAAGCTATATTGAGAATGATCATCGCTCTGAGGAACTCAGGGATGCTCAAAGACTCATTCTCCAGGCAAGTGAACGCTGTAGTGATCACCAGCAGCTGTGGATCCGGGTGCAACCCTACGTTGTACTTTGTGTTCAACGCGGCTTGGAAGTACGTGTACAGGTCGGCGCACTGAGCACCACCGTATTGGGTCTTCAGGTGCTCCCAGATCTTGGCAGCTGACACTATTTCGGTGGGAGGAATGTTAGCAACGACACCTTCAGTTAGGCACAACTTGATGCTGCCTTTGGCTCTGAGGTCATCATGCTTCCATTGCTTGATCTCCAATGCGTTGGTAACAACGCCATCCACCTTGATTTGGGTCGGCACAGCTTTGGTCAGCACATAGGAGATCCCCTGATGCTCCAGGTAGGACTCCATAGTTCCGGACCAGACAAGCTAGTGCTTTCTATCAAAGATGGAGACAGCATTGAAGATGTTGTTGGAGTTGGACGACATATTAGATCTGTGTGAGTGATCAGCATCAATCTAATCTGATAGATAAAATCAAAGATAAAGATGATCAGATCCTCATAGATCATAATCTCCTCTAGAGATTGATGCATCTGGATCAAGTGATGTAATCGAGATCCGGCATGGTTTCACCAGCGCTATGCAGTGGCTGAAGTGAATACAGATAGGCTAAAGACGCTGCTCATTGTTGCAGCCAGTGACGGCGCATACAATGAATGTCGCGGCCACTGAGGCGCAGACATAGCTCTTGGGGCCCATAACCTGTTGAGCACTGGGGAGAGCGTCTAGCAGCTCACCTGTGTGAGTGAGAGCTTAGTGTGGGCACTATGCGGGAGTAGTCAAGAGACTTGTCATTAAAGGGTAATAGAGCCCTCCTTATATACAATACAGGGGGCTATTTGTGTCTATTTGGGACGAGTCGATATGACTCTAGATGATACGTGATGGAGTCATAGATGTGTATCACGACATCCATCTTGACAGATGATATTTGATCGACACAAGTTGTTGCCGTGGCATGATCTAATGGAAACGTTCAACCCAAAGCTGGGAGTTGCCGCGACAAGATTGGTGCAATCTCATAACGCCAAGTCCTGCCTAGTAGTCGTTGTAATGTTGAGAACATTGCACATTGCTAAGCCCTTCAGCCCAAGTTCCATCTGCAGAGAATGACCCTTTTGAGAAGTCGCCACAACAAAGGATCCCTTTTGGGGAATTGTCGCGACCCAAGTGCCTGTCACTAATAGCCCTGAGTCTGGTGAAGACTTATAAGACCAATTCCACAGTAGTGGTCTGACTGCCTTGCTATCGTCGACACTATCCACAGTTGTCGACTGGGCAGTAGACCCTTAAGTCCTATTGAGCGCAACACTGGTAACCACGACATGATACACCAAATGGTTCAAGAGTAAACTCTGTAAAAGCGCAAAAAAATATGTCCTTATAGAGCTGGTGCAGAGTGCGTCTGGTAGCCAGCCTATCATTGGGTGCGGTGCGTGTCAGCGAGGTGAGACACCGCTAGACAGTGCTAGTCATTGAGTTGATTCCTGGTAGTCCAGGTCATTGTCATTATTGTTCTAGTCTCTAGTCTAGTCCAGGTCATCGAGTTGCGTGCAGCAGCGGAGCGTGGGGCTTTGAGAACACGGTCGTAGTTATTAACGCTAGATCTAAGGTAGACGCCATCCACCCTCGACAAAAGTCACATAGTGTGATAGTCACAGCACTGCCACATTTCCTTTTATAATTCTGACGATGTATTGTGTTCATTAGAGATGATTAGGATAGCGGGCACAATTCTATGAGATGAATCAATGCATTTACATTACAAGATGTCTGTAACAAAAAATTTGAGCTTTCTGGCTTCTGTGTCACATGTTAGAACATTCTGGCTTCTGCATCACATGTTCGAGCAGTTAGTACACAAGATTAGTCATGAAGATTCAGCAAAGACTTGATTCTAAAGTTTTCCCCTCAGAGCCGATTTCCCTGCCCCGTTATGGGCTCAAATTACACATCATTTTGACAACTTTTATCTCAAAAAAATTGTGGATATGTCGGCAGAAACTTGTATGCGACTGGACCAATATGATAGTTCTGAAAAGGGTAAAGTCACATCTGCCTATGTGACCTTTGTCGAAGGTGGATGGCGTCTACCTTATCAAGTAAGTATGCGCGTTGCGTCATGTGACATAGGAACATGTGCACGAAACGGTCCTCGAATGGTTGATTGACCGATCGACTGTTTTCTCGGGCGTAATTGGTTGTCAGCCCGTTTTTTGATCTCCCTCAGCACCAGTTTTTGACTTTCCGCCCTTGTGTTCTTCACGTGACCTGCCTTTTTGGGAAGCCACTGGCACTGCGGGGGGACTTAATTTTTTTCTGTGGAAAATGCGTGACAATCTAGAAGACCAATTTTCACCATTCTGTTTTCAGACAAAATATAAGATCCTGTATATGTATAGATGAGATAACGCAGAAGAGATAGGAATGATATCAGTCAATAATCAGCAAGAGCTGATTCCTTCTTTTCTCTCATCCTCCGTCCCGATCCCGCCATTCCTAATGCCGACAAAGACCAAATGCACACAAGCAGCTGATGCCCTTCACCGGGCCTTCCTTGTCAACCTTGTTACGGAAATTGAAGCCTCAATCATCCATGAACGTGAACAGTACGGACGCGAGCGCGGGCCGAGCACCAATTCCGATTCCGATTCCTCCAACTCTGATAGCGACACATCAGATGATCTAGATGGGGTGTTGGACGCTTCCAGCTCAAGTGATGAGTCAGAAAGCACCCACAAAGATCTGCTCGATGATGCTATGGAGCTGTATTTGGATAGCTTGGCAGAACTGTATTCACAGCGGTATCTTGCTGAGCGCACCCCAATTCCTAAATCACTCGACTTCATCGAGCTTCTCCTGGGAACCTACAAAGAGTCTAATCCTGACATCTTCCGGTCTTATCTCTGCATCAATCCGGTGAAATGCTGAGGGCGTGCTCACAAGTGAATCTACTATAAAAGTAAACCCAAATATAAACACGTTCACACTCCTCGTAATCAGCTTCTCAGTGTGTGAAAGATGCAAGGGCTTCGGGGTGGACAGAGCACCAGTATCACAACTCTCAATAGACGCAGATCCAATAGTCGCGGAGACGAAGTCGACGACAAGAATTTATATATAGTAAACAATGGTATCCCAACCAATATCTTCTATAAGAACACGACCAACACTAATCCAATCCACAAACAACGATATAACAAGTCAGAACTTAATACGAAGTATTAAGATCCCTTGTAGCGACAGCGTCCAGATGGTGACGCAAAGCCCAAATATCAGGTCGACGCACTGTCAACCGATACGACCAATATACTGAGTCGACGCACTGCCAACTAGTAGAACCAAAATGTCAAGTCGACGCACTGCCAACTGACACAACCAAAAGTACTGAGTCAACGCACTGCCAACTAGTAATCCAAAATGCCGCGTCGACGCACTGCCAACTAACAGCCAATATCCAATGTCCAAAACCCGAGCACAACTTGTCGACGCACTGCCAAGCAAGAAGTGTGGAACCAAAGTTCTCAAGTCGACGCACTGCCAACTGACCAAAACAACCCGAGCACAACTAGTCGACGCACTGCCAGGCTAGAGGTGTGGAACGATCTCAACAAAGCCCTAAGGCGACGACACCAAATGCCGCGACAATACCAGATGCGGCGAATCCGACTTTCTGATATCTCAACTCAAACTCAAATCACAGTAGCTACAAGTGCTCAGGGAGCAACTCGTCGCGACCGGGCAGGGATGGCAGAACTTCTTAGGGTGGAATCACGCGGCACGCAAATTGTACAAAACAATCTGAAATGATAGTGATTCACAGTCCGGGGGAAAGCTTCCTAATACAAAGAAACGACGTCCTACTTATACTGTCTACGACGATGCTTAGTAAAGTCCTGTACAACTGCATAGTAGCTACGCTATCTAAGATCGGTTGCCTTTTAGGGTAATTGAAAAGTTGAACAATCGGACAGGACCTGAGTGATCAGGACCCCGCCCCATAGTCCATATGATACTTTTGATGTGGGTCAACCCACCGCGTCATACTTTTGGAATACGACGTGCTGGATTGGCCAACGGGTATGTCTTGGCATGTGAGACCAACGTGGGCGCCCCAAGAAGCCGTATGGCCCTAGGCACGCCAGTCGTCCCCCACATGGTTCGGTTCACGGATCTAGCCGTGTCGATTTCTAGTGTGTTTGGGTATTGACGCGAATCGCCGTGGCACTTGGGAGTGTCACCGCGACGCGTCCTCAATGTCCCGTGATCGAATGGATCCTGACATGTGACAAGTCGTCGTCGTGGCATGATCTGAGGAAACGTCCAACTCAAAACCGGGAGTTGCCGCGACAAGATGGTTTAAGTCTCGTAACGCCAAGTCCTGTCCAGTAGTAGTTCTATTATTGAGAACGTCGCGCATTGCTCAGCCCTTCAGCCCAAGTTCCCGTCTGCAGAGAATGACCCTTTTGAGAAGTCGACGCAACAACAGATCCCCTTTCTGGGGAATGGTCGCGGTCCTAGTGTTTGTCACTAATGGCCCTGAGCCTGGTGTAGACTCATAAGACCAGTTCCACAGTAGTGGTCTGACTGCCTTGCTATCGTCGACACTATCCACAGTCGTCGACTGGGCAGTAGACCCATAAGTCCTACTGAGCGCAACACTGTTAACCGCGACACGATACACCGAGTGGTTCAAGAGTAAACTCTGTAAAAAGCGCAAAAATACGCCCTTACAGAGCTGGTGCAGAGCGCGTCTGTTAGCCAGCCTATCACCGGACTGCTTCGACAAGCTTGTAGAGGCAATCAAGGATGATCCGGTTTTTGGGGGGATGAGAATAACAAGCAGATCCCTGTTGCACGCCAGGTTGCAATAGCTTTGTATTGCTTTGGGCATTATGGCAACGCAGCAAGCACCCTGAAGGTTGCCCTTCAATTCGGAGTTGGCTACGGTACTGTGGGTTTGTGTACCACTCAGGTCATGAAGGCTTGCTGTGAAGATTGATTTCGGGATGCTGCAGTTCAGTGGGCCAATGCAGAGGCAAAAGAGAAGGCGAAGGAGTGAGTTGAGTGGCAGTCTTGCCCCACATGGAGGGACGGGTGGCTAATGGTCGGTGGCACTTTGATACCGCTATTCCAGCAACCGGGTTGGTTTGGGAATGTCTGGTTTGACAGGAAGATGAATTATTCTCTCAATGCCCAGGCATGTACCTCACATTTTAACCTATATGCACATCTAATCCAAGACTTACTTACCAGATTGTGAATACACCTGATCTCAAAATCTTGGACTATGCTGTGGGCTTGCCAGGCAGTCAGCATGACGCAACAGCGTGGGCGCAAACACGCACTGCTCAAGATCACCAGAATCTTCTTGAGCCAAATGAGTGGGTCTGGGGAGACTCTGCGTATCCGTTAAAGAGCTGGTGTCAAGCTCCTTACAAAGCGTCTGTTTCATTTGGTCTATTGATCATTCCACAATCAGCTAATTTATTTGCCATATAGCCCAGAGAAATTTCAACCAGGCAATGAGACATTCAATTACCATGTTTCAGCTGTCCGTATTTGCTCTGAGCATTGTATGGGCTATCTCAAAGGTCATTGGTCATCGTTGCGTGGATTGCGGGTCCCAGTGAACAGTGAAAAGCATTTGCAATATGCTACCCTGTGGATCATGACCTGCATAAATCTACACTGCTTTGCAATGAAGCACGAGGACGGGATGATCCACTCTCGAGAACAGTTTATTGGAGAAGGTCTTCAATATTGTCATGAACAGATACGACAGGAGAGGCATTGGAGACAGGAGAGGGAACGCGAAGTAGAGCAAGAGGAAGGCGAGCAGGATGACATCAATGAGGAGATCAAGCTGATTGAAGGAAAGCTCAAATGGGAGATCTTGAAGAACGCACTATTTGAGCATTTGTATGACTAGTTGGTCTAGTAAACTAGCAAATTATAGTAATTCAGGGTCAATATCAAACTGTCCACCAAAACCAGGAGGTGTGGCACCATTTGCGGGAGCACCAGGTCCATACATTCCATGAATAGGTTGTTGTAGTGCTGGCATTGCTCGCGCACCATGAATCATCTCAATCTGCAGCCGCATCATCATCTCTTGATGCTGCCAATTGGCAGCATTTTCCGCTCGCTCATGAGCTGTAACGGAAGCGTCTAGACTGAGACGAGTTCCGCTACAAGGAGGAGCGGGGAGACAACGCTGAGAGGGATAAAGACTAGATTGACCAAGAAAAAAGGGGAAACAAGGAGCTATCTACTTATATAGGGTGATCGGCGGTCAAAGCCAGCCGATCGAGGACTCAATCTGGAAATAAATCAAATGATATTTGTAACGGGACGTTCCCGCTACATACGCCCTCCAGCTCAACACTGGTGGTGAGCTCATACGCTTAGAAACATTATTTCGAGTCCACATTCAATCACAAGTCCGGCATGGCGTCGAATCCATTCACGGAAGTAAATGTCAATTAAATTAGTAAAGCGTCAATCAAAAATCAAAAATCAATCAATGTCAATCACACATCATTCTTGTATCCGCCCGCCCTCCTCGACGACGGACGGACTTCATTTATCATCATCAAAGGATTCCTTCACGATCTCAGTGGTCTCAGCAAGCGAAATTTCGATCGTGTGTGAAGCAATACCCATACCCGGTGGTTTCCCGGGCTTCTCCGATTTCATTGCGCTCACATCAGGGCAGTTTCGAGACAAGTGCCCGCGTTCTCCACACTCGAAGCAACGTCCCTCGCTCAGGTACGTAGCTCGAGTCTTGGCAGGCAACTTTTTGCCGTCACGCGTCACGTAGTCCCACACCTTCTCGTTCTGGTCCTTCTTCGGGGTTTCGACCGCAGCACTTGACACCGAGAAAGCTCGCCCTCCGTTTTGGCGCTTCTCATTTGAATCTGGAGCCAATACATTTCTCTTCCACTTGGACTGGGGTTTCGGTGCCTCAGTCCCATCACTGTCGGCATCCTCAAGGTCAAGATTTACAATTACTTCGGCAGCTTCAGCGCCGCGAGTAACATCACTCCAGGTCGACGTTTCGGGATCCAGATTCGCACGGAACATTTCCTTGCAAATCGACGTCTTCAAGCTGCGACAAAACATCACGACTTTCTCTTGGTTCACTTCCAGACCGATGGTATTGAAGATTTGCTCCCACTCGGCCTTATGGACTAATACAGATTTGTCATCTTGTTTACACGCGTTCAGCTTCGAGCGCTGTTTCTCACGAAAGTTCACAGGGAAACAGAAATTGAACAGACCCCAGAAGAATTCTGACAACGTCCAGGTATGTTCATCATTCTCCACGCGACTGTTATAGAACTCTCGTGCACGGCCAGACATGAAATACGACAAGTAGAACGCTCGTTCATCAGCGGGGACGCGGCCGAGCTTTAGGTAAGCTGTTCCCTCTTTCACAAATCGGTGGAACGCTATCGCATTAGGCGATCCATCATATTCCTTCGGCGGAATTGGCTTCAAGATCATCTTTGGTTCATTCATTGAGACGTTCACAGTCTCTGTTTGGTTGGAACGATGTGGCATTGGGGCCGGGCTCCGACTTCCGACATCCGAGGGATTGCTGGACGGCGGCTCGGATGGAGGGGGTCCGCCAAAGCTATCGACATCACGCAAGGCACGCTCGATGAAGCTTCCCGCCCCGGTACAAGCCGCAGGAGTCCTCTCACGTGCGTCTGTCTGGGCCCGGGTCGGCGGAACATCAATGCTGATATGACGTTCGATGCTGTTCTTCACAGCAGTCTTGTCATAGTTTGGCCACTTTTTCATCTTATCATCGACGATCTTATCTTATCTTGGCACGACTTATCTTATCACGGATCACGGCATCAGACGGTCCGGACTAGGGGTTCCAGGGATTATCTTCACCGATTCGAGGCTGCGCGACATATGCTCCAGAAGGTTCTACTACGACCCATGACCAGCGTTCCATGCGGTACATAGCCCTATGACTCATTAGTTGTAGATATGACTCAGACTGGATTTGGGTATAAATACTGTAGCTACTTGGTTGTATTCTCCAGTCTTCGAATTCACTTCTCTTTTCGACTTCGTTTTTGGGTTGATTGTCACATAATTCGAAGACTCCCCTCATACCCTCCTACCTCATACCTCTTACCCTGCATCTTGCACCGCTACGCCCGCTATATCCTCTTAACCCTTATCACCCCACTCACCCTTTTACCGAATCATCTAGTCGTCCTCCACTATCGCAGTGAAGGGTTCATATCAAGCAAACAGCACCAGGCCACGGGTAACGTTGAGCCCGACCCAAGCCTTACGGTAGCTACAAGGAGTGCTGCGGAGACCTTCGGGAAAACGCACCTCGGGATCATCGGGCACGTGAAGAGCTAGGCCCGGGATCTTTTTGCTAGCAAAAGAACCTTTCCTCGAGTGCTTGTACAGCACACGAATCCACCATTTCGTACCGATTCCCATCGTCGTCTGGGAGTCCATCCCCTCCCCCCATCGTACCATCGTCGCCCGATCTGGCGCATCAAAACCAACCCGGGCCCTCCGACCCCTACCTCGCCCTCCCACCGCCTGAAGACGAGATCCCCGACCTCGACGAACTGCCCTCCGAACAACCACCCTCGCCTCCACCTCACACACCTGCCCCTACCATGTCAGGGCATCACCGCATCACCCTCGCCGCCAACCCCCCCTACTTCGATGGCGACAAGTCCAAATACCTGGGCTTTGTGGACGCGTGCACCACTTACATCGGTGCCTATCGATCGGAGTTCTCACAAGATGAGACCAAAATCCTCTTCGTCCTCTCCTACCTCCGTAACGAGAACGGCACGAGCTGCGCTGCCTCGAGATGGGCGATGAACTGGAAGCAGCACAACTTCGATGGCTTCCAGGGGCTGAAGGCAGGAGTCACATCAAAGAACTTCCTGGAGGAGTTTCAGAGGGCGTTCGGGGACTCCAATGCGGAACAAGTCGCCGCTGCTCGGCTTATGGCCCTGCGTCAAAACAAACGGTCCTTCGCGGACTACATCTCCGACTTTGAGATGTTGGCCGCGGATGCAGGCTACAACGTGGTTGACACCACCGACGACAAAGGCGAATACAAGAAGGGGGACCAGGATAATATCCTCATCGAGTTCCTGGAGCGCGGACTCAGCAGCGAGATCGCCAGCCGTCTCTACAACACCGGTGTTCCTCTGCCCAAGGCCTATGGAGCGTTCAAAGCCTGGTGCATCAACATCGAAGCCAATGCTCTGCGTGACCAGCTGCGCAAAGCGTCGTATGGGCACCCCACACAACGACCACCTCCCCAGTTCCGTCCCCAAACGGCACCAGTGGCGCCCACACCCGCTCCGGCCCGACCCGCTGCCAACGAACCGGTTCCGATGGAAATCGATCGTACCCACGCCCGCGGCCGCAATATCATCTGCTACAACTGTCAGCAGCCCGGGCACATTGCGCGGAACTGCCCGGAGCCCAAGAAGAAACGCACGTTCTTCAATCGGGCCACAATGTTGGAAGAAATCGAGAACGGGGACAAGGACAACGAGTTCCTGAAGGAGATTGCCGAGAAGCTGCGCGAGAAGGGTTTTTGAAGCGCTCCACTCCTCTAGCCAAGGAGGTGGAGCGTCCGGACTATGGACGATTTTCTGTACTTGTTTCGATTAAAGATACGGACAATATTTCATCCACATACACGATCTCAGACTCACTACGTACAAATATTCACGATTTTCTTATTGCCGAGATGGAAAAAGAACGCCAGGAGAAGATAGCTCAAAATAGAAAATACTTACAAGATAAAAAGGATCAGAAAGCTGCAGATAAATTATTTTTGGACTCCTACGTATTTATGGCTCGTGGAGAAGGAACCACGTCAACAAAGACCGAAAAGGGGAGCATCGCTCCGAAGGCTCGATCCTTGGAAAAGGAGGAAGCGCCCAAGGAATCTGCCAAAATCGAGGTTCCAGAAGCACCCAAACGCACCAGGGTGCCAGATGCCATCCAGAGGAAATTGGCGACCAAGAAACAGAAGGGCCCCCAGCCCAGCAGATTGGCGCAGGAATTGCGCCGTTACCAAGCCGAAAGAAAGAGGCATTCGATGGACGTATATGTCCAGATCACGGGCCTGGACTCAGGGAAAACGCGTGGAGTCAAGGCGCTGCTCGATAGTGGCTGCAGTACCTGCTGCATCGACACCGACTACGCACGGGCAGAGAAGCTGGATATCCAAGAGCTTCCGCAACCCATTGTGGCTCGTAACGCCGACAACACCGAGAACATCAGCGGTCGGATCACACACTACGTCGACTTGAGAATGAGAATCGGCCCTCATGTGGAGACACGCACGTTCCTTCTGACGTGTCTGGGAAAAGCCCGGATCTTCATCGGCCTGGATTGGCTGACGGAACACAACCCCGAGGTGGATTGGCAGGAGCAGACAATGAGATTCAGCCGATGCCCAGAGCAATGTCAAATGAGGGGTCACGAGGAGCACCAAGCGATGATCGACATGGATGCAATTGACCTGGACGCGGATGCACCGGATCTGGAAGAGGGAGAATCGATCTTGTTGATCGACTTTGGAAAGGAGGTAGACCTACGGCTGAAGGAAACGCCGGCGCAGAAATTCGCAGAAGAAGCGGAAAAGGAGAAGGAGAGAATGACCGAGGGAAAGATTCCAGATCAATACCGAGAATTCGTCAAAGTATTCGCCAAGGAATCATTCGACTCGCTACCGGACCGACGGGCATGGGATCATGCGATCGAGCTCAAACCAGGCTCCAAAGCAGTGGACTGCAAGGTGTACCCCTTATCGAGAAACGAGCAGGTCAAACTCGACGAGTTCTTACAAGAGAACCTAGCCAGCGGACGAATCAGGCCATCAAAATCACCCATGGCATCGGCATTCTTCTTTGTCAAGAAGAAGGATGGCTCGCTACGGCCTGTTCAAGATTACCGGAAGCTGAATGAGATGACGATCCGAAATCGGTACCCGCTACCGCTGATTTCCGAACTGGTCCACAACCTGTGCGGCGCCAAGTTCTTCACCAAGCTAGACATCCGGTGGGGATACAACAACGTACGGATCAAAGAGGGCGATGAGTGGAAGGCTGCGTTTCGCACAAACCGCGGACTTTACGAGCCCTTGGTTATGTTCTTTGGTCTCACAAATTCCCCGGCAACTTTCCAAAACATGATGAACGACATACTCCGGGAACTGATCAACGAGGGACATGTGGTAGTTTATCTGGACGATATACTAATCTTCACAGAAAATCTGGATGAACATCGACGAATCACCAAACGGGTACTCGAGTTGCTCCAAAAGCACAAATTATACCTGAAGCCGGAAAAGTGCGAGTTCGAACGCACGGAAATCGAATACCTGGGTGTAATCATTGGACACAACTCGATGCGGATGGACCCTGTCAAGATCAAGGGCGTGATGGAATGGCCGGAACCAAAGAGTGTCAAACAAGTCCAAGCCTTCCTCGGATTCACAAACTTCTATCGACGTTTTGTTCGGGGATATGCGGAGGTCGCCAAGCCGTTGACGCGGCTGACAGGGAAGGCAGGATGGTCATGGGGTCCGGATGAACATGCGGCGTTTGATGGGTTAAAGAAGAGAATCGCGGAGGATGCCGTCTTAGCACTGCCAAATGACACTGGCCAATATCGTCTGGAAGCCGATGCTTCGGAAGGGGCAACAGGATCAGTTTTGAGCCAAAACCAAGACGGCATTTGGCGCCCAATCGCATTTATTTCGCACGCATTGACCGAAACCGAGCGAAATTATGAGATCTACGACAAGGAGATGCTCGCAATCATGTTATCACTTGACGAATGGAGGCAGTTGCTCCTGGGAGCCACGGAAACGTTCGAGATCTTCACCGATCATCAGAATCTCGAGTACTTTCGGAAGCCGCAGAAGCTCAATCGACGGCAAGCACGATGGATCACGGAGTTGGCGGAGTTCGATTTCACCTTACGACACCGACCCGGCGCACTCAACCGCAAGGCGGACCTCCTGTCTCGACGAGCAGATCACGATCAGGGCAAGAACGACAACAAGGACGTCACGCTACTGAAGCCCGAGTTCTTCCGATCACAAGAAGTCACGTTCGAGGGACAGGATCAGCAGCTAATCGACGAAATCAAGGCCATTCGATCAATTGATGGAAGCGTCAAGGCGGCCTTAGAGAAGTCACTCGCTGGATGGAAGAAGGAAGAGGGGCTTATCACGTACCATGGGAAGCTCTACGTACCAAGGGACGAGGAGTTGAGGGACAAAATCATCGGACTACACCACGACACCCCTTTGGTCGGACACGCCGGGATCAACCGAACGCAGGAGATGGTGGAAAGGAACTACTGGTGGCCAAGGATGGGAAACCAAATTCGGAAATACATCCAGACGTGCGAAGCGTGCCAGCGGACCAAGACCAGAAGAGCCAGGACAGGGAGTTTGCACCCGCATGCAGTTCCAAACGCGCCGTGGGAAATCATCTCCATGGATCAGATCGGACCCCTGCCGGTCAGTAACGGGTATGACGCAATTTATGTGTGGTGTGACACCTTCACCAAAATGATCCATGTCGAACCAATTAGTACTGACATCAGCAGCGAAGGAGTAGCACGATTAACCAGGGACCGAATCTTCCGCTATCACGGGGTCCCCCGCAAAATCATCACTGACAGGGACTCTCGATACATCAAGGGCTTTATGAAGGAAACGAATCGGATGTTGGGCGTGGAAATGAATCCGGGAACCGCATATCACCCCATCACGGATGGGCAGACGGAGCGTATGAATCAGGAGATCGAACACTATCTCCGCATTTACGTCAACTACCATCAGACGGACTGGTCGGAGTGGCTGGGAATGGCGGAGTTCGCATACAACGACAAAATGAACACGTCTACCAAAATGTCGCCGTTCTATGCTAATCACGGATATCACCCATGGAAGGGAGTGGAGCAGCGGATGGAATCAAGGAACGAGTCGGCGGAGGAATTTGTAAAAAGAATCAAAGAAATACAAGACGAAGCAAAAGCAGCATTGGAAAAAGCAAAAGAAAAAATGAAAAAATACTACGATAAACAAAGAAAAGGAGTTCCGGAGTTGAAGGTTGGGATGAAAGTATACATAGAAGGGGAAAATATCGAGACGGATAGACCATCAAAGAAGATGAGCGACAAGAGATTGGGACCATACGAGATACTGGAGAAGGTTGGAGCGGCCGCATGGAAGCTGGATTTGCCGGACACGGACCGAAGACACCCGGTGTTCAACGAGTCACTGTTGACACCCTATCACGAACCACCCCCCCATCGCCGAGAGAAGAGACCCGTAGCCAAGATGATCGGAGGAGCAGAAGAGTGGGAAGTCGAAGAAATCGTGAAAGAACGAAAAGTCGGCCGAGGAAAACAGTACTTGGTCAAATGGAAGGGATGGCCGCACAGCGAGAACACCTGGGAACCATCACGTCACCTTACCCACGCAAAGGACGTCCTGAGAGACTGGCAGAGGAAACAATCAAATCCAGACACACGCATTCGCCTCCTGCCAACGCTCGAAGCTGGACACTGGGACTATCTCATTCATCGCTACAAACCCAGGGACGAGCGCCTTCCATATCCCCAACGACAGCTCTTCGACCCTTACGAGAACGTCTTCTTACCCATTGGCCTAGTCGATGAGGACATCGACCCTAGAGAGGGGGTAATGTCATAGTTCGGCCACTTTTTCATCTTATCATCGACGATCTTATCTTATCTTGGCACGACTTATCTTATCACGGATCACGGCATCAGACGGTCCGGACTAGGGGTTCCAGGGATTATCTTCACCGATTCGAGGCTGCGCGACATATGCTCCAGAAGGTTCTACTACGACCCATGACCAGCGTTCCATGCGGTACATAGCCCTATGACTCATTAGTTGTAGATATGACTCAGACTGGATTTGGGTATAAATACTGTAGCTACTTGGTTGTATTCTCCAGTCTTCGAATTCACTTCTCTTTTCGACTTCGTTTTTGGGTTGATTGTCACAAGTCTGGGCCTGGGACAAGCTTTCAGCTCGCTTGTCCTTGGCATTCAGCGTCTTAACGGGCGTCGAGGCCCGAGATTCCGTCACAGCTCTATGCAGGCTGTCAATTTGGCGCTGCAAGTCAACAAAACGTTCCTCAATGCTCTGGTCATCGCACCCAGAGGCGTTTCCATTATGCATATTCAAATTCTGCTCCGACAAGATGGTGGTCAGAGATCTGCGGCTGTCATGCCGAACCGAGACAGACGGCGGTAAGTAACTGTCCTCCTGCTTCATGTGTTTTCTGATCTCATCGAAGTTCGCAAACGCAGCGCGCTGAGCATCAAGATCATGCTCAGACAACTGGTCCGACAGACCTCCCCAGTTACGAGGATCAGGACCCTTGTCCTTTGAACGATGGGATGGGCCAACATCGCAGGGGACGGCCGGGCTGACTTGGGCTGGGGACAGGTAGATCGACTCTAACACCTGAAGGGAGGACGAGAACGGAACGGGGGACGTCTCACTGTTTACTATCTGTTCATTAAAGTTGGCCATTCTATCATCTAAACGACTGAAATCAATATCCTCGTACGGATCCTGTCCACTGCCCTGTGAGCTAAGATCACGATCTGCGGCCGCAGCTAAAGCTTCCTGCGCAATAGCCTGGTGGCGCCGCGCAAAGCTCACCAATTCCGTGACACTCATGCCTTGCATGGCGCGCGACATGGTTGTGGAAGTCTGTGAAGCGACGGTTTCTTGGTCGCTGACAGATTGATCCTGACTAACCAATGAACAAATCACCGGAACGGTAGATCCACTGCGCTGATGAGCTTCGAACTGGCTCTCAGCAGCAATATCCAAATCGATCAAGGAGTTCTCTCGTCCATAGGACGGCTTCTCCGGCAGAGCCGGGCTGTCTCGTGCCGACTGGGATAAACCCACTCGCGTCGGCATGGCTGGGGATGCAAGCATCTCAGGGAGATGCGAGATTTCGGGGGCCGAGGCTGGAAGGGAAGGATGCCCCTCTAGCTCGGATTGTGGCGTGCCGCTCTGTCTTGAGCGGACACTCAGGGGTCTGGCGGCGTCCGATGCTGTCGGTCGTCCAGTCATGGAGACAGTGTCGGAGGGAGCAAGCACGGTGGGCACATCGGGTTCGAGGTCTGGGTGCCCGCGTCGGGACTTCGGGTGGAATCGGTGGTGCATGCCGCCAGACATCGTTTGGGTTCAGGGGTAGTCAGTCGTCAAGCGCCAGTTCGAGGGAGGGAGGGTTCGGCGCAGCGACGAATCTAGCAGGCGGAGCTCTCAAAAATATGTAACGGAAGCGTCTAGACTGAGACGAGTTCCGCTACAAGGAGGAGCGGGGAGACGACGCTGAGAGGGATAAAGACTAGATTGACCAAGAAAAAAGGGGAAACAAGGAGCTATCTACTTATATAGGGTGATCGGCGGTCAAAGCCAGCCGATCGAGGACTCAATCTGGAAATAAATCAAATGATATTTGTAACGGGACGTTCCCGCTACATGAGCCATCCGTTCCTTCTCCAACTTCATCTGAGCATCAACCCTCTTTGTTGCACGGGCCGTCTTCTCACGGTGCTTAACTTCCGCCTCCTCCAAACCAAACTCCGCGATCTTGATGCGTTGCTCTTTATGTATGTTGGTAAGGTCAGAGATGTGCTTGTGAATTGACTTCCATTTGGTGCCGCGGGCAGAACTGGGTGTCACAGATTCTGTTTTGAGAGCCATTGTGCTTTTTGCAGCAGGGGTCTTCGGATTGGTCTTGACAGATGCGAGATCGTTCTCGTCTTCGAGGCTGGAGCTGCTGAGATCATCAAACCGCTTGTGTTTGGTTGGGCTGGGAGGCGGACTCGATGACCAGTCCGCTATAGCAACAGACTCTTCGCTGTCTGAATCTGGCGCAGCCTGCACAGAGAGATCAAATGATGCACAAGACGCAAGGAGCCATCCATACCTGTTTCTTGTGCCGATCGAGGGCACTCAGTTCAACACAGGTCTGACTGTTTGCAACAGCCGCTTGATTGACTGTGGGGTTAGGACACAGCAGGGGTGTCAGTCAAGTGTACCACGGAAACTTGTGCTGTATCTCGTCTACAAGAGCATGAAATAGAAACCAGATCACAGAATTCGACGCACCCAAAAGATTTGCCAGCGGGGTGTCCTCCAGAATCTCATCTTGCCTCCCTTTGTTGAGAAGCCCTTGGCCGGTTGTTCCAAGTAGATTGAAATACCTGATGTATCCAGTTTTGACGCTGAACAGCGTCAGGACTCAGATCACATAATCACATGGTGTAACGTACGTCTGGATGCGGTTCTTACACACCGTGCTCAAGGCTGCAAGATCGTCGACTGTGACAAGGACTGGTTTGTTTCCTTCGAGCTTTCCGGCAACCTCGAGCGGCGACTCATACTCTGGCTTTGCAGGCTCCTCGAAGTTGCGACCTTCAGCTCGAGCCAGCTCACAAGCCAAACGTGACTCCTCCTGATCCTTCTCCCGCTGCAGGATACCATCGAGGAATGTCTGTGCCGCAAGTGCACTATGCACGTCCGTAAGCCTCATTCCCCCGCTGTTCAAAGAACCGGGAGTGGACGCAGCCATGCCAAGAGCCTGGCAGTGCTTGTCATTGTCCTCGATGTTCATGAGAAGGGTGTCGGTAACGTAGTAATACTCGGGCTTTGATCAGCTGACAGGATGTGTCAGAAGCATCAAGGAGAAAGCACCGGCACTCACTTGATAAGAGTCCTACGTTTCTTCTTGCCTTCCTCAGTCTCATTCTCTTGACCTTTGACCTCCTCATTCTCCTTGTTGGCTTTCTTCCCCTTAGACTTGGTAGTGATGGCGGTCTTCTTGACTGCGTGTGAAGCAGCCTTTGATGCTGCCGAAACAGCTTTTTTGGTCGTCTTGCTATTGGTTTTCTTCCTCTCCTTCTTTTGTTTGGCCTCAGCCAGTCTTTTTTGGAGTATTTTTATCTCTGGTGTGGACATACTATCATTTACCCCCTAATGAAATTGTACCCCCTAGTGAAATCGTTAGTGCTCAGAGTTTCCACAACACCCTGAGTTCACAGAAAAATTATCTGTGACCTCTAAATGGCATGTCCTTTGAGTATATGAGTTGTGTGGAATATTGCGTGGTATCAGTATTGTGTATAAATCTAAAAACATTGTCCTGGGCATGATTTCCGACATCGAGACCTTCACCAGTGCCAGATATATTCAAAAATTTACATAGGTATTGTTAGACGTGCCCTTCCAATGCTCTCATACTACTTGCTTGGGTTCTCCGACTTTCATTCATTGAATACAGAAAGGTGTGACTGGAGGCTACTTATCCAAATTCAGAGTCCGACCGTGATCAATCCGTTGCCGCCCACCACTCTTGCCCTGATCGCCGTCGACAACCTTTACTTTCATTACCCGCACACTCTTTCTAACACTATCCTTTTTTAATCCTACCGACATTTGATCTATCCTACCGACATTCGATCTGAAGCCAGCGCGTTCCGTCGTAGATATAATTGATCTCGGTCTCTTGTGATGTCATCGGTGGTGCGGAATGAAAGCAATCTTAAGAAATCATCAAGCGGCATTGGCTGCCGAAATCTGCCGGAACGTGACCCATTCGTGACACCGATTTCACTAGGGGGTTCACTCCCGCCAAAAACAATGATGATTTCATTCTCGCCGTGGCTGCATCCTCAACGCAGAATAAAATTGAAAATGTTGCAAGGACATATAAGAGACTTCAAACTGCGAGCCTGTCTAATTTATAGGCCTTTGGCAGGTATTGTTAAAGGTGAGCAAGCTCAGATCAAATCGATTTCATTAGGGGGTAAATGATAGTAGAGGACGAGAGTGCGCGTAGTGCAAAAGAGCGAGAGGGGCGCATCAATTCGGCTCGCGTTTCACAGCATCAATCAATGTGTCCGGCATGATGCCGGACAGCGTTATTCTGCTGTGACTACATAGAAATCTGAATTGAAATCTGAATCGAAATCGACTCGAAATCAGAGGGTATGAACGACCCTATTGTCACGCATTTTCCACAGAAAAAAATTGAGTCCCCCGCAGTGTGGCACGTGCACACGGAGGCTCCGGATCCTGATTAGTTTTATTTTAATTATTGATGTGTTTGTCCAGTAAGCATGTTTGTTGATGATCTCGTGACCTTCCACCTTTCTCCCTTGCCCATCACCTCCTCCCAGTGTTGACGGGTCCCGGGGTCCGGTCCCGAAGACCGCAGTCTGGAGTCCACCATAGCTGAGCGGACCTGCCCCGGACCCCTAGACCGCCTGGGACCGCCTGGGACCGGTGGTTGATATTTAAGCATTTATGTTGCTCTTTGTGAATGGTATATGAGTGCTATCTACTCGACTACAATACATGCTGGATTCTCCAACGCATCCTCTTCAAACTCTTGAAGTATAACTTCGATGCCGGCATCGTCTGTTGATTTGGTAAGCAGGGAGTGATCCGCCCCAGGTAGACACTTTGGCCAGCTTGGACAAGTCAAAGATTGACTCGAGCGGGTAGAGTCCAGCCAACCCAAATTGAAGCTGAATCTGAGTGTTTTGCCTAACAGTGCATTAGGTCCGCTCAATTCTTGGCTCATGAACCGGGTTCACGAGGTTTTGATGAGCCCGACAGGTTCTGACAGTTGCCATCACATACCGCTGCGTTGGACAGATGGCGACATGCTCGGTAAGCGATCTCTTCTTTTCTTCTCTCCCCTTCACGTAATGTGCGTGCTCCAGTCAGTCAGCTGACATGTCAACTCACAGACGGCCAGAGCGCGATCTCGTGACAACATGCATGCAAGTAGATTCTGTTATAATGGACATTTACTTCTTGTTTACAAAATGCAGCCATATGCTCCTTCAGGAAACTATCACTTCCCATCACACATACTGAATCATGGCTCCCTGACTCCTCCTCCGAGCAATCCGTCCCAGCATAATAATATTCAGCCACAGTACCCATATACAAATCGCACTCATTCCACAATACACACTCCCGATCGTAACATTACATACCCGACACCTAATTTTAGACAGCCTGAGTATGGTACCTATACCACGGCACACCAGGAACCAGAGCATACAAGCTCCGGGGCTGGCAATTATCTATCTCCCATGCCATCACCATTGCCGTTTACGTCTCCCCATCTTCCGTTCGTATCCTCGCGCAGTTTACCAGCCCCATCATTTCCGTCGAGTCCATCGCAGCTCGGAAAACGCGCCCAACCTGATTCCGATTTCGACAGGGTCCAACCTGCCAAGCGCGGCGCAACAATCACAGTTCCGGCAGGATCGACAAAACCGAGAGCAAGGCGCACACAGTCAACAAAGAAAAACAAAGAAAACGAGAAGAGAGGAGCGGTTGCAGCTGGCAAGAAAGGCAGAAAACCGGTAGCGGCAGCACCAGTTGTTACCGAAATATTGGACAGTGATGATGAAGAAGACAGGAATGAGGACGGCACACCGCATCTATGGACCGCAAACGAACAGGATCTACTGTTCCATTTTGTTTTAGACTCCCCGCTGGACGAGTCTCCTGCTGCTGACAATTACGCAACTATTTTGGTAAACCCAAAAGCGGTCTGCAAAAGAGTCAGTATTTTCCCAGGTTATACTCGCGCTGCTGACAAGATGCGAACAGGCCTCGAGAGAACTTTTTGAGGGTTCTCGTTCATGGGCTGCGATCAAGGGTCAGTGGCGGCGTGCACTTCAACAATTTGGTTGGATCATGGCACAAGATTACTAAGCACTGCCTAATTGGGAACCGGTCTCTAGCGGACCCCCACCAATTTCAAAGCTCGAGCGGACCTGACCTGGACCCGACCCCGGACCCAGGGACCGGGACCGCCACCGGACCCGACCCCGTCAACACTGCAGGCTCCTCCCATTCGACGCGCCGACCCAACGATAACCCGCCCCAGCTGGTCGTGCCACGCGATGTGCGCGCACGAACAGCCTTCTACGTCATTGCCTGGTACATGCGTCGACGTCGTGTGGTTGCCTGACATACACCGCCGCCATCAGAGGATGATGATGCCCCATTGCCCCCCTAACTTGGCATTTTGCTTCCCTCCGCATTCGGATCAGATCTGATCGGGCTTTTTGTCGCCTATATATATTATACCCAGGTCCTGCAAGGCTATGCATACACAATCGCATCCCACTTTCCAAGGTTAACCGGGGCAGCAACACATCTATGCTGCAATTCGACCCCAACAGTGTGCAGGTCGGGAAATGGGGTCGTCTCTACTGCGCCAGCCAATTAGTTTTGGCAGTCATGCTCGTTGTCTTCGGGCTTTATGCATTCGTCGCGTCGATAGCCGATGATGGAGCTGGTATCGTGACCATTCTCTTTCTTTGTAAGGCTTGGACCTTTAATTTCTTCAAGAGTCATTCTGACACGCATCATTGTAGTCGTGATCTTCGTATTCCGAACGTTCACATTGATGCTATCACCCTGGTCCTACTCTGAGGCTTCGGAGGTGATTGCTCAGCTCTCAAACTATATGATCCTTGTGCGTTTCCGTTGTTTCTTTTCGGCTCGACCTTGACTGAAACCCGTGAAAGTGTGCCGGAGCAGTTGAAACCGTACTACTCTGGCTGCGATTCCGGATCCCAGGTGACGATTCACTACTTGGCATCAGCATCTGGGTCGATGCCAATGCGCAATCGAGAGTTTGGGTGCAGGTCGGAACCATTTTCTATGCCCCGCACCATTTTCGCGTGCTGATTCGTGGTCTCAGAGATTCCTAGTTCTCAACAACGTCGCCTGTTTGCTTGAGATCGTTTTCAAACCGCTGCGGATCAAGTACCTTCGTCGTGTATCCGGTGCGATCCATTCGCGAACTCGGAACACGGTACCTGATGGTAGTATCTAGTCATCCGTACACTCGATCAGAACCTCGAGCACGACACCTGGCCGATGTACCGGGCCAGCAAACCTCACCTCTTCGCCCGATTTGTACGCAAGATGGGTGCTGGGCCGATTCGCCTGCCGAGCGACATCGAACGGCCCCTGACGGCCCTCCCCACTATGCGGTGGAGTTCGCCTGACGGGTTCGAGGATTCAGTGAGGCACTGGTGCACCCTGAACATGTTGCCGGAGGCAGGGCGCGCATTGTGGGTCACGGTTCCCAGTGACCACATCGTCGGTTTCTGTGCGGCCGAGCTCGCGGACATCCTGAATCAGATTGAAACCGTGCACACCGTCCTCTGCATCGACGCGAACAAGACCATGGGTGTGTCGGCTGCGTTGGAGCATCGGCTGAGCGAATGCACTGGTCCCGAGTTCGTTGACGAGCTCGAGTACGATTTCGTCAGTCTTTCCTTGTGTGCGATGGCGAGGGATCGACGCACTGATTGCCAGGCAGGATGGCCACCAATCGATTGTGGACCAATTGCAAGAGATCTGGAAGAAACGGCAGCGTGAGAGCCGTGGAGACGGCGCACAACGTGCTGTTGTAGTCATTCATGGCTTGAACGAACTCGGGAATCAGGGTGCGGAACTTCGTGACAACATCCGAGCCATCTCTACTAACCCAGACGGCACGCTCGATTTGGTCGTTCTCCGTACTCCTGGGCTGTTCCAGGAGATATTTGATCACGTCTCCGCTCCGATGGCGTACTTTCTTTCGGTCTCTCATGCAGGCAAAATTCGGTACTCTGGAAACCCACCAGTGTCTCCGCTGTATCTTGAGGTTGATCGCAATTGCCTCCCCGTCACCTGGTTGCTGATACGAGAACAGGGCCTGTTCAATGTTCTGTTAGAGGAGATATTCACACCAAGAGCGGACGATCTGCTCACTCAGCAGTGCGTGTCGAAACAGGACGGAAACGAGATCCGTCTTCTGACTGCTGCGCTACTCCTAGGATATGGGAAGATCTGAGTGTATTCTGTGCGAGCGCCCAATCCAAGATTCCCGTGGTCGACAGGGACAACTCTCTCGGGGACAACTACGACGCTTTATCGCGAGTCTACCGGGGGCGCAAGCTGTTGACAAAGGTTGCTATGATCATTTCGACGTCAATGATTATTCCTCACGAAACGAGAGCAGCTTCTGGCGACCTTCCCGTCTGTCACGGACCCGAACATCGAAGAATCTATCCACGAGGACAATGCTTGTCTCAGTCCCGCTTTGGCTGCGATCTTTGGTATCACGGACTACAAGCTCAAGCTCGAAGCCGAAGTCTCTGAGACAGATGCATATGCCGTGCTCAATCTGGTTCATTCGGTGGGCAGCGTCCACACTTTCTGGCTAGACTGTCGTAACACTGTAAGCAGGTCGCCAGCGCAAGCCACGGGAGCGCACACACCGAGGAGACGGCTGTCTTCCACCGTCGTGCTCAGCGACTGGTTCGCATCCTCTCAGATTTCGTGGGGATTCTCCCAGAGGAACTTGCAGTCCACGGGATGACCCTGCTCCAACACCATCCCATCACAGCTGGCGGGTTCGCGTTCGTGTACCAGGGCAAATGCCTCGATGCGGCGGGTGCGCCAGTCCAGGTCGCGCTGAAAGTGCTCAAAATCACGGAGGCGCAGTCGGACGACGAGCGCCGGGCCATGCTGAAGAAGTTCGCCAAGGAGGCGCTGGTCTGGCATTACCTGCGCCATCCCAACATCGTCCCCTTCCTCGGAGTCGATGGCACGACGTTCCCCAACCGGCTTGCGATGGTTTCTGTCTGGATGCCCGAGGGAAGTGTGCTCAAGTACATGGCGGAGAACTCGCCTGTTTCGGGCTACGCGATCTCGTTGGCGAGTAACCTTCCACGTCGGGTGATTGAGCTGACGGAGTATACAGCTTACAGACATCGCGGATGGCCTGGCATATCTGCATTCATCAAATGTCATCCACGGAGATCTCTGCGCTGTAAGCCTGCGACCAATCTACTCGCACGCCCCAGACTAAACTGCATCGCAGCGGAACATGCTCGTCGACAAAGGCAGGGCGATGGTGACCGACTTTGGGCTGGCGGGATTCATCGAGAGCGAGTCGACGGTGCTGTCAACTCGCGGAGGAACACTGCGCTGGATGGCGCCGGAACTGATCCACCCCTCGGTCTACCGCAAAGACGCGTCGTTCAAGCGGACCACGGCGTCGGATGTTTGGGCTCTTGGTTGCTTGTTCTGTGAGGTGAGAGTGATCCCTTTCTCGGGTCGGGTTGAATGGCTGACTGGCGACACAGATCTGGACGGAGGGGCAGGTCCCTTTCGCCCGCTCCTCGGATAGCGCGCTGATCCTGGCCTTGTCGGATACTAAATCCTCGCAAACCTCGCCATATCCTGACAAGCCACTCGACAAGTCAGGAGTGGAGATGCCGGAACTGCTCTGGGACCTAGTCGAGTCGTGTTTCTATGTCGATGCGGCGGCTCGACCGGCAGCAGCTGACATCCTCGAAGTTCTGAAACGGGTGTTCAAACACTCGGGCGACATCCACTTGAGTCGGAAGGGGAAGGGCAAGGCGCGCGAATTGCACCCTGCATCCTCGGAGCCAGATGTCATCGTGCACTTTGGACCGGTTGATCTAGACTCCGACCCGCAGCGCCAGGTGCAGATGATGCTCGACGGACTTGGCAGGAGTGTACTCGTCCGTCCTTCGTCGGTTGACGTCGATAAAGCGGAGGAATCGTACTTGCATCTGCGGTTCCGGTCCCCCGCTGAGGCTGATCATTTCGTATTGCTTTGGACCGCTTTCCGTTACGGATCGTACATCGAGGTAGAGGCCTGGATTGTGTTTCCTTGAGACTAGGTTGCTCTCAGCATCTAGTTGATGCTAAAGACTGCTATTAATGCCTTGACACCTGTTTCAGAATTGTGTACACCGCGAGAGGCCCTGAACAACGATTTGCACTGACTTGCCCCGCAACCCCTGTGACCTTGGTCTGTGTTGGTGCCCGTACGGAATCGTCCACCTGACATTTCAAAGCCAAAGTGCTCAGGTGTAAATGCCTGCAACGTGAGAGTTGAGCTGGTGTGCTGTTGATTGATGGCACGTGACCGCGTGAGGGGATCCAAATCGCTTAACTGCGACCTCGCTCCTCGCTCCTCCCTTCTGCGAAAGATAGACAAGCTACTGTCAACAAGCAGCTTCGTTTTGCGCAACCGGATACCGCCACTGAACACCGACTTTTTGCCATGCAACGAGCAAAGGGCGTATCCGTAAGCTTCATGAAGGAAATCGGCTTTTCGCGGCCCACTCGTGGGAAGAGCAACCCTCACAGCCTGTCGCCGTCCTTACCTGGGATAAGATAGGCGCTCTTTCGAACCTCTGGCCAATCGATCTTACCTTCGTGCTGTCATGCGATACGTGAGACTGGTCTTCAGCATGCACTTGCGCTCAGCTTGCACCTCGTCGGACTAGAATGTCACGTTCTGCTGATCTTGAACAACGACGTCATCCCATGGGAGCAGGCGGAGATCGACGCGGATGCAAGGACAGGGGCTCGGGGATCACCGAGTGTCTGAGACATGCTCATCGACATAAATTTCGGGCCTGAGCCATGGTCAAGCCCATACCAATCTCACACTCCAACCACAATGTTCTCTGCACTTGCATCCATGCCTGCGACCGAGATGGCCCTCCCGAGGACCTTCCCGCTCTTCTTGTTGCCGAGGCACATTTCCACTACCCCCTCTGTGAAGGCTTCCGCCATCCGGAAGGCTTCCATCTCATCTGTGGACTCGCGTGTCTCCTCGTCCACGTCCTCATCTGAGGCGTCATCCGAGGTCGAGATGCCGACAGCGAGCGCAGTTGCAACCAGGGCCTTCTTCGAGCGCGAAGTAGTGCTGACGGAGGATCAACGTGAGTAGTATGCACGAGTCTTCCCCTGCTTGCGCTGACTGCCCTTCAGTCCACAATCCTCCTGCCGCACTCTTAGATCACTCGGCTGATTCCTTGCACGCCGAGTCCCCTGCGTCACCGAGCAGCGTTGTCACCAACGTCTGCTTCTGCAGGGAAGTCATCCTGACCGAGGAGGATTGTGAGTTCAGCCTTCGTCAATCTCCTTTTCTTGATTCTGACACCACGCCCTCCTATCCAGTGAAACAATCACCCTCTCCACCCAAATCTCCTCGCTTCCGAAACATGCTTTCCCGTTTTGCCCGCCGTAGGAGGTCGTCGTGTTAGAGGCCGACTCCGGTCGATCCTTCGATCCTCGTCCGGGACGTGCCGCTCGTCGTCGAACACGTCGATGTGCCGTTCCTTTCCAAAGGACCGGCACCTGCTGTCCCGACAGCGGCTAGGCGGAGTCGGCGTAACTCGCTGTTCATCACGAGCGCGGCCAAATCCGACGCTGTGTGCGAAGGATGGTGACCCGGAACTAGTTAGCCTGCAGTATCTGCTTTTCATATAAATCCCACACAAATGCTTTTGCATCACCACGACCTTTGTGAGGCATGGTTTGCTTCACCCTGATTCAGTTTCACTTTGCTCTTCTCCTCTGCAAATCGAACAGTCATACACTTCATCAGCGTGATGTGGTTTCCGAATATGGACATTGAATAAATTGCCTTGTTGAATAAATTGCCTTGTGAATTGCCTGTCCTGGTTGACAGCGTTCTATCAACTGACTATCCAGGCCAGTGAACCCGCTCCGCCAGGATCTCCTTTAGACAGTCTGCGTGAGTAATAGACTTGTGCAATCTTTTGCGTACAAGCAATCTGAATGTAGTCGGTTGAATGGACATTTTTGAGTCGAGGCAATGTCGTTCTGGACGACATATTGAGTGGTGCATGCTTGGAGGAAGCAGGTGCCTTTCTGTTAGTGGAAATCACGGGGCTGGAGACAACACGGGCGAGAAGCTGACGAGACTCGGAAAGCATCTTGCCCAGACCACACAAAGGGGAAAGAAACCGACAAGATGGTGTGGGAGGGCTGGAGAGGAGCGAGGATGGATCGTGGGGATATTCCATGCGAAACGATCCCGAGAGCAGAGGTCTGGAAAACACCAAATCGGACCTGAAGCTTGAAGAAGGTAAGCGGTCTTGCGTTGAATCTTCAGAGATTGAGATTTGAATGTAGATGGTGGCATCGATCGTGACAAACCCGAGATGGACGCCTAAGGACGGCACCTCGCCAAGGGGACCCGGCTGGCCGTCACTCCCAGCAATTAGAAGGACGATGAGGGCACAGACGAACTGCGACCTGAAGTGACTGCAAGCCATCTCATTCAGACGTCTCCCGGTCGGGCCGGTGTTGTTCATTGGAACGTCCGCGGAACCTGGCAAAGAAGACATATTGCAGGTGAAGAAAAGTCGATCACATCCAAGAGAATCTTCGCCACACGAGGAGCCCCAGTCGCCTTGGTGTGCCTGGTGATCTGCGCTGACCCAGACACGGCACAGGACTTCGGGGTAACAATGACCTCATGTCTGGGATAGACCCACCAAGTGGACGGAAGATCCACCGGATTAGATTGTCAAGTATCCGGAGACAAAATGTACCGGTCGCGGTTCCTGAAAAAGATGAGTAAGACACTTGTCAGGGCAAAGAAAGGATCGAGAGCCGTATTGTGTGATGTCCTTCGTGGATCGACCTAGCGATATGATCGTCGCTCTCTTCTACTGAGATGCGTTTGTCATGGAGCTTCTTGTGCTTCGGATTCTTTCTGGGTGCAGCTTCCTGCGCGACTCGCTCTCCTTAAAGTTCTTGATGACGAAAATCTCCGCGGATGTCCAAGCCTGGCGGTGTCGGAATATCAAGGCGTCCTGTACCGCGCAAAGAGAAGAGATACCGGAGCGATGTATTGGCTCATGTCCTCTTCGATCGGACTTGTGGAAGATGGGCAAGACGAACGGAAGGTGGCGTTGCGACGTCAGAGCGATGGTCCAGACTTCATGCGGGCCACCGATGAACGGCGGACCGCCGCACCTTCCGCAAGACAAGACGATGGGAGATCAAACATCCTTGAGAGATAGAGCAACCGAAGGAGAGCCAAGAAATCGATGGTAGGCTGAACGGCGCGACTGCGAAGAAGAGTGTCAGTATAGCAGCAACCAATGAAGAAGGATGATGGAACAAACCTGCAACCAGAGTCGATGGAGAACCACGCAAAAGGCGGGGGTCTTCTCGATACGAATCAAATCCAGAACTTATTGATCCCAACGACGACGGCAGGAGCAGCCGAGTTTTCGTGAACGGCAGCCTATCTAGAATGCCATGAGCGGGTTGCTCGTGAAATCAATACAAAGTACTCTGCAAGGGGAATCCAATCGACACGGATCGGACGGCCCCGACGGCGAAGTTAGAGCGCCAGCGCCTAGATAGCGAGATGAATGAGGCGAAAAATTGTTGTCTAGACGCAGATGATGGCCAAGACTATCCTTGTCCGCCGACTGCATTGCGAATACTGGCAGACAACCTCTTGACCCAGAACGTGCTCGTGTCTGGAAATCTATTCGCGCGTGAGAGACGGCAGCCGGTGTCTGGCCTCGCACCAATGCACATGGACGCGCGCAGATATGTCCCAGCCGGCCTACTCGCACCACTAGATTGCGCAGAGTAGAAGACCGCTTCCAGTCCCGTGTCGTGCCTGGACCGTGGAGCCCTCGTTCAGAATCAAACACAGGATGGCTCTTGTCAAGTCTGCGATAATGGCAGAAGACGACGGCAGCACGGTCCGGATAAAGAAAGGTCCAAGCGTGCGCTTGGACATTGAGATTTTCCCTGAATCCCGTGAGAAATAGCTTGTCATTGCGCGAGGATCATGATGGCTGTAAAGTGAGGAACGGTGATGTCGACTCCAGGCCTTGTCGTGGGAATCTTATCGGCACAGACAAGCAGCGTGATCCATCATATAAATGTATCAAGCTCGCTGCTCCTCGAGTCGCAGGGTGTGCATCGTAGCTCAGACATGAAAAACTTGCGAGCCCAGTCACGAGGCTCGGAATATAAGAGGTGCAGGGACCTTTGAGAATTTCCCGAAAGCCTGGCTCTCACTGTCACATCAATGATCTTAACCCCACAGGTAGCATCTCTCTTTGGATCAGTATCTCTCACTGGCAGAGGACGGCGCGCGTATACGTAGACGTCACAAGTCTTTGCCCGCATATGCGAGGTGCACTCTCTTAAATCCAAGAATGCTGCACCAGCAATGCCGAATTTCGATCAAAACCCACATCCTGCCCCTGCGCTTGGTGGTGTTTTGAGAACAATGGACAGTCTTGTTTGCCGAGTCCGATGATACAAAGTCGGCTGTGGACGTTCAGGACGCGCACTTGACACCCATACGCACGCCCCCATGACCTCCGACTTACTCTCCACGCTACCGCCCGAGCTGCTCCTGATGATTGCACGGTGTTGCACTGTGCAGGAGATCTCGGCGCTGTGCCTCACCCGACGCAGCTTGTCGGAGTTGCTCCGCCATGAGATAGTGAGAACTGTAGATCTCGTCGGAATGGAATCTCTCTTCAAGTTCTGCGACACGGTCAGCCGGCGGAAGCTGCATTCCTCGATACGGAGTTTCTCCATGTGTGTGCCAACCGCTCTCTGACGTGGTGAAATACTCATCCACCTGGGATTTCCACCAGTACTTCCAAGGGCTGGCCGTTCCATTCCAACGAACTATGTGAACTGATCACCACTCTTCTTGTTGCTGCTCGCAAGACCCTTCGGGAACTCGCCATCATCGCACTACCCTATCTCGTGCAGACGCTCTCTGCAGCCAACATAACATTCGTGCGGCTGAGCAAATTGCGTGTGCCGTTCGAGGCGAACAAGCTCTTTCATCTCCTAAAGCTCACACCCTCTCTCACCAGTTTGAGGGTTGATCCCCCGGAAGATGCGACTTCCTCATTGGGTTCGATGCATGGGGAGAGTGATGCATCTACTGAAGCGGGATTTCCCGGCTCGGTGCCGCTTCCCCAGCTTCGTTCGCTGCACGGACCGCTCAGTCTCGCTGCAAAGATCGTGCCTGGTTCCCAAACGACGAAGGTTGCGATTGTGTGGAATGAGGCCGACTTTTCCTTCAGAGAGGATTTCCGTGGGACGGACGGAAGCGACGAGCCAGTTGCGACTGAGGCAGTGTCCCGACTCGCTCTTTCGAAAGCGACTGTTCGCGATGTCACCAACGACATGATGGGTTGGGACGTGCGGGTCCCGTTGACGCTTATTCGGTTCTTGCCAGACCTTGTCTACCTCGTTCTTCACGACGTGAAAGTGTCCCTAGTTGCCCTCGGTCCAGCTGTCAGTGCATCCGCGCACTGTCAGATTCCTCCTCGACTGATCTGATCGGACAGTTCTCCATCTTCCTCGACTGCATCCCCGAAGTCCTCCGCGCTCTCCCTCGCCTGGAGGGGATCGAGGTCACCACCGTCTATCGTATTCCTCGCTGGATTGCGGAGACGACCCTCAGCGAGGAGCTCGCACTCGCCCGCCGCTGGGGCGACGTCGGCCACAATCTGGTTCACTGCGTCACGCTCAGCGGCGTCAGAATCGAGCGGGCGGCGGGGACGCGCGACGCGCTCTGGCTGCCGCAGCCGTTCTCCGACCCGAAGCTTGAGGCGTGGTTCGTGCGCGCGATGGCCAGAGACGTGAATTTCAGGAGACCCCGTCTCTTCTCGCCTAGCTACGTGGACGTGGCCAAGAGCATAGTCGGTGCGGCCTTGTTCGACGAATGTGCCCGGACTCTGCAGTTCCCCCCGCACCTCGCTGCCCCAGATAAAAGCCCTTATTGAAAGTGATATGGACCTGTCATGGATTGCCGCTGCAGCCACAGGACTCGTTACGCGCTGCTGCTACCTGTCATGTAGGCGCGCGGCAGTTATTTGCAGGACACAGTTCGCTTATCTATGTATTTTGGCGTTCGACATGCCAAACGGATCTATGACGAACTATCCATCCCCGTGTCCCTTGAGTGCAGGAATGGATCCGGCAGGATTCTGGCAGGACACACTGAATATTGCGCTCCAGCTCACAGGACTGGAGCCACATTAAGTGCCGCAGACACCGTACGGAGTTATCGCGGAGTGCCGCAGGGCTCTGCTATCTTCGACAATGTCCGGGTCCATTAGCATTGTCGACTGGCGAGTGTTGCCGGGCTGATGCTGGGGATGGCTCCCACGCTCATCGAGACCTCATTGGCAGCGCTGACAGCGCCCTAGTGGTCAACGGGTCTTGGGATCGGTGGCCCGGATCTACCCGAATCAATTGGAGTGCCGCAGGAGTGCCACAGCGGCACCCCGCGGCACATTCAGTGAGTCCAAGAAGCAGGATCAGTACACTGACAGGAATACTAGCTAGCTCATGGGAGACGCATGTTGATCAACCGAAATCGTTCATCTACGCGTCTCTGGATTCTCCGTCGGCAAGGTCGAGGCGAAGGGCAGGACACGGATCATCCAATCAAACACTATCCCATCGAATTCCTTGCAGTGCGCCGGCTCACAAGGGAGTCGGACCAAGCACCTTCCCGATGTGGATTAAATCTTGGCCGTTGTGCTCCGCCACGGTGGTCACAGCCAGATAAAAACGCTAGGAATGTCTCCCCCGGATACAAATGAGTGCTCGCACGTCTCAAATTCAAGCAAGGACTACCCAAGATCCCGGCACCGACAGTCTGCTCGATTTATAACGTGGGTTAGAGTGCCTATACTTGAACTGTGGCGCGTGAAATTTGAAGAAATTATCCGACAGTTCGGAGGATAGTTGAATCCGATATCCGTGAACCTTGTCCCGCTCTCATAGCTGCCTATCCGTGTGCCTCAACCGTAGAATTACTAGACCCGCTGACAGGACATTACTGCTGCCGTCAGAGCCAGCCAGTCAGCTGATCGCGTTTGATAGCCTGGGATTGATGAGATGATCCACCGGTGTCCGACATCGAGTCCGCTTCACCCGTGTGAAAGTCCGTGGCAGGGACATGTGAGTTCCAGCTTCCCGAACAAGCCCTAATGAAGTCCTGGCCAAGACCCGGCCATTCCAGCAGTTGCCCGACCCTCGGACAATCCTTGCTTCGAAGGAAGATCCACCAACAAAAACGGGTGCTCTCCAGGACGTCAGCCTCAATTCACCCTCCGCCTGAATCATGGTCCTCCCTCCCGAGCTCGAATACTACATCTTCGAGACGACAGCTTTCCTCCACCCACAAGAGCTGCCAAACCTGTTATGCGTCGCGCGTCGAGTGTTGAAATGGTAGGCTCCCCGCTCGCTGTCACGGCGACCCTTGCTTATCGTACGCGCAGGCTCGAGCCCATACCCTACCGCGCTCTCCGCATCGCCAACAACCGCTCCTCCCATGCCCTCCTGCTGTCCTTCCACAACCAGAAGCGCCCCGCGTCCTTCTTCCACTCTGCCGTCCGCCACGTCCTCTTCGACTCCGCGCGCTGCTGGAAGCAGCACGACGCACACGACTTCCTGCGGCAGTGCACGGGCGTGGAGAACTTTGGCGCCACGCTGCCCTACACCTCGCCCGCACTGCTTCCGATCCTCGACACCCTGCCGCACCTGCGCCGCCTGGCCATCTCGTTCGAGGATCTGTTCGGCGCCCTGTCGCAGGTCGAGCTCTCTCGCTACGCGGTGTTCGGCCGGATCACGCACCTGGACGTGTTCGACCACGTTGAGTCCCCCGCGATGGAGAGACGGATGGCGCAGCAGCTCGGCACGCTGCCTGCGCTGACGCACCTCAGTGTGCACTACCGCAGCACGTGGGCGTTCCTCGATGCCTTGCTCGGCGAATGCGTGGGTCTCGAGGTTCTCCTCATGTTGTGGCCGGCGCGGCTGCGAGTTGAGGCCCGAGCATTTGCGGAGGATGCCCCGGCCCATCGGCCCGACTACGACAGGTTTGCTGTGGGTCTGTACCAGTGCTACTGGAACCAATGGTACAACGGTGCGCTGGGGACTGCTCCCGATCTTTGGGAGAGGGCCGATAAGTTCGTCGGCCGGAAGGCGCTGGGAGGTGAGCCGTGCTCGTCTTTCTGCCATCTTTTCCTTCTGAATGAAACCTTTCACAGCGCCTAATTGTTGGATGGAGTCTGGCGTCGAAACTTGACTGGACTCGTTGCTGTCGCATTGTATCACACTGTACTACTACTGATGATCCCCCTGTTCTCACTATGATGTATCTGCATTCTCATGCTGTCTCCCTTCTCAATGCCCTCCACCTCCTCGCTTGACAAAGGCCCGTCTTTCCCGTCGGCGTGCCGATCTCTGCTTGTTTCAACGGCAGGTACCCGTCACAGTGTGTCGTTTGACAAGTGGTCTTGTTGTCAGACAAGGGCCGTGAGTTTGGACAGCCCTGTCACATCTCCGTACTTATCTTGTTCTGTGTGCCGCAGGAGTTGAATCCCACACGCAGCTGGTCCCGGAATCCGAACGATCCGCTGTCGGAAGCAGCTGTTCAGTAGAACCGCCAAGGGTCCCTAGATCAGGCATCCACGGTTAAAATTTCAGGCGAGAAGACACTTGAACCGACGAACATCGTGGTCTATGCGATGATCATTGACGATTGTCGACTGCATATTCTTGCAGTGAACTATCCAGCCTCTCCGTCTCTATCACTGACGTTCGAAGGCACCATCCTCTTCCAGCTCTCATTCGATCGGCAGTCATCCTCGTTGGAAGCGTTCAGCCCAGTCGCTCCAGCTATCTCCGCGCGAGGCATCCCTCACGCTGGGACACCGATCGACACCATGCCTTGCCTGGCAAGGAATCGGGGCCGGTGGTGACGCTGGCAGACGCTCTTGTGCCTCAGCACTCCGGGGTGTTCTACCACGCTGTGCACAAGTCTGCAGCCTGTTGACTTGAATGGACATGGTCGACGCTCGCGTCCTGAACAGCCCGTATATGCACCCATGATCCCGCCAGACCTCGATGACCACGTTCTCAGTTCGTCCTCCGAGTCAACGTGTGGTAAGTAGATCTGCAAAGAAGAAATAAGGTTGACAGGGGAAGACCCACATTTGTCACGGTGATGGAGCTTCGTTTCAGCTTCCCTCCGAGTCTGCCCTGAGGAACACCGGCGAAACACCTTCCGAGTCGTTGAGTCACAGGCGGGGCCCAGAGCCAGGCGCCTCGGACGTCTACGGCAGCGGGGAATCGATGATCCAGTGCCGGAGTGGCTGGGCTCACAGGGACGGTGTGCATTTGGTCACGAGGACGTCTGAAGATAGGACGAGAATCCTTCTATTGCAGTGGAGTGGGAGGGTCGGGAGGCTCCCAGCTGTTCTGTAGCTATAGCTTTCGATGCATTTGCGTGTTGCAGCTGACGTGGAGGACATATGCTGTGGGTTGGCTCAAGAGAAATGGTTGATCCAGGTGGGTGGTGGGAGGTTTCTAGATTCATGATCCACGGGAAGACACTGGGCGTGATACAGGCGATGATCATGGCCTACCATGAGTCTACCAGATCTCTCACATAAAGTTAACGGGACACCGCGAACTGCACGAATCGATCGATACCGACGATCAACGCGAGTTGAAATCGGCTACGAAATTCGGCTACGAACCGCGGCGGAGTCATCCACTCTGAAGGGCACAATGGAGGTTACAAAGTTCGAGTCGAGAAGTCGAGAGCGATCAAGCTTCAAGAACTATCGTCAAGTCACATTGGGCATCCCTGAAGCTAACCGGCTTTCGGTTTCAGGTTTCCCCGAAAGCTACCTATAATACCGGTACCTACTACACAGTCCAAACATATCAGTACAGAGTGGGCACAGGTGTTACCCAGATGTATACATTTATTCTATAGCGGAATTATGCGCCGGATTTGCGCGCGTCATTCCTTCATTTTGGTTCAGATTGTGGGCTGGAGCGCGCATCGGCGACACTGCTCAACGAGACTGCAGGGGAACACACCTTGACAAGCGACCACTGGATAACAACGCTCTTTATCCGATCATTCAGGGCCCGTTTGCACAAGTTACACGGGAGAAGATTCGAGAGGGGGCGGAGCGATGCTTCGATGGTATGTGTGGACATATCTGCCCGTGGTATAATTAGTTTTGTTCCCGCCACGACCGAGAAACACGCAGCCGCCCACTGACCTGGTCGTATGTCCCATGCCAGATATGCCGCCGCCATCGTCCATGCCCTGGTCAGACTCTTCTGGTTCGCAAAGCTGCATTCGGACGTGGGCGGGTGGGGATACGGCGGTGGCATCAGAGCACGCCGCAGGGCATCGATTCTTCCGTTATGCATGAACATGAGGCGTTTGAGATACACGGGCCCCATCTCCTCCACGTCGGCATCTGTCAGCGCCGAGAGCTGGAAGCTGAGCAGATGTGAAGAGGTGGGAACAGCAAGCTCCATGATGTCATATCGTGCGGCCAGAGTGTACACGCGCAATGGAGACAGCGGCGCTTGAGAGAGGAGCATGGAGTACAGCGTAGTGGAGGGGAGAATCTTGGGTCGCGTCAGTCCATACCTGAAGACGTCGCAGAGAACAAACATACAAACGACTGCGGATCCATCCCATAGCTCAGCATCGAGTCCACAGCTTCAACAAGTACGTCCACGGACGGAGAGTATTGCGCGCAGGAGATCCCATAAAGAGCATGCAGGATGACGTTCAGGACCGTGGAAGTCTCGGGGACGTCGACGACGCTGGGCCCATCTCTGTGATGGATGCTCGTTATGTGGCCGGACAGGCGGTGGCTCTCCACGTCGATCTTGTCCGAGTGGACATAGAAATTGACTCCGTCAGATGTTCGCAAGACGATGTCCGGAGCCGATGCGCAGTCACCGTCTGGTGTCTGAGACAAGAACTCGGCTTCTGGCCCAAATGTCGAGGATACCGTCATTTGCGCGTAGTTTTGCTCTTGAACGACGGGCCCGGGAGAGCCTTGGTCCGAAGGCTAGCGTTGGGATGTTAGCTCTGCTACTGAGGATAGGGAAGGTGGCTGCTGAGTACTGACGGGAGGAGTCCACAACTGCCATCGGAAATAGTCGAAATCAGAGACCACGGGGGTGCTCGAGGGATCCCAGGCGTTCGCGTCCATCGCAGAGCAGAGCAAGCAGTAGCCAATCAGTCATCATAGCTTTGGAGTGTTCTTGTGAGAATCTGTGGTGTGCCCACACTCAGTAAGGGATTATCGTGAGGCAATGATGGAGTTGATTCAAAGTTTGATATTGATTACCGCGATGGAATGACACCTGAAATGTGTCAGGTGGCGAGTCAACCCTGCCTTCACGTGCTCAATTCACGTGCTCAAGCCTGAACTTGTCAGTTGTGGATGCACAATCTGTCCGTCACGAAGGATGAGAGTTGGCCAAGGTTTGTGGAGGGATGTATCTATCAAGGCAGATTGTATTCCACGGCCCGTCCTCTCAGTTTTACACGGCCTGATTGAAGCACTATTAGGCGCAAAATTGAGTGTTCGATGTTGTGCATGCCGCGCAGTCTTCAAGCATCTCCTGAACTATATATTGGCCATTAAAACATGCACTGGATGAAAGTAACCACTGAAGGGCCTTGCTCCCTGCTGACTTACGCAACGATAAGATAATACAGGGAGCCAAAGCGCGCCCGATCCTATCGGGGATTCCACGTACAGCTTGTCAACTTGGCGAAGATATTCAACGAGGTATGAGCGCTTTGATTGTTCCCTTTATCGACCATAGCACAAAGGGATCAGACCTACAATCTGCGCAGGGACCTATGTCATTATGATCAGCAGTTGCCTTATAAGGTATAGACATCATGATCGATGTGAGAGATCAGAGAGTAAAGGCCACGACGTGCTATTAACGAGGGGTAAGTGTCCCACGGCTCCAGAAATGGATGCGTTACCCTTCTCAGCCGCGATTCAAAAGGATCTTCGGGATGGCCAATATGCACACAGAATACAGTCGAGTCTCTCACTCCAGCAAGCACTCCAGCTCAAAACTATCTCGCTTCTCTACGCGTCCCCATGCCTGTCGTCCGCAGTACTATCGCTTACCCCGACCGCAAGTCGCGTAGACTGCAACACTCCGATCCGACAGACTGTACCGGTGCGTTCGATATGACTGGACGGCTTCTACATCGGACTCATTCGTCGACAGCAGAAGAACACATCCAGTCCCCCAACTCCTCTCCGCCCCAGCACATTCCTCGTCCTCGCAACGCCTTCTTCTGCTTCCGCTCCGAGTTCGTGCACAAGCAGAAGGCGGCTTCGCTCCAGCCCAAGTCGCTCGCTCAAACCCGCATGAGCTGCTCCGCAGCAGACGTGTGGCGCGGCATGTCTGTTGAGGAGCGCCGGCCGTACACCGAGCAGGCGCAGAGGGAGAAGGAAGATCACGCGCGGATGTATCCGCACTACCGCTACACGCCGGGCACCTCAGCTGGTCTGTCGCGGCGGATGAAGAAAAATCTCGCTCAGGCCGCTCGGCAGGCGTCTTTGCGATCGTCTCCGGCGTCGTCGTCCCCTACATCAGACGACGAGTCGGCTTACTATCGTACCTCTCCTGCCGCTTCACTCGGGACGCGTGCGCAGGGAGCTTCTGTGTCTGGCTCCCTCTCTTCCAGTCATCTGCTGGATGCAGCTTGTTCGTGGGCCTCCACCGATGTGAGCTCCTTCCTGCGCTACTACCAGGTCTCCGGTCTGATGCACATTCTGAAAACAGGTGCCCCTGAGCTCTTTCCGACCAGCTTCCTACGACGACCGCCCATGCGACTTTGGGATCGAGAGCGATCAGCTCGTCAGCTTGATACACGTTGATGAGCACCACACGCAGCTGCTGTCTTCCCTCGAGCCATGGAAGACACCCTACATGCAGCCGTGCATGGCATTGCCGTCGCCGTCCCCATCGCCATCCCTCCTTCCCGCTCCATCCTCGTACGAGACGTACGCCGTTCCTGAGTACGATTTCAGCGAGTACATCCACGAGACGGCATGTGATTCGGAGGAGGTCGAGTTCGAGTTCACCGGCATTCAGTTCGCCTCGAACGCGAGCTTTGCCTTCGAGCATCCTGGTGCTATTGGGGTTTCAGTTCAGTCCCAGCAGCCGCAAGCGATGTTTGGTGGACACTATGGCTCAATCTGGGACACTCAGTCCACAGCTTATGGCTATTGAGCCCTTTCTTGCGTTGCGATGTTTCTCATACCACTAATATCTCTCTATCGACTGCCCTCACTTGTAGCCCCTGTAATCTCGTGTAGCCTTATATCCCAAGCAATTCATCATCGATACTTTCCTGGATTTGCAACTGGATTGCGAGGCTGGGCAGGGCCGATTCCTTTCCGGACAATCTATCTGGAAATCTCGCAACTCAGCATCCGAGGAGCTGTGGCCTTTCATTCCAAAACTGGTCCTGGATGATATCGCAATGCAAGGTAACAATCCTAGTCCGAGTCTTCGATCTTCCCGGCTTCACTTCACCCAAGGTATCCGCCTCAGCACTGGGGATCTGGCAGGGAATCAGGATTGGGCTCCGACCTGACCAGAGCAGTGGTGGATCACCAACCTCTTCTCGTACAAGGACACTGCCCTTGCGGAATCGAGCATCGAGGGCGTTGTAGTTGATCTGAAATCGAGAAAACAAGATTTCGTGCTTTTGTTTCGACAGCGTCCCCTGCGAAAGACCGTCAACGACGCGATCCCCGATACAGCGAACGAGACTGGCTGACTTTCAGCGTAGCGTGGGCCTGGGTTGTAGTCTCTCCGCCCTGTTGGACAAGCGCCCAGAAGGCAGTATTGTACAGATTGTTGATGTGCGCTGCGGACCGGTCACTGAGTGCGTCGCACCCCGTAGCCTCGACCGTAAGATACTCACTGTCTGTTTGCCGCCACGAAAAGTAGTCCCTGATCTGGGCTTCGCTAGGATACAGAACGATTCTGCCATCGAACGACGGGGGGTACTTCAGCGGTGTGTCCGGGAAGTATGTCGTCCAATGGAAGACGTAGGATGAGGTGAAGAACGAGGTGAGCGTCGAGAGTATCTTGGCTTGTCTCCGATTGTACAGCGAAGCCGACTTTCTGAGCAAGAAGCTAACACTGGAGTGTCAGGATTAGGATGTCAATTGCGTATTTCTGCGCACCTCATCTCATCCGATTCACCGAATGCGAGAACTGTGTCGGCGTGCTGATCCATGAGATCGCGAGCGGCATGATCCATGAGCTCGAGCGCTCGTAGGTCGTTCGGCTTTGTGAAACCATGTTCATCTGAGAAACTGGCGTGGCTCTGATGAGAGTAGAAATGGTGTCCTGAGCACTCCCATACCGATGAAAAGAGTGCCCGTCGAGTCTGAGGACCATGTAGGTCCCAGGGAGCAGAGGATCAGGAAGCTCAAAGTTCCGCACATGAGCGAATCTCGATCCAGCCATGATCGTCGAGAACAAGTGTAGGTTATCTTATCACAGATCGAATAGCACGTGACAGCATCTCAAGCTGCCCTGAACTTTACTAGACTGAACTAGGTAACTCTCCACCGACACAAACTAGCTGGAAATCTGCGCATTCATTCAGTCTTGGGGCTACCATGATGAACACCGGCCGACAGCTTCCGACGCCGGTTGTCATAAGCACGAACACGATTCGTGGCATTCCCCGCACTAGGGACGATGCGTTGCGTTCTGACGTTCTGTACAGCAACCAAGACGTCGAGATCGCGCAGTGATGCTTACCATGTGTATCTGCACCTATGTGTCCCATCTCGCTCTTGGAGCCTGGTCCGAACCTCTAACACACTTTACGCGGGAGTGATTACCGCATCGCCCTGTTGATCTACGAGCGCCCTAGTGCGTAACGCCCGAAATTGCTCTACGATCGGGACGCGGGAGGAGCAGCAGATGAGAAACAGAAGCCGTGGGCACACCGTGAATCGTGCTGGTAACCAGAAGCCTCGTCTGCCAGGATACCGAGAACTCGACGACACGGGGATTGTATCACATCAATCAATGTTGTTTGCACGCGAAGCAGCGATGCGCGAATAGCACCGGGAGGACAATCCTCCGAATCTGGAAGAGCAACCAACCGCGCGCGCGACGTACGTTCTGTCCTTCGATCTGACGTCGAGCGCGATGAAAGAGATGGGGAGATGACGACGCAGTGTGATTTCTTTCATCAAGTGTGTCGTGCATCTGGGAAGCGCAGCGCAGCGCTGATCAGACGGGTTACCGGACGTCCTTGTGCTACTACAAGGCACGCCAGCTGGTGTGAGTCACCGGGCGAATCGACATCTCTGGCACACTGGCTCGTTCTGCAATCAGCATCCGTTGTCTAGTCGCTCCCATTCCGGCTGTTCTGGGTCTGACTGTGCAACGAACGGTGATAGCATCTGCGCCAGGACGCCCAGTCTGTTCCTCTGCTTGCTCAGATCTTGACGGTCACCTAGCCCGGTCCTTGTTCCGGCAGATCGTCTAACGACCATCGGCGAAATGAAATGGGATCTGCCGGGCCAATGTCGAGAGAAGATGGTGCTCGACTGGGTATTTCCCCGGGGCGGGGCTCAGGGACGAGCTATGTATGGTCTGCACCCCCATGGGCTGCTCGATCCGGATGGCAGGCGCTGGCAGATACATCGACGGTTCCTGATTTATATAGGGCGTGGAGGGTCTGCTGCGCTCGATGGCGTCGCAATCGTACTACGTCGAGTATCCAGCGTCCCCCGACCGCGAGTTCGCGTGCCACCTGTGCGCCCTGTCGTTCGACCGGAACCACGATCTGAAGCGGCACATCGAGACGCACAGCGGCGAGCGGCCGTTCGTGTGCGAGCGGGGCTGCGGCAAGTCGTTCACGCGCAAGGACGCGCTGAAACGTCACCAGGCGCGTGGGCGCGTGGGCGCGCGCTGCTGCTGCTGCATACATACATACTGACATCAGATCGCTTCTCGCACAGACGACATTCCCGTTCTGTCCACCGGACCCGAGTGCGAAACCGAAGCCGAAACCGAGGCCGGTCTCGTCAGCAGCGTCGTACCAGCACCAGCACCAGCACCAGCACCAGAGCTACTATGGCTCGGCAGGACCGAGCTCTCCCCAGGCGGCGGCAGCGGTGGCGGGATACCCGGCGAGCCCGACCTCGCCCGCGGCCTACGCAGCACCCTACGGGTACGGGCCTCCAGCGAGCTCGCACTGGCCCTCGTCAGACCCACAGCAGCAGCAGTACGGCGGAATGAGCTACCCGGGATCATCGTACATCGCACCACCACCACCGATGCACGGCGGAGAGTATCCGCCGTCGCCGACACGGGCGTTCCCGTGCGACGAGTGCGCGCTGTCGTTCGACCGCAACCACGATCTGAAGCGACACAAGATGACGCATGCGGGCGAGCGCCCGTTCGAGTGCCACGGATGCGGCAAGACGTTCTCGCGGAAGGACGCGCTGAAGCGACATCAGGTGGGCTGCGCGTCATCTATGCCGGGTGTGCGCGAGACTGAGCAAGCGCCCAGACGACCAAGGAATGCGGGATGCAGTGATTGAACGAACAGTTTCTTCCTCTTAGTGTCACAGTAAATTTAATACATCCATCACATTCATTTTGTATTCAAAGGCAATATGGCGAGTCAACATAGTCGTCAGTCGTATCGTACCATGCTATCTATCGACACCAAGCCTCCATATTAATGAGAAACTATTACGGTAGCGATGCGCGAGGCATCGCAAAGAAGATGGGCAGAATAAGGATGAGGTTGAAGCTGATGGTATGCTGGGTAAATAGGGTGCAGGAGGATAGCGCATCGTCAAGCGAAGGGTAGCAGTCGTATATCGGACGTCTGTTGTACAAGTCAAGGGCAGGTCTAGAGTGTATTGTGGACGATCGTCGGCGGGATCTATGCCGGGGTCCGCGACGGGTTGCGCGCAAGCGTGGCACCCGTGCGCTGCGCCTGGATCGAGCTGAAGCGCTGGAGCTCCTCGGGCTTGATCGACAGCTTCTGCCCAAAGCCAACCTTGCGGGCAGCACGCTTGATGAAGCTGACACGGTTGGAGTACAAGCTCTCGTGGAGAGACGCCGCACGGGACTGGGTCCTCGTCATCGGAACACCGTCGGTGGAGGCGGCAACAACAGCAGCAGCAGCCTCGCGGCGCTCCCGCAGGTGCTTGATGACGGTCGCCTTCATCGCGAACTTGATCCAGTCCAGAGGCACGAACCAGAGGATGTCCTGCAAACATCGTTCAGCAAAAAAGACCAACGCGCACACAGGCAGACACGCGACTCACCCAGATCCACACGATACCGATCCAACCACCGCTGACACCCTGGATCTGAGTGAAGCCCCAGTTGGCGTACACCGCAATGATACTCGAGATCAGCTGGGCAATGCAGAACGCGCAGAACAGAGCCGTCGACGGACGCTCCATGAAGAAGAAGCTGTGCGACCGAGTGACGAAGATGAGCGCCTGCGAGATGATGGCCACCTGCAGGTAGACAACCATGTGCAGCTGACGGTCGTTGTGCTGCACAGGGAAAGTCTCAAGGCTGACACCGAACTTGTCCTGGAAGAAGGTCGTCTCGAGGATGATGATCACAAACGCAACACTGGAAAGGTATCCGTCAGAACACAGCGGACCGCCACAGACGCGGGACAACAACTCACGTGGACATGGTCAGGTACAATCCGTAAGCCACAGCGTACGAGAAAATCTCGGTCAAGTCCCAAGAGTCCGGAGTGTTGCTCGGCAGCACACGGTCAACAGACAGGGTCATGATCGTTCCGTCGTTGAGAAGCGCGATGATCAGAATCATGAACGGCGGGAAGTCGAACTTGTACGCAAAGGCCAGAATGGCGAAGCAGACCACGATACGGATCGTCACAGCGCAGGCATAGATCGAGTAGTTGCGCATACGTTGGAAAATGACACGGGAGCCGCGGATGGCGTGCACGATGGTGGAAAGACCGGGCTCGGTAAGCACAATGTCGGCAGCACCACGAGCAGCGTCAGTGGCACCCTCGACAGCGATACCAACGTTGGCACGGGAAAGAGCGGGAGCGTCGTTGGCACCGTCACCGGTCATGGCGCAAAGGTGGCCGAGACCCTGGAGACGCTTGACAATCTCGTACTTGTGCTCGGGGAAGACACTGCCAACGTCGTCAATATCACCCTCAGCAACACGCGACCCTTGAAAACGCACCCAGCGAAACCGTCCGCATCCATGATCATCTCATCCAGAGTCGCGTGCTTGCCACCGGGCGTGGGTCCGTCCTTGAGAACCTTGGCAGGGTACATGTGATCACCGAGACCGAGACGACGTCCAGTTTCCTTAGCAATAGCGAGCTGCACACAAATAAGCCGATGATCGACAGCAGCCTAGGGGTTGCCGTACCTGATCACCAGTAACCATCTTGACCTTCACACCGAGAGCCATCGCATCGTCGATGGTCTGCTTGGTATCATCACGGGGAGGATCAAAGATGGCCAGAAGACCGATGAGTTCGAAACTGTTGGGATCGTTGAGCAAAAGCCAGCGCGAGCCGGACTCAAACTGCGCACCCGTTGCCCTCAGCCTCGTGGTCGGTGCTCTCAAGCTCCTCGAAGGCGACAGCCAAAGAACGCAGTCCACGGGTAGCAAACTCCTCGACGTCCTTCTCGAGCTTGGCCTCGAGCTCCTCAGTCTTGTTGCGGGTGCAAAGCTCAATGATGGCGCCAGTCATGCCCTTGGTGACACGCTTCAGCTTGCCTAGCACACACGTCAACTGCGTTTCAACCGTAACGAGCCTTCGGAAACATACCAGTGGCTTCCTCACGGTAGGTGATCTCGGTACGCTTGTCAACGGGGTTGAACGGCTTGAAGTCCAAGAGCTTGATCCCAGCCCGAGCGCGCTCAGTACCGACAGAGGCAACAACACAGGTGTCGATGGCATCCTGGTTCTCAGTGCGAGACGCGTAGGCAGCCAGAAGGATAACGTCGTCGGCAGAGAAAGACCTGGAAGACGTCAGCCAGGGCTCAAGAAAAGCGGCAACCAGCTGACGAGTAAGTAACCAGGGTCTGGCGATCAATGGTGAGCTTGTTGGTGGTCAAAGTACCAGTCTTGTCGGAGCACAGAATGGTAACACCGGCAAGTTCCTGTGCAGGATGTCAGACCGTGTGATAAGACCTCGCGCGAGATGAACGGACCTCGATGGCAGTGATACGGGTGACGATGGCCTTGTAGCTGGCAAGCTGTTGCGCGCCGACGGCCAGGGTGACAGACAACACGGTAGGCATGGCGATGGGAATACCACCAATGAGCAACACAAGGATGTTGTTGAGACCTAAACGTGACGCTTCGGTACGCTTGCCGGAAGGCAGCCGTAATGCACATACCACGACGGTAAGAGTAACGGAATCCAGCGTAGAGAACCAGGATCTCCGCCAAGACGAAGATACCAATGACAACGAGACAGAACGATCCAATTTGGGCGAGAATCTTCTGCAAGTGACCAGTGGTGTCGTCGTCCTGTCCGACAAGGGAGGCAGCGCGACCGAAGAAAGTGTTGGCACCGGTGGAGATCACCACACCCTCGGCTTCACCGTTCTTGCAAGTGGAACCCCTGAAGGTACTGAGAACGATAGCGAACATTCCGTGCGAATTCCACTCACGAGAAACATTGATCGCCGAGCTTCTTTGACTGGGGCAGGGATTCACCAGTCAAGGCGGCCTGGTCGATGGACACGTTGATGGCCTCGGTGAGACGGCAGTCGGCGGGAACGATGTCACCAATCTTGAATGAAACCATGTCACCGGGGACGAGGTCGGCGGACTCGATTTCGGACCAAGAACCTCCACGCTTGCATTTGGCCTTGGGTGCGAGCGAATCCATGAGAGCCTTGACCGCGTTACCCGCACCACGCTCTTCGTAGAAACCGATGGACGAGTTGATGAGGAGTAGCAGGACGATACCGACGAAATCCTGCCAGTCGGGAGGCTGGCCTTGACCGTTGGACAGAGCGATGGCAACCAAAGCGGCGGCTTCCATCACCCAGGAGAGCGGGTTCCACATGAAAGAAAGGAACTGGGGTGGGAAAAAGACGCCAGATGAGTACCCTAACGACCGCGTGGGCGAAGCACAAGACTCACCTGCAGGAAAGGGTTCTGCTCCTCCGACTCGAGCTTGTTGGGACCGAAAAGCTCCAAACGACGGGTAGCCTCGTCCTGGCTCAGACCATTCTCGTCGCACTGCAGCAGCTTGAAGACGTCGTCAATGACGATCGTCTCCAGGTCGACCTTCTCCTTGTCGTAGAGATCCTCCGCCTTCAACTCGATGGTGCTCATGTCTACCAGGGCGTGCGTAGCCTTCACTTCGTCATGGCCGAACTCCTTGTACTCTCGTTTGGCAGGCGCGGTTTCGGCTGGCGAAGGCTCGCCGCCGGGGACCTTTTCAGAGTCGGACATGGGAGAAGATGAGGGGGGAGGGGAGCTGAAGGATCAGTCACCACAAGGAATCCTGTTTGGTTTTATTCCCATCGGTCAGTATCGGCTGCCAAACACGAATCAACATCTCGGCAAAGGGTTGATGCGTCCGGAACGGCTATTCTTGTGGACATGCAGGGCTCGAATGATCGCCTTACGACTTTCCATGCTGTCATTTCTAGGCAAACATATTCCGTCCCGCGCCCGCCCCATTGCACACCACCAAAGCGGTCATGCCGAAGCGTCCGGGCGTTATCCGGCCTACTCGCTTCAGCGCCCATCACACAACGGATGTGGTGATGCATCAACTGCTGTTGCTATAACCCAGACGTTCCTTCGCAGAAGATGTGAATTGCGCTGTGAAATCGCAAATGAGCGGCAACTCTCCGGTTCGTCCATGTGCTCGGCTGGTCCGTCCGATCGCATATCACCCGTCAGCGCGATTTGTCGGGTTCCCTTTCTGTTCGAAGCAGTTCGAAAGATCCCCGAGCTGCAGGCCATAATATTATCAACTGTGGGGGCCTGGACGGGTCATACCGGAGCTGATTCCATGTCTTCCCTGTGCTTCGTCTCGTTTGCCCCGACTTGTGCTCGAGATGCCAATTAGCGCGCCTTGTGGCTGGAAGTTACTCCGCGCTCGAATGGCTATTGGAGGAGCGTCACTGTCACACCGAAGTCACCTCGTCGGGTTGCCGATGACCGAAATAGCAACTGATTGCTCTGACAGTTCCGACGAATGTTGGGGAGATACGAGGGAAACGAGATTCGAAACCCGCATGGAACGCCGAGGGTGGAAACAGCAACAGCCAAGTCCACTGTAAACATTTCTCGTTGTTCGACCCCCTCCGAGAAGCGCTCGACACCCGACGTCCGCTCTCTTGAACGATCGCGTAACTCTCGCCGTCGACTACCCTCCCAGTGCAATAAGCGGCGGTCCTTCCGGACGGGTGTTTCGCTTGGGCTGGCCGATAATCTCCCGGTCAGAGCATATGCTTGCCCACTGCGCGAAGGATCAGGATATCGTGCGAGCGGACCGGCCTCCATGGATGATGTCATGCTCTCGGCAGTACAAGCAAGGCCCGACAAATCCGATCTAGAGGCCGCTCCGATCAGTGCCAGAGAGTGTATTGAAGTATTGAACGGTCGTCCCTCGACGGCCCCTGCGGGCTTGCGTGCGGTCAGCGGATCCAAAGTCCCCAGTCTCCCCTGTGCGTAAAGCGCGCGTTCCGAACCTTCCAAACTTCTATCTTGTATGCGACGTGCTGCCAAGCGACACGACGAAGAGAATCCGAGGAGAATATCCGCTTTCTGTCTGATGTTCTTGAATTCTTTTGTTACGAAGAGTCGGCAAGGACAGCAATCGGCCGCAGTCTCCCCGTAGAAGACCACGGTCGGTTAATTTCCACAAGACAGTCTCTGCATTCAGCACACTGAGAGTGGTGCCACACACCCTGATTCCGGGGGTTGCTTTTGATCGGGGCACTTGTCATCAGTCACTGTGCCGCTTGCATCTGTCAATGTGTCATATGTACTGTATACAATTTCCAAGACCAAGCAATTTATGGCCATCGAGGTTGTAAAATGCGGACAGGTAACACACAAAAGTTAGGTGCTGCCATTCCATTAATTTGCCAAACTATTTTCAGCAGCTGTGTCCCTAATTCATTATGAAACCATTGGCTTGAATGCTGTAAGCACAAAAAGTGTCAGATAATTCTTGACCTACCTCAGGATGACTTCCTGTAGGATTGCAAATGTGTTGACGCGTGACGCGGTTGGCGCTTATTGATGGGAGTTCAGCGATCTTACGTTTTGGTCTGTTTGTTTTTCCCAATCGCCTATACAGTGGCTCTCGATCGTTTTCCGTCCCTCAGTCTTACCACATCTTGTGTGCGACTGAGGGTACATGATTATTATTCTAACTAATACATTTACTTACTGTACCATGTAGACTTACGATATTTCTACATCTACAGGTACAATAAAAGAGTCTTACCACATCTTGTGTGCGACTGAGGACTTACAATATTTCTACGTCTACAGATTCGCAGTCAGACGCTAGATACAAGGCAGTCCAATAATCAGAGGCACAAATACAAGAGAGCTCGCAGGCTCGAAAAGATCGACAGCAGAAAAACGTAGAGTGCACTCCATTGTCTCCCAAATGACCACCAATCTACCATCAACCCCGATCCTTCCAGACAAACAGAAGCTTGCCACGGATGGCTCCAACTGGCCGAACTTCAAAGAAGTGATGGTCAGCATGGCTCGAGGGCGAGGACTGGAAGGATACCTCTTTGATACGGTAATCCTTCCCGCAGGATTCGTGGCCAACAACCTCGGTCATACCCTGCTCAACTCCATGATGCCATCGCCAGACAAATACACCCTGCGTGACGGATGGGTGGCCGCAATGCTATTCCAGAACATCAAAGATCCACGGTCGCACGATTTGAAGGGGACGGACTCGGCAGCGGTGATCTGGACAACGTTGGCCCACAAGTTCAATCGGAGCACAGAGCTCCTCGTCAGATTGAAAATGGAACGGTTGCGCACTCTGAACCTGAAGGACCCTCGTTATCTGATGTCCCACATCGACGAATTGATCAAGCGACGTGCTGAAGTCCACGACATTGGGGGGAGCATCCCGGACCCCATGATGTGCACTATCATCTTGACGTCGTTGCCCAAAGAGGAGTTTGGAACTGCTCTGATTTCGCTCCAAGTGCATTCCGTCGTAGCCCACTTGGTGCAGCACCTACGTGAATGGTGGGACTTGGTGTGGAAGAAACGTGTGGAAGAGGACGCTACCGGAACTCCTGCCAATGCACTTGCCGATGGATACAACACCAGAGGATGCGAGAACTGTGGAGTGCAAGGTCATGATCAGAGAGGATGTTGGGCAAAAGGGGGAGGAAAAGAGGGACACGCACCTGGTTGGTGGAAGGCACCTCGTGGGAAAGAGCCCAGCCCGGAACTTGTTGCGGCCCACCGCCAAGCTAAGGAAGCCCGACGAGGGCAGAATCAGCATCAATTTGCAAATATGCAGTCAAACGCGCACCCACAACAGCAACATCCAACTGCGGCGTTCACCAACCCAATGACGACGTACGTTCTGGCCACAGCGATGGACGACGGTCTGTCACAGCGATCAGCAGACCCACCCAACGCATCTGACCAACCATTCAGAATGGGATATGGAAGGACAAATCCTACCGTTCTGAATGGGGAAGTTGGATGTGAGAAGGAGGCTGTAGCATACAGTGCATCGTCCGTCAGTCAGTACAACAATATCATCCCAACATTCCTTGACTCGGGAGCATCAGAGCATTGCATCGTGGAGAGGTCGCGTTTTGTGACATACCGAGAGGTGACTGGTCTCGAGGGCCAAACGGCGGTCAAGTCCGGAGGACAATTCAGGATCAGTGGTCGAGGGGACATCGAAATGTCAATTCGACTGGAGAACGGAGAAGATCGACGTATTCGATTTCCAGCCATCCACACACCTGACTTCCGGATGAACCTAATCTCCATCACCATGTTGGATAGCTGAGGATTCCGTGGATCCTGGGGAAATGGGGTGCTGACTGTGGTGAATCGCGAGGGAGTGGTGATCATCGGTGGCAGAATCGCATCACAACGGGAAAGCGGACGTTGAAATGCTGAGGGCGTGCTCACAAGTGAATCTACTATGAAAGTAAACCCAAATATAAACACGTTCACACTCCTCGTAATCAGCTTCTCAGTGTGTGAAAGATGCGAGGGCTTCGGGGTGGACAGAGCACCAGTATCACAACTCTCAATAGACGCAGATCCAATAGTCGCGGAGACGGAGTCGACGACAAGAATATATATATAGCAAACAATGGTATCTCAACCAATATCTTCTATACGAGCACAACCAACACTAATACAATCCACAACCAACGATATAACAAGTCAGAGCTTAATACGAAGTATTAAGATCCCTTGTAGCGACAGCGTCTAGATGGTGACGCAAAGCCCAAATATCAAGTCGACGCACTGCCAACCGATACAACCAATATACTGAGTCGACGCACTGCCAACTAGTAGAACCAGAATGTCAAGTCGACGCACTGCCAACTGACACAACCAAAAGTACTGAGTCGACGCACTGCCAACTAGTAAACCAAAATGCCGCGTTGACGCACTGCCAACTAACAGCCAATATCCAATGTCCAAAACCCGAGCACAACTTGTTGACGCACTGCCAAGCAAGAAGTGTGGAACCAAAGTTCTCAAGTCGACGCACTGCCAACTGACCAAAACAACCCGAGCACAACTAGTCGACGCACTGCCAAGCTAGAGGTGTGGAACGATCTCAACAAAGCCCGAAGGCGACGACACTAAATGCCGCGACTAAACCAGATGCGGCGAATCCGACTTTCTGATGTCTCAACTCAAACTCAAATCACAGTAGCTACAAGTGCTCAGGGAGCAACTCGTCGCGACCGGGCAGGGGTAGCAGAACTTCTTAGGGTGGAATCACGCGGCACGCAAATTGTACAAAACAATCTGATATGAGAGTGATTCACAGTCCGGGGGAAAGCTCCTTTAATACAAAGAAACGACGTGCTACTTATACTGTCTACGACGATGCTTAGTAAAGTCCTGTACAACTGCATAGTAGCTACGCTATCTAAGATCGGTTGCCTTTTAGGGTAATTGAAAGTTGAACGATCGGACAGGTCCTGAGTGATCAGGACCCCGCCCCATAGTCCATATGATACTTTTGATGTGGGCCAACTCACCGCGTCATACTTTTGGAATACGACGTGCTGGATTGGCCAACGGGTATGTCTTGGCATGTGAGACCAACGTGGGCGCCCCAAGAAGCCGTATGGCCCTAGGCACGCCAGTCGTCCCCCACATGGTTCGGCTCACGGATCTAGCCGTGTCAATTTCTAGTGTGTTTGGGTGTTGACGCGAATCGCCGTGGCACTTGGGAGTGTCACCGCGACGCGTCCTCAATGTCCCGTGATTGAATGGATCCTGACATGTGACAAGTCGTCGCCGTGGCATGATCTGAGGAAACGTCCAACTCAAAACCGGGAGTTGCCGCGACAAGATGGTTTAAGTCTCGTAACGCCAAGTCCTGTCCAGTAGTAGTTCTATTATTGAGAACGTCGCGCATTGCTCAGCCCTTCAGCCCAAGTTCCCATCTGCAGAGAATGACCCTTTTCGAGAAGTCGACGCAACGACAGATCCCTTTTTGGGGGAATGGTCGCGGTCCAAGCGTTCATCACTAATGGCCCTGAGCCTGGTATAGACTCGTAAGACCAGTTCCACAGTAGTGATCTGACTGCCTTGCTATCGTCGACACTATCCACGGTCGTCGACTGGGCAGTAGACCCTTAAGTCCTACTGAGCGCAACACCGTCAACCGCGACACGATACACCGAGTGGTTCAAGAGTAAACTCTGTAAAAAGCGCAAAAATACGCCCTTACAGAGTTGGTGCAGAGCGCGTCTGGTAGCCAGCCTATCATCTCCCAGGAACACTAATTTTGACCTCCTGGTCAATCCCGCGACAGTCTCACTGCGTCAGGTCTAAGTCCAACAGTCGACGTCTCATTCATTTATTATTAAAGCCGCGGAGACATAGAGTTATGTTCCCACGTCTTATTCATTTGGTTCCTTCCGTGATCTGCCGCGATCAAACTTCTTCCGGCATGTTCACCATATAAATGCCCTCAATTTTCAGGGTCGAGACTCTCCCTAGTACGAGACACTCTTGCTTTTCGACCACCATGTCCGCGCCCGACCAGAGCCCCCGCCCCCAAGACAACAACCGTGAGTGACGCCCAAGGCGATTACCGCGACTTTTCAACCACGCTAACCGTCCATCAGCCGTCACCGAATCAGCTGTCCCGGGAGCAAACCTGCCTGCCATCGACTGGCGACAGTTCATGCCGTCCGTCAAGGTCTCTCTCATGGCTTGTCGACTCAACTCACCACCTGCCTAGCCCCGAGGCTTACAACCAGATGTTGCGGCAGATGGCCGTCGACGTCCGCCAGATCCAACAGGTGAGCTCCGTTCTAAGCCCGCTGGAGCGAGCAGTCACGGCGATCATTGATTGCCGCGCCTGTTCGCTTTGGCCTTCCTTCTTTTCACTAACGTAAGGACTAGCCGGCGCCTACGCTTTCGACCACCAACGCTCCAGTCGAGGAGTCGTCGCCGCCCAAGAAACGCAAACGCGTCGTCGAACCCGTAAGTGTACTCTGTTTCGTTCGTTTCACTATGTTCTGATCGACTCCCAGGCGGCTTCAACCGAGCAAGTCGCCGCCCCTTCGTCGTCCCGGCCTACCAAGCAGAAGGGGCGTCGTCCCGGCCTACCAAGCAGAAGGGGAAAGGTGACGGCTCCAAGCCGCAGGCCCCTGCCGCCGTCGCGGGCAGCAAGGTCGCCGTCGCCCAGAAGTCGGGCGAGAAGTCGCACGGGAAGCGACCCAAGGCGACTCCTGCAAAGGAGCCCAAGGCGTCGTCCCATGCGCCTACTCGTAAGTGGCTTTTTCATTTCATTCACCAAAGTCGCGGGTACTGATTTTGTCGTAGCCGCTACCTCGGTCCCTGTTCCACAGGGGTCACCTCCCAAGCGCGTCCACAAGAAGACGCACATAGGTGTGTAATCCTATGTCTTATTTCGTTGATCTTTAGACTAACCACTTGGTCCCTCCCAGCCCGGATCCAAGCACAGCCTGTGCAGCCCGAGTCCCTCAGCGATGAGGAAGCCGCCGCCGTCGCCGACACTGCAATGGATGTCGACGACGAGGGGGTCCAGGAGGGAGACGCGTCCTGGGCCGACGAGCTGGCCCTTCAGGTAAGTGACCCAGTTCGTCGATCGCGGTTCCTTCGTCTCATGGTTGGTTTGTTTTTGACAGGGGCCCAAGTCCAAGGGGAAAGCGCGATCGAATCTGAGTGCGTTTTTCCTCTTGTCCCCCTCTGTTGTTTACTCATACTTTCGTAGCCCCGTCCGTCATCGTCATGGACGACACCTCCGAGAGCGGAGAGGAGACCGGCGACTTCATCGTGGCCAAGAAGCAGGTCAACGAGACCCGCGTCAAGCCCAAGGTAAGCCGACTCCTTTTTCCCAGACCACGCCCCTTAATCCAGCTTTTTAGCCAATCAAGAAGGTCGCGGACGGGTCGTCCAAGTCGACCAAGTCCGTACCTCACCAACCGGTGCCCAAGGTGGAGGCCAGTCGCAAGGTGAGCGCCCCGCGAGCGACGACTACCCCGACCCCAGTGGCTAAGGTGAGACACAAATCTTGGGTTCCCAGACGTCGACTAATTCGTTTTCTTTCTTTTCTAGATTGCCCAGGCGGCTCCCGCCGCTACCAAGACTCCACGCAGTGAGTTGGGCAGGGTGGCCGCGACCCTTGGTCGCGAGCGGAGTGTTGCGGCGGCCAAGGCCGAGCTCAAGGCCCAGAAGGCAGAAAAGTCCGTTGCGGCGGCCAAGAAGAAATCTGACTCGGTGAGTCGCGACTTTTCTTGTCGTCGACTTCTTACTGACTTGACTGTTTCTAGACTCCTGCGAAGGCGTCGGCTCCCACGCCCCGAGCTCCGTTCACTCCCGCCGCTTACGACACCGAGGCGCTCCTTTCGGTGGCACGCCAAGGGTTCGCGGGGAAGTTGGAAAGGGCCGGCGTCGAGGTGCCAACTGACTTCGTGCGTTCCTTTATCTTTTTCTGCCATGCCTCGACGACTGATTCCCTTTTCATAGGAGGTCGCGCCAAGGCCCTGCGCGATGTGCGTGACGCGGCAGCGCGTCTGCTTCAAGAGCGTCGACGGGCGCCACGGCAATCGGTGCGCCCCTTGCGTGCTTTATAAACAGACTTGCACCAACGGCTACAAGCCCGCGGAGCAGCTGTATATGGGGCAACGCTTCGGGTACATCGCGCAGATGAGCGCGGACGGTACGAGTCCACTCTTTTTCTTTCATTTCTATTTTTGATCGTTTCTGACGACGTTTTCAGATCTCAACAAGTCCGCCAACCGTCTCGCCGACACTTTGGACGCGTACGGCAGGCTTCTTCGCACGGCCAACGAGATCCGCGTCCTGGCCATTGGCCAGTTCCGTGATTTCGTTGGTCAGCTGAAGGAGCACTTCGACGACGGCTCGGACGAACGCATCAAGGCGATGTTCGTCCACACCGCGACCGAGATCGACGCCGCCGAGTTGGCCGACATCCGCAAGGGTGTCCAGATGATCTTGGCCCACGGGGACTTGTTGGATGGCGAGGCGAACGAGCGGTTCGCGGCACCCCCTGCTTTCTTTGATCCGTTTTTCTATCGCGAGATGGAAAAGATGGAGAAGCAGTTCCAGAGGGAGATCGAGAAGGCCCAGGAATTCGACAAGTCGGACCCCGCGACCATCCAGGATCAAGCCTTCCAGCCTGGCGAGGACCACGAGATCGACGTCGCGCACTTGGCGAGTAGTCGTACCCGTGCGCCCTCCTCGTCGCCCCAGCCTTCGCCATCGCCGCCTCCCGTTGCGTCGTCGTCCCAAGCCGTCTTACAGGTCTTGGACTTTTCC